GAAACGGCCAATGGCGTGCCCTGCCCAGGGCACCATTTTGGGTATTCCACGGTCATTTTGCAGGGCCGATCTGTGCAGCGTGGAGGCTGTGAAAAACCCATCCAATCACTGGATTACGACCGATTGCTGTCTCTATCCTCAGCCAAGTGGTTTTTCAGGAGGCAACCATTTAAGATTCCAAGAGTGATCAGCTGTTGATCACATTTTCTCCAGGAGATTGTGGTCCTATGCTATGGAGCTGGCCCTAAACCAGCCCTAAACCAGTCTCACCCATCTCAAATCCCGCAAGTTGTGAATCATTTCCTTACAACGTAAGTGGTTAATAACATTTAATAACTATATCTCTATAGATACCACAGTATAACCCAGTTGTATGTGGACTATCCCCAGCAATGTATGGGTTATTTAATATATGCGGGTAGCATAGTCCATGGTGGGTTTTAGATGTTTTTAGTATGTTTTTGGCGAGATGTCCATTACAGCTCCCTTGCAACTCTGCACAGGCGACCCGGGTAGCGACACGGGTGGCCGCCGGCAGGGCGTGTCTCAGTTCAACTGGCCATCTGAAAAACCAAGGAGGGGCATTCCAACAGCCACACCAGGGTTTATGGCATATATAACTACAGATAACTACAGTATTCATGGGGGTTATATGTTTATATGGGATTATAAACCAACAAACATCACGTTTGAGGGTCCCACCTTGTAACCACTGATCTGCACGGCCAGTTGAAGTCAAATTGGTCCTATTTGAGACAAGCCCTGCTTAGGGCATTAGTCCATCATGGTGCCCGGCCGGGCCATCAAACTTCCAGGCATGTGACAAGGGCCTGAAGGGAGATATCAGGGAACAACTCTTGAATTTCAACCCCCCATGAACATAACCTTTCTCTGGTCGAGTATTATTCAGCAGTTCCAAAAACGTGTCTAAGCAACAAGAGTAGAGAAATGTGCCAAACCCACCAATCAACCGTCCCCAATTTGGATTTCTCAGATTTGCTTAAGGCCCCAAAAAATATCAAAAAATAACATATCACCCATAGATTCCCCAAATGCTGTATTTCCGTTGGGAAAGTCAACAAATCACCGACTAAACAAACCCATGTGACAGTTTGCTGACTTAAAAGTAGCCCATAAATGGATGATGTATGATGATTTACCTCTTAAAACAAGTGATGTTCCAGATCGCAAATGGTGAAATTACCCACTTACGTGGTATAATGTGGTATACCATAGCCCTTATTTGGGATGATGTAAAATGACCCGCCGGTCCGTAAGGAGATCTTTCACTGGTCCCAAACCTTGTCCACACCCGTTAGGACGACGCCCGGAGAAGACATTTTCGCATAGGCATACCTTGACAGGCGACACGTGCGATATACAACTGCCCAAAGAAACACATAGTAACCATGCAATGGGTATGCTCATGGGAAAATTAATAATGGGGGGTATAATGGATATATGATATATAACTTATATTAACAAACAATTAGATAACTTATATAATTCCTGATGCAATCTATAGACCTTATGGGCTGTATAATGTGATGAACAGATTGTGGTTGGCACTGCAGTTTATATAAGTGTAACTGGCGTGTAAGCTGATCGAAATGGCTTAGGGTTTTTAAGATGTTGCCAGACTACATGATTAATGACCGATGCAGATTGAGCAGTGCCCAAAGGTTTCTACCATCCCTGCAACTATTGGTTGATTTCCGTATTGTGGAGCAGAAGAGACACCATGAAACCAGTTAGTGTAAACCAGGATTCAACCAGCAAGGGTCTGGCCTGAGCATTGCTCAAAGTCTGCAACTGGAAGTGGCAAAATGATGCAAAGGGAAACTGTCCCCCAATTCTGAAATGAAAAACAACAAAGTGTCCGCCAAAGTAATATCACAGTAATATCGTTGAGGGCAGATGTCTAAAATATATCTAAAGCTTGGGCACCTAAAGCGCTGTCAATTGGAGTCTTTGTGACACCATCCATGAATAGAGCCTGCAAATAAGGATGCCTCTAGTCAAAAAAGAGAGTTTCATGAGAGTTTCCTGCCGTTTCAATTTGAGTCCACTTTAATGGGGGATTTAGCCTGAATGTATGGTTACTCTAAATTGATGGTGAATGAGATTGTGGTCTTTTTCCATAAATGTTCAATCAAACAGCTCGCTGGTGAATTCAGCCCCAACAAATACATGGCTCATCAACCTTCACCCATGTTGTCCCAATCACAAATAGCTTCTACTCCACTTTACCAAGACCAAGAAAAACGGCAGGTATGTGACAATGGCTCCATACCACTGGAAAATCAACCCCGGATGATGAGCATCGGGGCTGCTTTTAACATTCAGGTACCATTTGGCAGCAAGCGACACAACTTTTTGGGGGTATCCAGGGAGTCTACATCCAGGATTGGTGCCCCGCCCCATAAGTTGGATTCTGTTCACCCACCGAACTACTTTAGATAATCACAATCAAGCCTATATAGTCAAAGTATGTCAAAGTCAAAGTATGTCAAACTATTGATACATCAACTTAAGCTAAGGGTCCCATCTTATGGTACTGTAGTCATCAACCCACCTCCCTGAGTCAAAGGGACAGGGACCAAAAAAAACACGGTCTACCTCGGACGCTGCCGGGATACTCAAAGATGAGGAATCCGGACATCGTGTCGACTTCACCCGAAATTTCCCGACCCAGTTTTGAAGATCTTTTTCTTTGGAAACTTATTCCATGCGTGAAAGGGATCACAACCAACCCACTTTCGGGATGAAGAAAATACAAAATGTCAAGTTACTACTGTATACTGTATAATCGATCCATTTTAGGTCGGAATCTAGGCCAGTTTCGGGTTGCTATAAACATAATTCTTCAGTGGTGAACCAGTATCTAATGGATCGCAAAAACTGATAATTAAAGTACCAAAACGGGGAAAACTGTTATGGGCCATAACCTTCAAAACCGTGGTATCGTGTAGTTCACATCCAAAAAAAGAACGGAATAGTCGGCATTTAGCTTGTGGTGGTTGCTTGGGATTTCATGTTGTTGCTTGTGGCAATACATTTTTGTTGTTGACACATCTCCAAAATGTTCGCCATTTGCAGCACCTTTTCCCGTTGCTGGTTTACACATATACCCTATTGAATGAAAAACAAGTCTACTGGGGATCACATTCCATTTTCAGGAAATGAACGCAAATATAAATATGTATATATATATATACATATTATATATATAATGTATCATTATATATATATATACTGTACTAATATGTGAACATAAGCATCAACGAGTCTTATGATGATCTATTGGCATCTGACGAGGAACATCTCAACCCCTCGCGTGAGGAAACGATGCCATCGGACGCGTCAAGTCACTGGCCTTGGAGTGAGGCTGATTTAAGCATCAAAAATGGAGATTTAAGCATGAAAAATGTTGATTTTATACCATATGTTTAAACATCAACAATGCGAGATTTCTGTAAGCATGAAAAAAATTGGTGATTCTACCATCAAGAATTGGGTTTACCATCAAAAATGAAGATATTAACATCACGGTTGCGGATTTAACCATGAACAATCGATATCACATCACGATTTTAAAGGCTTAGTAGGTAAATGATCGAACGAAATGGGTTGTCTAAACCATAGCAAACTCTTGAAATTATCTGAGGATAAGGATGGATAAGGAGGTTACCTAAAATGGGGGCACCCCCAAATAATCCAAGTCATTAGACCATTTTAGTATTGAAAGTCATGGTGAAATGGAAATCCACCATTTTAAGAAACCTCCATATATAGACATCGTCATTGGTTAAGTCATCCAATTGCTGCTCGACTAGATCTTTGGTAGTTAAATCCATTAATGATACGTATATCAATTTATAATATATATATATATGTATATTATATATGTGTATTATATATTATATCAACTATATTATAGATTAATAGAGGATATCATCATCAAATCCCCAGTTTCTATCATCCCCTCTGGGTTCCCCCCACAGTGCGACAGTTGCGCAGTGCCATGGGAGGAGAGGCTCCGCCGACGCAGACGCCGGGAGCCATGTTAATGCCTCAGTGAGGTGGAGGTTGATGGTTTAAGCTACAAAAATGGAGAAAAAACGGAGGGGAAAAAAACGGAAATGGATGGGAAATGGTAAAATTGGTAAAGGCATGGTGAACAAACATATGGAACAATTATGAACAATGATGGATTTCACATGACAAAAATGGCCGATTTCATGGGGATGTCATTCCGCGTCCAACATGTCCAACATCAACCAGGAAGACAAACATGTTCAAAAATCATCAAGAATGATCAAAAATGATCAAAGCACGTCATCCCCCAACTCATTGATTCGGTGGGGCAAAACTTCGCCACGACTCCACGGTCCGGTTGTGATTTCCTGGGCTCACCCCCACCTGGAGAGGCCGCCTGACCACCGAAAAAACATGGCATGATGTATCCTGATTCTTTCACACACAATAGATCAATGAGATGGGAATCTGTTATATATATTGAAGATCAAGGAGAGAAATGGGCGGAATCATGGAGAATCCAATATAATCCAATTGTCTGATTTAATCATAATACCCTCTGGTTATTTAACATAGCCATGGAAAATCACCAGTTTTAATAGGTAAACCATCTATAAATGGGCCATTTTCCATGGCTATGTTAAATAACCAGAGGGTAATCATATAACACAGTAATTCATGATAATTCACTAATGGGAAAGTAGTACTGAAACTTGCAACTGGTTGATTCCGCTGAGGAACAAAACCGGTGACTGATGGTGACTGGCATGCCCCGAAGAGCCCACATCTTCGAAAAGATGAAGATTCCACGATGGGAAAGCATTTCAGTGTCCACCAATAAAAATCCTCAACCATCCATGTCATTTTCATTTTCGCTCAAAATCATGTTGCCTTGTCATTTTCAGGATCGCATCAAAAAATGTCTACGATATCAGCTTAAATTCATCCACTCCAACCCCCGCCTGGGTCATCACACGCGCGGGGAGCATCCCTGGAATGGTTCCGATCCCCTGCGGCATCGTCTGTGCTGCCACCGCTGCCACAGCATGCTGCGGCACCGGGGGAGCCTAGCGGCTGGGTGTTCGGCAATTCGCGAAATCCAGGATGGTTCCGTATGACAGAATTGATGATTTGGACACACTTGGGATAACGGATAAAGATATGGATTAAAGTATGAGTTGTGGAAAATTTGTTTGACTCTTCTTGTGGCATGAGAAAGAGCTTATGTTACTTTACTTGTTAGACTCTTGTTTTTGATTGAAGTCCCTTGTTTCCTCCTGTCTCTGATTGATAAACCTTCAGGGTGTGTTGGTGGTGTGCATAGGCCAAGGCTGTGTCTAGATGAGGAACTTACAGCTGGATAGTGGCTGGGTCTGACGCGTTTGGATGTTTTTTTTTCGGAATCCACCAGTGTCTCATGTTGGAGAAAAAAAAACAAGCCACAAGAAGTCGTTTGAGGTATGTAAAGTTTGACCGTGATGTTGGGCATCAAATGGAAGGGCCTGGCCCTAATCAGCCCCAATCAAAACATGCCCTTACGGCAGAACCAGGTACACTATGGTTCAGCAATTACCCGAAGCAAGACTTTGCGTGAAATCAGTCGAAACATGTTTCAAAACATAATGGAACATAATGGAACGCGCAAAGCCTACTCCGGGATGCCCCCGGAATCGTAAGTGGGTCGCATCACCATATAAGTTGGAGAGCTGTCTCAAGGAACCATCCCAAAGATACTAGCCGTTCCGATACTATAACATACTATAACCCTCATAACATCTTCTAACATCTTATAGCATCACTTATACCTGGACTATCCACACTTCGTCCACCTGTAGAGTGCGAGTCATCAGCATCTGGCATGGCTGAGATAAGCAGCCAAACATACAGAGGCTAGAGGGTTAAAACCATACAGCAGGTGCAAGACCCACCATTTTGGGATACAATGGGGATACATATATATATATATATATATCTGGATTTGCTTGAAGGGCCTACCCAAACAAAAGCATCAACAAAAACTATGAATTCACCAAATTATGGATTTTCCATCGGGGGAAAAAAGAAACACCATTAAGCAAACCCAGGTATATATTGAGGATGGTGGTATATTTGGGATTATTTGGGTGTTTTCATCTCACTTATACTTATACCTGTTTTCATGGTGAATCTTAGATACCTGGCAAAAAAAAATGCTGGTTAGTGCATTTGATCATTGATAGCAAGAGAATGCAACAGATTGAAAGTACTAAAGTATCTAACCAGTTGCCATCGGTTACCCAGTTGTTTGCCATCGGGCCATCGGCTACGAGATGTACATCCACTCTGCCGCTTTGTTGATCGTGAACCAAACAGGTGACCAGTGCTAAACCTGACGATTGGGAGGGCCGTTTCGCCAGCCATCTAGTTTTTGAATGTTTTTGACAAACCCATATGTATTCCACCCTGTATGGTTCGTCATTATATCCCATGATATTCCTAGATTCTCATGATAGCAGCAATCACTCAAAAGGTGTGGGTTTTGTTGAACAACAAATGAAAATCGGGTATTCCAACAACAAATATGGTCAGCTTGGTAGACAAGAACCGCTTGTACAAACGAACATATCGTGAAAGAAATGCTACAGTCACATTTGAAGTCCAATCAATGCACTCACGCACTCATAGTTGCATACTCCTATGACCAAACAATGTCCGTCCAAACTTGTTTCCTAGTGATCACCATGATGTTGACGAGAAGGACCCCACTTTTAGTTGGAGGCAGGCAGCCGCAACACGCCCAGTCGTGACACGACGACAACACGCTATACGTACTAAAAGCAGAACAAAAATAACACGGTGCGAAGCTGAGCTTTCTGTTCCCAAACATCGACTATAGTGACTAGTCGACGACTTCTGAATTGGGGGAACCTTTTTTTTCGCGGATCCGAAATAATCCAATCATAAAATGTAGGGACTTAACATGACTTAACTTACAATCACTCGTGCCACAAGCTTTTAAACACATCTGGAACACAAGCGACGGCCATGATTTTGGAGGTTGAAAAGATTTTTATTGTGGGATATTGGGGGTTAAAAATCATTGGGATTGTGGGGGATATTGGGATTGTGGGATACTTTTTTGGATATTAAATTTTGGGTACACATTTTTGACCACTACACTCACATTTCTGATTTAGGGCCGCTTCAAAAAACCGCCTAGTTAGTTGCTAACAAAGGCACCGGCGAGACAACCGCCGCAGTCTTGTTTGGGCTGGTTGTCCTCGCATTCCAAATGAAGTTCAGCAAGGTCTATGCAGGAATGACGACAGGAAAAAATTCATTGGGGAGAATGGGATTTGACCATGAAAAATTGATATGTAACTACCAAAAAATCGGATTTACAGTAATAAATAAATATAAATGTCTATGTTGACATCATTCGAACTCCTGATCATGTTATTTTGAAGCATCTTTGTCCATCGACTAAGTCAAAGCACTCTGTATATTCCGAATTGTCTTCGAACATCCTTCTACGTTGCCGCACATCACCTGTACACAAAATGTTCACAACCAATTCATAATAAACCAGTCGAGTTTCAGTCTGAGCACGCTGGATTCTGTCTTCGAAGAGGTTCCCAATTGGAAAACCACCCATCTCCAAATTTGAATGATCCAAACCCGAAAAGTGAGAAAAGTGAATCATGATGAATCATGGACCGTGTAAGAGAAGGTGCAAGACAATTTTAGCTAAGTAAACTGACTACATCCTGCAAGAGTCAAATGGCATTAATTAAATTTCCTCATTGTCATCTTATTGAATGCTCCGGTCACCAGCTGGTCCAACCCCCAGTCCTAAATGCTTGAAGTGGGCTGCCAATCTGGCGTTGGTTTTGACGCGAAGCAAGCGATGGGCTGGCCCACGTTGGGCATTGGTATCCCAAGATGTTGGGAGATAGTAGCCAAACCTGCTTGAAGTCTTTCTGTTAAAACATGTTAGAACATGTCAAAACATTCTATGAGTTGGAAGTGGAAACTGTTTGAGACCTAGGGATCCATTACAGGGCTGCAAAATGTCCAAGAGAACTGTAATCATGCAAGTCAGATTGAAAGTACAGCTTCTTGTTGGTTGGGGCCGCCATCGATGTTCGCTGCTTCGCTCTTTTGATGCTTATACTATACGATATGATATACGTCGCAAGATGACCACCAACTAATCCTGATCTTTAATATGCCTATAGCATTTGTTCATTCTCCATCACAGAGACAGAGTAATATGCTTGTCGGTAGACATACAGAACAGAACATGATGCCTTGAGAATTACGTCATCCCAGCTGGACAATTTTACTATGGCCTGACTACCGGAGCTCCATTGTGGTTGCTTTATTCCATCCAAACGTGATAGTCAAATCCAATGGGTGTAGTCCCATTGGGTGCTAAATATCATGTGTATATATATATATATATATATATATGCTGCATTATATCATATACAGATGATGATTAATGTGTTCACCATTATATCCCATATTATATATATATTATATCATATATCATAGAGGACTCTCTCTGCAGCGAGGAATAATATATCCCAGGACATCCCAGGACCTCGGCCGCACCGGCCGGCGCCTGGCACATCATGCCGGCTCCTGGAGTGACATCAGCCGTGGAATCCGGGAGTGACATGCATGATTTAATGGGATTTAATGGGATTTAATGGTGATTTAATGGGATTTTATGGTGATTTAATGGGATTTTATAGTGATTTAATGGAATTTAATCAACTAATATCAACTATCAATGGGGAAAATCATGATTTTCATGGGATTTTACTATAGTTGATGAAGGCATGGACTGGTCCATGTAATTAAAAAAAAAAACGAAGCGATCAGCTTGAAATCGGCGTCAAACCTGGATCCAGCAATGGCAAGATGTGGATTTGAACCACATGGATGGGGATTTACCAAGAATCACAGGGAACACACTGGGATCATATAAGCTGCTTTTCAAACCTAATGTAGGCTGCACAACATCATAGTCATCATGCCCAATTGGAAAAATCAGAAGAGGGATCCGAAATGAAAAATCCCCAGAATCGCAGTATACCGTGTAGCCAGACTCAAAGACCACGAATTGGGCAATGTTTTCTTGCGGTGGATCCCACATTTCCTCCTTTTTGTAAATGCGGGTTGTGAAGGCGGTACAGTACATCTACATATTCATATGATTTCATACTATGCAAAGACATGGACCTGGACCTGGAATGACATATGTCCAAGACATCTAAAAGTGAGAGATATGCAGCACCTTGTTGGTTTCCTGCAATGAATAGTAGACTGTGGGTTTGGACGGCAGTCAATACGTCTCAATCTTGTATCTATTTTGTTGTCTAGCCTGATGTTTGGAACCAACAGCATTCCACACATTCCACTGCGTATTGACTTTCTGCCGGGGATTAAATTCTGCAGACTATATTTAGAAACAAACTGTTCAGGGGATAGTTCTGTGGGGCTTCTTGAACTATCAAATTGCAGTGGATCAAACAAACAAAATGCATTATTGTTTTTGATTGTTTTGGATGGTTTCCACATGTCAACTGCTAGCTGAGGTCATTTGAGGTTGCGCTCGAATTGTCCAGACAAAAACTCATAAGCCATGAATGCTATACCCCTATATCCTATGCAATCCCATGAAATGTCGGTTTGTTAAAAACGGTACCACGTAAGTGTGGATATCATTATCAACCAACCGCGCAGAGTACTCTGGCTAAAAGAAAATCAAGACTCACCTGAAGTCGGTCGGCCAATGAGGTCGATTTATCCAGATCACCCACACAATTTTATTGATCATGATGATACTGTATGTTATTATTATGTGTATATGACGGTTTGACAAAATGTCTTTTCCTGGTTTGGTTGATAAATCGCACTTCCTTGCATGCCGCTTCTTATTCGGGTCTTTAAAACCATGACGTACCTATTAATAAATAATCTGAAACCCTGAATCTTAACATTCATGTTTGAAGCCGTAGCTAAAACCTGCAGTAAATGCTAGTGCGCGTCTATATGAAGTGGGTGCCGCTGCTAGTGATTAGTGGTGGAACTGGAATATCTGCAGGGCTTGTCGTTGCCTTTGCTCTCACTGTTGCTTGTGTCAAACAGACAGGACAAACTAACTACAAGTTCTTTGGTGGCGACCGCGTCACGGGTCAACCACAGCCGTTTTTTGAAACTTTTGCTGGCGCATTGCTAGCGGGGATCTAGCAGGTAAAATTACGTACAAATTCGCAAAATTGAGCCACAACCTCGAAAATATAAGAAAATTGTTGAGTAGCACAGAAATTCACGAAGACATCCTTAGGTTTAAGGAGCTAAGAGATACATCATGACTTTTCTTCATGTTGAAATAACAAGCAGACAGAAACACAAAAGATAAATCTTGAACATGGGAGTGAAAAAACCACTAGCGCAAACCTAGCGGGTTTGCTAGCGCTGCCTTGCAGAATTGGTGAATTTAGTTGCGTGCCACCTCATAACGAAGAGGAAAAAACACTAGGTCCACACTAATTGTCAACAACTAGTACAAAACTTCTGTCAACTATTTTTGGCAAATGGTCATATGAGTGTGTATCAATAGTTAATAACATGATTTTGATCTGGTAATTGAATCGATATAATATAATCATATCCACCATTGATAATAGACATCATAGGTAATAACAGTAACAACCATCAATAACAAACAAATATCATCAGGTTGCTAGCTATTAACAGCTATTATATCTGTTTGTCAATTATGTCGATGATATATTCTCATTTTGATGGCTATATTATGGAGTATAGATGATTATAGTACGTATGTCGATTATTTATGATTATCCTGGATAAATTATCCTGTATATAGATTATGTATGTCTCTTAATAGTCATTACCACACAGCTAACCACACAGCTCTTATGGGTCTTCGGGCCCCTTCTGTGCTCCTGGCCCCACAGTCATGGAACCACCACCAGGACCTGGTTTGACTCAGCGGAAAATTAGGGATTCAAGGCTCTATCTATCAGGGACTCAACGTCATTAAGCCAACAGAAATGGGAATGAAGTATCAGAATTGGGAAAATCTCACTTTAACCAACACAATGTGCTTTGAAGCATCGAAATTGGGGACTTCAGCATTGAATGGAGCTTAATAGTCAGCCGGACCAGCTTTAGCTTTATAATACTCTGTGGTTGGAACTCTTCAGTTTTGCTCGTGAACGGGGTCAATACCTTCTGGATGATTATCTGTGGAGGGTAAGTGCTTGGTAGCTCAATGTGTTGTCGTCTGTAAGTTGGCAGTAAGCATTGTATTAACAAGCAAAATGTCCTCCACTAATATCACTTGATTGGAAGAGGTCAGACCAACACTCCCTATGAATTGTGTTGAAGTTTTGGGGATCCATTTTGGAGGCCGAAATTGCAATTTACTCTCCTTTGTCTAAGCTGCTCATAATGTACTTTAGGCGTTCTTGTCTTACAGATGCACTTCACATTTTATGTTCCTGTGTTTTACATGGTCAAGTACAATTTGGTACCATATAATGATTGTGTAGGTCCTCTCTCCTATGTAATTATGTAGTAAAATATGCCCCGTGAACCATTTATGTCTATAATATATATATATATACACAATATGTATATATAATATATATATATATGTGACAACCCCCCGTAGACATGCATTGCAACTTGCACACGTTGACATTAACCTCTGTCCCCTATCATCATTTCAATTCCACTCATGAACCCCAACAAATCAGAACGGGTTTCTACTTACACCCATGCTTACTGACTATTCATAGCCCTATATAGTTCATTATGTCGCATCACCAATTATTGAGCTGATTCATCCCCGAAAATTCAGATCCAGATCCCAGTGAATCATCATGAATCCTCTGACCATGGCCCTATGGGATCTGTCATTTCTGTCACCATTTCAAAACCCAGCAAAACTTGCCCAGCTTCCACGCGATGGTCCTGAAAAATGACCCTCTCCCGGCCCGGCACCTTGCACCGTGCAGCGGCCATTGGTGTGAAACCTCCCACACACGTGCCAGGGCGATGATCGATCAACATGAGTCATGACATGGAACGCCTGAGCAGTATGGTAACCCCCAAAAAGATATGAATTATAGTGATACATCTATGATCCAGTGGGAAACCTGTTACTAATTGTTACTACAAGTAGTTGTTACTCCCCAAAAAATTCACTGGGAAACCTGGAAAAATAAAGTACATAGCTAGGAGTGCCACTCTTCGGCATCTTTTTGGGGGTTGCTATACACCAATTGACATCACCAACTGTTGTCCTATGGACATTTTGAGGGACCCATAGATTCTTCTTCTGATTTGCCAACCAGAACTTCTGGAGGGGAAAAAACACCAACACAACTGAGATCTCTTTTTGTGGATTGATGACCATCTCCCAGTGTAGGTTTTGAACCCCATCCATTTAACTTGACCATGGCTCATGTGCCGTCCTAGAAAAACACCGCCACTTCCAAGCGGAGTGCCTTTTTTACCCAGACCTTACATCAAAGGAACACTCTGATCTAAGTGGGATTTCTACATTACTGGGGCATTGAGGGTTTCATTTTCCCAGGTATGATGCAACAAAAACATAACCTCCAAAAAGTATGCTGATCATTTCTATTTCATTGGATAAATATAGGTAATCCATCAAAAAGGTCTGAAACCATGAACAAACAGGGACAAATTTGGTACATTCCTGTAACCAAAACAGCCAAACAACCAGAAAGTAATCGTGGTTGCCAAAGTTCCAACCAAACATGTTACGCACGGAATCTGAGTATGAAAACAACGAACCAAATTCAACTGAAATGACGATGAATAATTACGTCTAACACTGGAACCTCATTTCCAATCATACTAAAGCAAGATTAACCATCTTCATGTGGGTGTGTTTGAAAAAGGACTACAGTACCCTGAATACCAAAGAAATCAACGAATTACCATCAATTACATCAATTACATCAGTTACCTGTGGAAATGGCGTTGAGGGTGAGTCCGCTGTTTTCATACCCATGGTTTGTTGATTCTCTCCTATTTTTCCCTATGGGTGGATCTGAAAACTCAGACAAACCCCTTCCCGGCATTTTGTTGCTTCATAAAAAACAAAAACAACAATACAACGTGTTGATTAGACAATCATGGCCCATTTTGGATGCATAAAAATTCATTTAAAAAAATTACTTTACTTCGTGTGATCCCCACCATGACATTTATACATTTTCTTACTGGCAAATCTTCTGGCATTCTATCTGACATATCTTCTGACATTCTATTTGGCATTCTATCTGGCATATCTTCTGGCATATGATCTGGCATCTCTTCTGGCATATCTTCTGGCATATCTTCTGGCACTCTATCTGACATATCTCTGGCATTCAATCTGGCATTCTATCTGGCATATCTTCTGGCATATATTCTGACATATCTTCTGGCATTCTATCTGACATATCTTCTGGCATATATTCTGACATATCTTCTGGCATATCTTCTGGCATATCTTCTGGCATATCTTCTGACATATCTATCTGGCATATCTTCTGGCATATTTTCTGGCATTCTATCTGGCAAATCTTCTGGCATTCTATCTGGGCATTCTATCTGGCATTCTATCTGCATATCTTCTGGCATTCTATCTGGCATCTATCTGGCATTCTATCTGGCATTCTATCTGGCATATCTTCTGGCATATCTTATCTGGCATTCTTTCTGGCATTCTTTCTAACTTTCTTCTGCACTTCTTTGCACATTTTATCTTCCTACATGAGGTCCGGCAGGGAACACTTGGCGTGGATACTCGCGGTTGAGGTCCGGCAGGAAACACTGGGCGTGGATGGTCGTGGTTGAGGTCGGCAGGGAACACTTGGCGTGGATACTCGCGGTTGAGGTCCGGCAGGAAACACTGGGCGTGGATGGTCGTGGTTGAGGTCCGGCAGGGAACACTGGGCGTGGATGGTCGTGGTTGAGGTCCGGCAGGGCACACTGACGTGGATGGTCGTGGTTGAGGTCCGGCAGGGCACACTGACATGGATCGCAGTGGAGCAGGAGGAGGACGAGGAGGACGAGGAGGACGAGGAGGACGAGGAGGAGGAGGAGAGGAGGACGAGGCAGGAGGAGGAGGCAACTGACATAAAATCTAACAACCCTCACCTGGCAGGTGGGGAAAAAAAAACTTTCTCGATGCATCACCTGAATCCCCCTTTGATCGAACAAAGCAGAAATTCCCCGAGCCTGGGCGGCGACGCCTTGGGCCGTGAGAAATTCCCAAATTCAATGGAGGTAGTGGGAAAATGATTAGAACTGCAACATGTTCAAGCAAGCCGTGTTTGATATTGTTTGATTAGAGAGAAACCATGATTTCAACGATGTTTGTCAACTGTAGGTTCGGCAATTTATGGCAAGAACATGGCAAAAACAAAAAGAACAATCCGAAGAAAGTTCCATGTTTGGAAGGATTTTAACGACGTTTCTGGTGAACAAAGAACTACCATTCACATCTGTTGACCAGGCCAAGGTTGGAGGTCAGCTATGCACCAGCTATACGGCTATACGTATAGAAATTGCTACTCTTGGATATGGATCTATTGAAGAAAGGTGCTAGCTATACCATGCTATACCCCCAACCTTGCAATGGTGCGAAGAAACAATATGAGTAATGTTGTATCCTGATTAGTGTGGTGGGTCGCTTTTGTGCCATTTTTTTCCAAAGTATTCTGACCCAGGGAAATTGATTGGGTGGGTCGGTTTTGTGTATGTTTTTCAGTTTTTTTTCATGTTTTTTATTTTTAATTTGTTTTGAATTATTTTTTAATTTGTTGTTTAATTTATTTCAATTTTGTATGTTTGTTGTGGTGGTCCTTTATTGTGTCCAAATGTTGTCTGAAGAATTGTTTATTTCAATTGTTTCAGTTTTTTCATGAGCAGGATTGATCCTAAATAATGTGTTTGTTGTGGTGGTCCTCTATCGTGTCCAGTTTTTTTGGATGTTTTTTTTTCCAAATTCATTCTCTCCTTTCCTTTTCCTTTCCTGTGCTAATACTTTTTCTCTTTGTTTTTCTTAGCTCCATTCTTTTGGAATTCTCAAAATGTTTAATTTCCCAAAATATAGGATGCCTTATTAAAACCCCAAAAAAAAAGAAGCACTCACACAATTTTTCAAGGGAGTAGTCCATGAGCAACCCTGATCCTCAATAGTGTGTTTGTTGTGGTGGTCCTCTATTGTGTCCAGTTTTTTTTGGAAGTAACAATTCCTTTTCCTTTCCTTTGACTTTTCTCTCTTTTACTTTCTTAGCTCCATTCTTTTGGAATTCTCAAGATGTTTAATTTCCCAAAATATAGGATGAATCAATTGAACATCAACTAAACGTAAATTAAAATCAATTGAAAATCAATTGAAAGTAAATTGAAATCAATTGAAAGTAATTGAATCAATTGAAAATCAATTGAAAGTAAATTAAAATCAATTGAAAGTAAATTGAAATCAATTGAAAATCAATTGAAAGTAAATTGAGACCAATTGAAAATCAATTGAAAGTAAATTGAAATCAATTGAAAATCAATTAAGAGTAAATTAAAATCAATCGAAAGTAAATTGAAATCAAGTGAAAATCAATTGAAAGTAAATTAAAATCAATTGAAAGTAAATTGAACCCAATTGAAAATCAATTTAAAGTTAATTAAAATCAATTGAAAGTAATTGAAATCAATTGAAAATCAATTGAAAGTAAATTGAGACCAATTGAAAGTAAATTGAAATCAATTGAAATCTATCCTTTTTTTTCATTTCCACACTATTCAGACCCGGGTTCATGATAATTTCTACATTAAAGAGGCTCTCTGAATTGTTTTAGGGGGGGTCCCCCCTACACTAATCAGGATACAACATTAATTATGATGATTCTCTGGAATTGGGGTATCCCATGTTCAGACACACCCATATTTGTTGGCTAACTCGTATCCCCATTATATTCATTTTTAGCTATTTTTGGCCAATAACTCAACCATCACACGAGCATACTCAGCACGTCCATTTTTTTAATAGCCAAGAACAATCATCCCAAATCAAAACATGAAACCTTTAAGATCCTTTAATCATCTTTAACCAAATATCACTACTCCAATGCTCGGCGCCGCCTGCATGCCGAGTTTGGACTCAGATGCCACCGCGGTGAGGCCCGCAGCGAACTGGCATCCCGGAATCCCCACAGAAGTTGGGATAAAAAAGCAGTAATCACATATACTGTATATATATATATTATTATATATGTACATAATTAGTGTGTGTACATATATATATGTATATATATACAATGATATATGATTATATACAATATCTTATATATATATACACATATCCCATCATATCCCTAAATTCATGGCCATTCTTCTTCGCTTATTGGGTGGAACTACACGAAGTACTGGGATGAAATGGAGAGGCAAGGAATCTGAATATGTGGACCATGTCATTAGGTGCCTGACCCAACTTAGCAAGCTGGTCAGAAATCGCCCTGTGTTAAAAACTGTTAAGTGGATTCACCACATTGAACTCTACCCAGGACAATGTTGAGAAAGAAGTCGCGAAAGAGATGAACCAACAAGTCGGTCGTATAGCAACAATCATCCCGCTATTAACAGGTGTATTATGGTCATCCATCTGTCTGCCCTGTGATATCAACTACTGTGAGTGATTGGGCGGGGAAGATTTAGATCCAGTGACGCACCATATCCACCTCGCTATGAATCAAAATCGGGTACACTAACTCCAACACTGTCCAAAATGGGTTGGTTTTTCATAAGTTCAATACAAGAACAAAATAAAACACCATGGCCAAAAAGCAAACGAAAAGATATTTTTAACTCATCCTGTTTACCTATGCTTCCCAGCGTTCCGATGTTTTTTTTTTTCCAATGGCTACCGGGCTACGCCACGAATCTCGCCTTAGGTGCCACCTTCACGGATCCAACCTCAGGCATAAATTCCCAATGACAAATCCAGATTTTTGGTGGGGAATCTATAGGGAATCTATGGGAATATCATTAATATAATCTTTTGGATGCCGTAAAAAGCAAATGCAAGAATAAAATTTGGGGGATTCTAGGGTATGTAGGGGTTATGCATATGATGTACACCATTTATTCTTATGATGGCTAACTGTTAGGAATATGTGTAATTGTTTAACTGGTTACAATAGGTCCGATACGTCTTAACCATCAAACATGATGGTTGAACATGGTTTGACAATCTTGAAATTAGGATATGCAGCCAAAACCAGCATATATATGCATATATGCTCTGCTCTACGCAATGTATTTGAAGAGCTCATTGGGGCTTGGGGTTGTCCAGCATTGGTCGTCCTGGGTCAACTCCCATGGACCCGGAAAACATCCGCAGCTGCCATTCATCTCTATGAGAGTTTGGGGTTGGCAAAGGTGTTGGCATGGTGCTGGCAGCGTATCTATATGGCAGTGTGTCAAAACCTTGTACCCCTGGTGAACATCAAAATAGCTGGTAAATGGATGTTCATCCCCCTAAAAATGGTATTAATAGGTATTGATCCATACCCATATCTATTCTATATTCATTCTATAGTTGATTTTTCTGGAAACTTCTAATGACGACATATGACCAATTAAAGCAACGCGTCTTCTCTTCCCGCGGAGTTGCAAAGAAAATTTAAATGGCTGCGCCAGTGTGATCTTCGGTGCTGTTCCTTGCGGCAGGAGCGTTTTTTTCAACTCGACAACAGGGTCGATATTCGACTCTCTAAGTCAGAAAAACTTGATAAGATATCATATAGATATCACAAGGATCATATTTCCATCAAGTCAATTGAGATTTTGATCTTGCATCATTGACCATTCCTTCACTCGCGCCGCTCTAGAGTCAGGAGAACTGCTGGATAGCACAACCGAAAAGGCGTTGAGCCTAGCCGGAAGCGCTATCTTCAAAAGCTCAGAAATCCAGCCAAAGGGTTCCGCAATTTGTTTCTTTGAAAGTCACCTGCAAGTAAATACCAGTCGCATCGAGTCGCTGTCTTAAATTTCAACATTGGGATTAAAACCAGAAAGAAAATCCTGAATCATGACCCAGCGGTGTCAACAGATCATGATTTTGGAGAACCTTTTGGCACGTTGCCGTTGCCACCGCGCTCCCAAAACCCTCAGCAGATCTATGCCTCCTGCAGCATGGCTGACTCAGGGAAGGTGTCGTCATAAGTGCCCGCTGACTCTTGGTGGCCAAACCATCCCCAAAGTCTGTGGATTGTCTCGAAATCTGGACCAAATCCCATAGTTTATCATTCTGGTTTCCATCCAAATTGCCAAGGACAGTATTCCCCTGGCAACCCAAATCTGGCACTGGGGACGACTTACCATGCACCCAGCAAAACTGCCAGGCAACAAAATGTGTCCAACATCATCCAAATATATACATTCAGCTGGGTTCATGTTGATTCTAGTCCAAAGATAGGATATACGTAAGTCGCAGGCTTCATGATCATGTTCATTCATCTTCCTTAGAGTGGCCATAGCGAGACCATCCATCATAGTGTCGGTTCTTGTTATTTTTAACCCACTATATATATATAATATTAACCCCTTAAATAACCCCTTAAATCCTCTTGTAATGTTAGTGAAAATAATAGTAATAAACCACACATATTTTGATACTTTATACCATCCATTTATGGTACAAGTTGGGATGGTTTACTCTTGTTTTACCAACATGATTCCCAGTATATACTGTGGATCGTTGCGAAATCCTGCACCACTTGGTAACTATTGGGAACATAGACACAGTAAATAATGGGATACTTATATTCATAGAATTGGATGATGGGAAAATTTTAACCGGAAAGCCCTATATTTGATGGAATCCAATGTTATATATATATATATATAATTATAATAGGATAAACATGGATCAACCATCTACTAAATGGTGCAGGGTTACTCTTCCTGCACCACTTCCTCTCCTTGCCAGTGATCTTCTCGTAGATCTCACGGACCTCGACGGCAGGCCATCCATGGAAGGGCATGCCGAACAGGGCGATTTAACCAACAAACATGGGAAGAAAATGTGTGATTTATGCAAAATAAATAAATAAATAAAAATAAATAAATAGATAGATAGATAGATAGATAATCAACTATAGTTATATATAATTGATATACTGGGATAATATATATATATATATATCTGACTGTAACAAACACTGCAGGAAAGCCTGGCTTTTACATGATTTCAATATTTGACATGGACACTTTAAAGATCTTTAAAGTGTTTCAACCTTAGGTGTTCGCTTCATCCAAATCAGGGGGATGAGCAATTAATAGGTCAACTTTAGGATCTAATGTCAACCCCGGATTAATAAACCATGGTTTATTAATTAGGGGGGTATTCCCCCAATAGTCATGATTTGATACTTAAATGGTACCTTCCCAATTAAACAGCCTAGGGCCTAGGGGGTTATTAATCCAGGGTTGACATTAAATGCGATCAAATTTGGGATGTTCATCTTTACCATTCTTTTCCCATACATACGAAACATTGACAGCGGGATTTCACATTTCGCCATCTAAGATAGAGGATCTAGACAAGAATGACGTGGCGAATACCGAATAACCATGAAGAAACGGAAACAAAACATAGGAAAGGAGGATACAACCAACGATAGATGGTGCAGAATTCAATTAAGTCAAACTTGCTGCAACCCTCAGCGGTTTCATAAACTGAGCAGCTTGTTTGTCATCCTGATGTTTTGTTCCCGTTCTTGTCTTTCTAGTAATGTGAATGGTCTGTGGGTTAACTATGCCATGGTGGTCATACGTGAGCTCTAAACCAAGAGCGAAACAAAGGACTGCTCATATGTTTTTTGATCTTCCCACATTGATTTGAAAAGAAAGTTCACAGGAAAACCGATCAGAACCTGCTACATTTGGATACATCTAGATGGGTACGACAAACTCTTCGTAAGTTTGTTCCTGAAATTTCAGGAACAAAAGTGGGATTTCAACAGTTTTTGGGACACACTACGTTTGGATACATGTGGAACATCATTAAACATATGTATATATATATATATATCAACATACATACATATTATACGTAGCACTCAACAATAAACATTGTATTATGTGTACTATATTATAGTAAATATTACAATATGGATCAATATGTAATAATATATATATATTCCAGTATGTATTATATATCCTGGCAAAAAAAATAAAAATAAAAACAACATAATCATAGTATCATTGATATAAAAGTATATAAGTATATAAGTGTATATATATATATGTATAAGTACATATATATATATATATGATATAAATAATATATATATATACATAAGACCTCCATACATGACACGGTATGTTTTTGAAACGTCCGGCCCTTGCCTTCATGGCGATGACGGTCTGCAGGAGCCCGGTGCCGTTCTGGGAGCCGGGGCTGCTCTTGAGGCCCACCATCGCCTGGTGCCATGGCTTGGCTTAAGATTTTAGGGATATATCTATCCCCACAAATTGTGATAGATATATATATATATATATATATTATATAGAAATGGTGGATTTATTTTATGCTGGATTTATGGTGGATTGATGGTGGATAAATGGATGATAAATGGTGGATTTATAGTGGATTTTTATGGATAAATGGCTGATTTTAGGGTTGATAAATGGATGATGGTGAAATTTTGTAGTGTATCTTATGATGTCTGATGATTATGATTGTTTATAGTCTTTATAGCCAATTTTACTGTAGTTTGATGATGTTTGATGATGTTTTGTGGCAGGTGCGGCTGATGCATGATGTAAATTCCAAATGGTTCACCAGCTGGAAACACTGGGGTTTGACATGGTTTGACCAAAACATGGGAAGATTTGTAGGTCGACTCGGAAGAATCCACATGAATCAAGCAATGACTCGGATGCTGACCTCCGTTGAGAAAAGATGGTAAGTTGTACGGTCAGCGAATGCTATGTCATGCTACGCTCTCAAACAAAGCCCTCTGCAATCGAAGTCTTCAACCATGTGTGTATATAATTATATATATATATATACATATATGAAGGATTATAAAGGCAACGTGAACATGTTCATACATTTTCAACATGGACATTATAGACATGAACTTACGATGCATCAACAAACACCACAGCACTAACTCAGTAAGTTCATCTTCCACACCTCCGTGAGCTCTCCATCCTTCTTCGCTCCCAGACCCTCCATGTTCGACTCGATTTCCTGCCGCAAGGCCGAGGATTTCGGCCGCAAGGCCGAAGCCTCAAAAAAAACGTGAGGAAAACGTGTGATGAATACATCTGATTGACCACTGCTGGAAAAAAAAATGTGTCATCGTGTTTAACTGTTTCATCTGTGTTCATCTCATTGAATTTGAACTTTTGGACTTTCAAAGATCAATCTTAAAAGATCTTGATCAATCCCCGAGCTCTCTTGGTTGTAGGATCCCTCCTAAAATCCCCCCCAACATTCCCCCCGGTTTCGGGCGACGCGGGATCTCCTTCAGCTGCTCCTCCATGTTGTCCATATCGATCTCGCCATCCATCTCCACCACAGTCACCGCACTGCCGAACCTCGAACAGAAAAAATCCTCCTACGCTGAGAACATCTGAGAACTACCCGACTACAGGAAGGGCCCCCTATATAGGTAGGATGGTTTATAGCTAGGCTCACTAGGAATTATGTTGGTTTTACAGCATCTATAGTTGGATGGGGGACCTGTCATAAAACAACTTACAACTGCGTTGTGCCATTCTTGTAATACTAGATTGAAACACTGTACCCCTATGGTACAATGATTACTGGGGGCGTAACCACCCATTGTGTCTATAAATATGTCAGTTTGGTGACCTTGGTGAAATCAACCATGAACAAAATTAAGACTTTATGGCTTAGAATAAATACATGTCCATAAGCCAAATTCATTCGATTCATTTTGTTTCCGGGGGGATCTAAGATTGATCAGCGACAATCAAAACTACCTGTAGTGGATACCGCGTGGATCAACAGCACAGCATGCGGTGGTTCCATCATGCCAGGAATAGAATCTCCAGGGGACATGGCAAGTTTCTCTTAAATCAAATCTGGGAGATTGGGCGGCAAGATTGAGGAAAGCATCAGGATCTCAAAATCTCTCAAATAAGGATGCGTATACGTCGTAGAATTTCTCCAGATTGTATTATATCCATTATATCCATTATATCCATTATATCCATCATATTCCATCATATCCATCACATTCATTATATTATATATATGTATATATATGTGTATATATATGTGTATATATATATATACTGGTTGGTGGTTTCAACCCACCTGAAAAATATTAGTCAGTTGGGCTTATTATTCCCAATATATGGAAAAATAAAAAATGTTCCAAAGCACCAATCAGATATTATATATATATATCCAGTATATATGCATGATCCCAGCGATCTTTTTTCGTACCCAGTGGCCAGTCGTCATCGTACATCTTCAAGGTCGCTCCGGGCCTCAGTGCGGAGCAAGAGGCGCAGGGCCAGCTATTTGGAGTGTCAATGGGGGGACCCCAAGTCACCATGGTTGTTCCAATACTAAGCCATGCTCATGGTCATCCATGACTTGGATGCTAAATGGGTACCCCAAATTTTGGACTTCCCTATATCTTGCAAGATATGAAATGAGATCCTATTTGAGAGTTAGAAAAAACACTAAGTCATGGTCATCCATGACTTGGATGTCAAAAGGCTACCCCTATGACTTGGGAAACCTCCAAATAGCACTAACATGTCTAGACAGTTCGAGAGATATAACGGATATAAATGGATATTTCATGAAATATACCAGCAGTGTGGTATAGGAAACATACCAACCACTCTAATATCTCAATGGATCCATCGGCATCCCTTCTGACTCGGTGCCCCCGTCTTGCTACCAGAGAGTTCCAGGTCCTTCTTCAGGGTCATCTTGGGGAACTTGCCATCCTGCAACAAAACTCATATTATTTCAAGGTGCTGGAGGAACCACTTTTTTTTAAAAAAAAAAGGTGTTAAGTTAGTTAGTTGTTCTTCTGGGTATTGCTGTTCCTTCTAGTTCTTGGATAATGACTCTGGATTCATGATCATTACATCTGGATGAGAACGCTTCACCAACTTGGCGATGATTCCCAGCAATCCTAACCACTTTTTTTCTCGTTGTGAGGTCATCAGATCTACCCAGATTACATAATTACTGACGATTTGAATATCCTGCGGCCAAGATATATGATAGAAATGGATATAAATGGATGATATCCCAATGTATCCCAATGTGAATCCCATTTTTGAGAGTTAACCAACCCACATCCACCACTCGTCCTTCTTCTGGATCAGCTTCACCTGAACACTCCGCATTCGTCCAAGGGACCCAAGGGTCCACACTTTGTCCGGCAGATTGAACGGTTGATGGTTGGTTGGTAAATGGAGGGTAAAACGGTCACTTTCACCAATAATCATGTGGAGATACGAACAGGCAAAAGGACATTTCATATATAAAGAATTCTAAAGATGTACTATGAGCAACAAACATGGCTTCAAAATGCTGACAAGGGTGTGGAAATTACAAAACGACCAGACTTGGTGCTTGCAAAAGTTGGGTCTGTGTTCAAGAGAATCTGCTGTGGAAGACTTCTCCCAAAATGACTGCCGGTCTGTCCGAGTTCGGCTCACATCAACACCTTAAGTGCCTGGTTGTAAGTCAGGTAAGATAAGATCATCTTCTGATTTCATAGGGGAGGAACATATTAATATACATTTTGAAAACAACCTCTATGCGGAGCCTTCAAGAATGGCAGGCCCTGATCGGAGGGCTCATAACCTCAGGCTGGGTCCCTAGGCTGATCAAGGATGGCTAGGGTGTCATGCGGAAATGTTGTGGTTTGTTTTGACATCGGGAATATCATGGGACCAAAAATTTCCCAAGATCAAGGAATCAAGGATGGGAATGTGATCATATGTCTTCAACGTTTGGAAAATTTCCAAGTGGACAAATTTTCGACGGGACACCCTTGGGACACAAATTATGGAGGATGCTACTGACCACCCTGCCTCCAAACCACCACTTAATCATAGGTTCATCCATGACCATGCTCCAATAGGTGCCATGATGAAACCCATAATGACGCACAAATTTGGATGGTTTATCCCCCCACTTCATAGCTTACCCTCCTGCAAACGAACCTTGATGTGGAAAACAGAAATATTTTTTTGTAGATTTGTCCTAGGGAAACCATGTCTTTTCCACATCTTGTTGTATGTTCCCAGGATCAACAAATCTGGGTAAATTATAATATTTCACTAAACTGAATTAAGGCCATTTGGGGATGATTTCCCTTATTAACCATGATTCCACTGAGGTCGCAGTGAGGTCGTTATAATTTACCCAGTTGGATGGTACCTTCCACCTGAGCTGTCCGGCGCAGCACCACATCAGCGTTGGCCTCGGCCGTTCATGACTGGGGGTGGTGGTTCACCTCGCACCCTAATTGAGCCATGATGGAATGGGGATGGTTTATGAAATTGGGTTTACCAAAAAAAACATGCATAATATACAAAGATATTGATAATATACAGTATAAATTGATTTAGAATGTCTCAATCTTTGATATTTGGATAGGATCTAGGAGGATTCATGGAGCATGTGGGTGTGGCTCCAGCATGACCATGCGGCTTAAACCGAGCCCAGCCCTGAACCCATTTGGGTTTGTCCGCTAATCATCAGTTTTCCTCAGATTCTCTCCAAAATCCAATGGTTGAACATGTCATTCCTATCGGTGTCCCTAAAGAAATTGCCATCCATTCGGGGTCAAATATACTGTAATTCAGGGTATCTATAATTTCATTTCAGAGACATCGAAAGATCCTTCGGTAGCCTTTTGATGGTTATATCCCTAGTATAGTCCTATCATGATTACCCTCTGGTATATTCACATAGATGTGGAAATCCCAAGGTTTCCTTAGGATAATGATCTAGGATTAGTCTTATTAGTTTACGGGAGGGTGTTTCTCCCTACTAATTTGATGAACTTAGAAATCAGATATTTCTTTATGAGGAAAACATCATCTATACCGTTACTGGATGGTTCCCCAGATCCTTGCCCATCGTTCCTGTCCAGTGGGCCGATCGATTCCAGCGGACCGGGACCTCGCCTTCTGCGGGTCCACATACTGAGAGAAGTCCGGCAAACGCTTCTCAATATCCTCACGCACCTGAGGGTTTTTTTCGGATGGAGATGGATTTGCTACCTGAAAATGGATGAAAATGGGACATTCTGAGAAAAAATGGTAGTTTTAATGGGGAACATCTGGGGAATTGGTATTAGGGTATAAAAACGGGTGTTAAACCATGCTGGAAATAGATGGATTTTTTCATATTTACCAAGAAATTATGGTCTTGCTCTTGGGGATATAGGAACCCTGGTACCTAGTGAACCCCAAAATAGCTGGTAAATGGATGTTCATCCCACTAAAAATGTATCTACAGTATAGGTATTGACCCATACCCATATAGCTGTACATTGATGTTATGAAAATGACTCACCTACTGCCCCAGGCCCCAGAATTCAGACTTCGCACCTGCTCCTCGGTCCAGCCGCGCTCTTCCACGTCGCGCTGCACCTTCCAGGCGAACTTCACGTCGTTCCTGAATAGTTGGGATGCCTAAAATTGGGATTGTCCCATGCTTATATGATGAGTTTGATTGGCGTGTATACATACATATATATAATATTATATATGCATAATTAGATATATAATTATATATATATATGCGCTAGGGGGAGTAGGTTGGCCGAGAGGAGGCAGATCATGGGTTAAATTGATAGACAGTAACAATTTATTGTGGGAAACTGATGATTTTGTATGTTTTTTTTGCATAAATAAGTTGATACTTAGTACTTATGGACCTTTTTTTTGATGCGTAGAAGTTGAAGTACATAACATACGATCAAGGCGTTTCATCTTTATGTGTTTTTCCTTTCCCCATGGGAATTCCGAGATACACATGTTCTGTGTTTGGAAATAACATTCAGAAATGCTTGGAAATTTCTGGGTTTTCCGCAGGTATTTTTGACCAAGTCAGTTGAGTCAACGTTTTTTCCAAGCCCTGGGTAACATTGACGTAAAAATACCCTAACCCTCCACCCCCCGCTAATCTCCTCCCCCTGTATGTGTATATATATATATATATCTACTGTATATATATATATACACACCACATATATATACTGTATATATATATATACTGTATATATATATATACTGTATATATATGTACTGTATATATATATATACTGAGTTACTGTATATATATATACTGACTGAGTTACTGTGTATATATATATATACTGTGTATATATATGTATATATATATATTTATATTCATCCCAACTTAGAAAATTGCGGATAATCTCTTGTAATCTAGTTTTTTTTCGACAGAGACATGTTACATTTACATGTTGTTTAAAACAGAACACCAACCCTCTAACCAACATAGATTGTGACAACTGTCTATGTTACTTGGAGGGTCCAGCAAATCGGGATTCTTTCACTATTCAACAAACATGCAAATAGGTTTAATAGATGACTGAAAACATGGTTTATGTTGATCTATTCAATCAGAATTGCTGTCAAAATGGGATGATTTGATCACAATGGTTTCTCAATTATATAGATTCCGATGCGTTTTTCAAAATGGATCCAAACTTAGGCAGGGGATGATTTAGCGACAATACAAAACATGCTAATCATATCATTATAATTGTTAATGAAGTTGGCTTTCCACAAAATTGTTCAAATGCCAAAGAATGCCAATACAATATACAACAATACGTTGAAATTTAACTACTTTTGTTGGCTAATGTGTTTACCACATATGTGCTTCACTGCCAGATATGGGTTGACAATTCCCAAGTGCTGAGAAATGCTGACTGATAACAACTAACAATTGAAGATATCGATCTGACACGACAAAAACAGGATGGTCGACCCAGTTCTTTGGTTAGATCCATTCAAATCTCCCTTTCTCGTTGGAGATGTATTTGAAAACCTACAGAAATCCTATCTGTCCAAGTCCATATATCCACCATAAATCCACTATATATATATATTCATATCTATCCGCCATAGATCCAGCAGTATTAGCCTAGTGCAATAAACCAACTCACCTATCTCCGAAAGGACTTTCTGATGCAGTTCCAAGCATCACAATGTCAATGTAAATGGCAAGGTCGAGCTGCGAGCGCGCCTCAGGTGCTCCAGTTCATCCGATATGTTGATTAATAACGAGCAGTAACTATATATATTGTATGTATACTGTATATTTATATACATATATGAATGAATATATATATATATAATTAATTATATATATATATATTCTGAGTATATTTTAATATTTCACTAAGCTGAAATGTGGGGCCATTTGGGGACCATGATTCCAGTGAGGTCACTAAAAAATTACCTTGATATGCGTACCATGAACATCCATAGATATTGGGGTTATAAGATGTGATGGTTACGTTACAATCAACCAACCTAGCGTTTTTAGGTTCATAAGAACAGTCTAAGCGTTTGGTTTACCATCTGGTTATTTAACATAGCCATGGAATATCACCATTTTTCATAGGTAAACCATCTAAAACTATAAATGGGCCATTTCCCATGGCTATGATGAACAACCAGAGGGTATATCCCATTCATATCCCATTAAATCACTATAAAATCCCATGAAAATCATGTTCTTCCCCATTGATAGTTGATATTAGTTGATTAAATCCCATTAAATCCCATTAAATCCCATTATAATAGGATAAACATGGATCAACCATCTACTAAATGGTGCAGGATTTTACTGTTACTGCAACAAAACAACCGCGGGGAACGGTTGTAGCGGCGCCCTCGCCGTGGCCTTCTCATCGTAGATGGGGTGCAAGCCTTCGAAGACCATGACCTTGTTGGGCTCGATCAACTCAGGAGGATCCTTCGGAACGCAGCTTTTGGCAAGGCAAAAGGAATCGATATTAATATAATATATATATATGTATATTATGTATATCATGTATATTATATACATCATGTATATTATATACATCATGTATATTACATATAATATATATTATATATAGGTATATATTATACATATAGGTATATTATATATATAGGTATATAGGATTATATAGGTATATATGAACTGTATATGGTATCATTATCATTTACTATAATACTATAAAGGCACATGATGTTTGAGCCATACCTCTACAGAATTGAGGCACCTTCAAGGGATTCTTCCCTAAAAGAACAAACTAAGTTTCGCATAGTTTAGCTGTTTCTGATATAGATGTGACCCAATCATACACGAAGTCCATCCCACATCTGTTTTCTCAGGTTCTCCTTGTTGCCGGTGTCGTGGTTGTAGATGGGCTTGTAGACAGCCTTGCCTGGATCCCGAGTTTATTTCACGGCTTCAGGGATGAGCTTGAGAAAATTGCCAAATTTCATAAGAATTGCTGTGATTTTTCGACCGTGTTTCCAATCTGATGGGCCATCACTTTTATAGGTGGCCATGATTTTTACTGCACATCATTGCACCATGTTTACCGTAAACTCCACGATTTTCAGCACTATCCGATACCCCATGGTATCGCCACCTTTGGTGAGGGATCAACTCCCTTCCCAAAGCCATGAATTTCAGTAGTCAAATGGTACAAACAAATCAAACAAAAGGTATAAAGTCGGGTGATTGGGGGTACCTCCATCTTAAGTAGCAATTAAATCCCAATTGATTTGGGCCTAGAAATTTTGCCATTTCTATCCAACAAGGAGCACCTGGCAGTGGGTACCCATAGGAAACCAACCCATTTTCTCAACATTTCTCAACCTGACCGACCAGGGCCTGCAGGGCAGTTGACATTTCGATTTCCCCTGCGGCCCGCGCCTTGCTTCAGGGCCTCGATTTGCACGCCCATGAGGTCGAAGTCGTTCTCCCGGGCATCCAGAGCGGTGAGCCCAGTGGCCTGGCAGTCGGAGGTCCCAGTGGACCGGTCCTAGGAGTTATGTGAAATAAATTGGATATATGGATTATATGATAGGATATGATATAATATCACTAGCATATATGGAAAATTTTAGGATTTCTGGACTTTCGAGTGGTTGATACATTATTATACATTATTGTTTGGCCAAAATGGATAAGAAGATATAAGATGATATAAGAAGAATCTTGGTGAAATCCCTAGGATAGGTCTATAAAGCCAAAAATCTATCACTGGGGTTTTGCCTGGTGGGTCGCATACCCCAAGTGACCGGATTTGCAATGCTTTCTGAACATATGTGAATGTAAATGGCATATGATGATATATGATGGTCACTTGAGATATCTTGAGATTTTAATGGCCACCAGGTGTTTTTGCCATTGGAACATTGCCAGAAAGCCAGGTTTTTGCCATTGAAACAGGAGTTTCCTGTGAACCCTTGATCAAAGTCAGAGATTCGTTATCAAATATTCCCCAGTCTTTAGTTCTTCTAAGTGTAGGAACATGGAACATGTTCTTTTCTCCCCTCCAGGATTCAAACATGGCTAGCTGGAAATTTCCCCCGTGTATGGTGATTTCCCAGCCACCCACGGAGCTGATTTCCAGATCCTGGTATCCCAATCTATGAGAATGACTTGGCGATGATCATGTCCATAACTCATAAAACTTGCCCCCACCCCCGCGGATTGATACATCAACTTAGAATAATCAGGATGGGCAAACCCAAAAAAAATATCTATCCGAATTCTAATCAACTGTTTTTTTTTAATGTATACTGGCTAGCACTAATGTAGTAATCCGGAACATGTTTCACCAAGTGATGAAACAGCTCAGACGCCCCTGGTTGTAAGTTGTAAGCTTCATGCTTTCCTTGACAGGAAGATCAACAAAAAATCAATGTATGGTGTACCGCAGTAGCTCGAACTGAGGAACTGGATAACCTATATCTACTTTTACAGTGGGGGTTCATGAAGCTTCAGAACTCCACAATCTTTGCTGAATCAGTAACAAAAAAAATATCAATTCACCAATTATGGTATAATATGGATTAATCTGGTATAATGGTAAAACTCAAGTATCAGATAACTCATGATGTACATCGCCTTTTTTTGGCCGTGGGATCTACCGGCCAAGTCTTCCAAGTCTTCCAAGTCGAAAGGCCTTGCGTCCCGCGCGGTCGTTGGTGTGATAATCGTCCAGGCAGATGACAGTCATCATGTCACCGATGGCAGTGTGCCTTAACGACGGATGGCAGGACATGGCAGGACGGCCGAAAAATGGGCAATGGCTAGATCTGCCATCCATAGAGGTGCAACAAATCGGTGCCATCCATTTTTTGGTGCAACTAATAGAGGTATTTGTTTATCCAAAGTTTGGAATAATATTTCATATGATATATATATATATGATATAATCCAGAATTTCTGGGATGGGTCTGAAAATGATTCATCTACCTCGTTTTTTACATATGGCTATGTCTATGGGATTGCGTGATGCACCAACAGATTTTTACGGGTACCCCATGGTACCAGGTCCAAACCCATTGAACCGACCAAAATTGAGGCAATAAATATTAATAAATCATCCATTTGTGTTTATGTGTTTGCTGGAAAATGTGGAGATTTGAAAAGGATAGCTACAATCATAGGTTTGATTTGGGAGTCGTAGTAAACGAATTCAGGGTACGATGGCCAGGTGTACAAATACTGGAACGACTCACAACCACAGTTTGCTTGTTGAATCAGTATCATCATGCTAGCTGTTGAATAACGATTCCAAGAAATCAACCCCAAAAACACAAAAACTGTGGTGAACATCACTTAAAATAAGCTGAAATGTCAGTGAATACCGTGAATCCAACCACGTTCCAACCACGGATTCCACGGTGGGTTCTGCAATGTTCATTCCACGGGGATTCATCCAAAATTGGCCATGGATCATTTCACCAGAAATCGACACCCCCTACGGATGGTGGTGGCCCCCCTACCCTCTGGTAATTTAACGTAGCTATTGAAAATGACCATTTATAGTGGATTTTCCCATTAAAAATGGTGATTTTCCATAGTTATGTTAGTTTACCAGAGGGTAAATATAGTTGTCACTATAAACCCAACAATTATAATAGTTAGTCAATGATTAATGTCCACCAGAAACCCAACAGGTGTAGTTAACTATGACTATGATAAATCCACCATAAACTCTAGTTGATCAGTGTCCACCCCAATGGATTGTCAATTGTGACAATCCCAATTAATCTTGGATAGTATGACATAGTATACCCAGATATAATCAAAAACCAACAAGGGTTTAGCAGCCTCTCCTCATTTACACAAATCCCTTGATTGTTGGTTATATATCATATTTTCCCGTGAAATTCCAAGTATATCTCCTATAAGCCACTAATATTCCTGTTATAATCCATTATAATCCTATATTCCCTATGTCCATCTACTATATATAATCCTACATTCCTGTATATCCTATATATCCTATATCATTACTATGTATATAATATAAATTAATATAATATAATATATATATATATATTCTGTATATCCTACATATCCTCTATATATATATACATATATCCATGGAATAATCCATTAGTCATAAGGCATGTCTCCCAACGCTCGTACCAGCGCTGTTCCATTGGACCCAGCGGCCCAGGCTTCACTTCAGTGCCCAGGGCACCCAAGATGCGTCGCAAGAAGGTGGACCTTGGAAACTGGATCGACGATGATGTACACATTACTAATATGCGAAAAAAAAAAAACATAGATATGAATATGTACTTAGATTTATATAGATGTAAATAGAAACATCTAGATGTATACACATCATGTATAAATACATGATGTACATACACAACTAAGGGGAATGAACAATACACCATTCTGACCATGTTGGAATAAGGAAATCCCCTACAAGTGACAGATAGTTTTCTTTGCCACGATTTGTTTTGCGAGAGGCTTTCAAGGCATATCCATGATTCGAAATTCATATTATATATATATATATGTGTGTGTGACATTTTGACACGTGTAGTGGGTATGGATCTCAACTTATAGGCTTATGACCTCTCTAGTTATTCAACCCTGGCTTTCACTATGGACCACGTGAGAGTGCTTAAGTACATTAAGTGCACCAAAATTGTCTCCTAGTTATGTCTAGTTCCCAACATAGTCTATGCTCACGGGCACGATCTCTGGATCTCTGGGGTCCCATTTCAACGTCAGCCAGCCTTTACGGGAATGATCAAAGTTTCTGGTTTGCGGTGGATGTACCAGGTAGTGTAATTCTGAAAAGTTAGTCCACATATCTAACCCCCAACTAGGTTTTTCATGATTCTAAATACATTTTGCCAAATCTGCATTTTTCACAGCGTTGAGGCTTCACACTTGCCGCATCCGGAGTCTGCAGCCACGCCAATGATCACAGGTTTGTCCTCTCTCCGCTCACCCATAAAATTACTGGGATGATACCCTCTGGTAAACAGCCACATAAAGCTATTGAAAATGGTCATTGATAGTGAGTTTTCCCATTAAAAATGGTGATTTCCATAGCTATGTTAGTTTACCAGAGGGTACATGGGTTTGTCTAAAAATGTGGTATACCGGTATACCAGTATATTTCCAACATGGCGATTTCAACCGGAAAATGAGGATGAACAATAAATCAATAACATGTTGGGGTATACACCAAGTTCAATCAAAATCATATAGAATATTATGTGTTGAATTTAAATGGTAAATTCAAAACACCAATTGATCACAAATAATTAAGAATTGAACACCTCATCATTATTATGTAAGAAGTTGCAAAAAAAATGTTACAATTAATGCAACATCCCCACTTTATATAGTGGTTGGTTGACTTACTAGTCCAGGGTTGACATGGTCTGGGCACTGAACCTTCGTGATGGGCTTGCAACACATGAATTGGCCCACAGTTTGATGGTTTCACAACCATCAAGTGGGGATGTCGCAGCTTACATTCCCAACATTCAAGATGGAATCCAGGATAGTGGATTCTACAATGATGTTGGCTGATGGATTCACTATGGAGTCTACACCACACTATTGGCCCACATAGAACCAGCGAAAATGGCGTTCCATGCTTGGATATAAACCAGGCCATAAACGACCAGTGGATGGAACATCTGACATCTCCATCTATGGATTTGAGATTTGAAATCCAAAATTCCTGGCTACAGTGCGTCCAAGTGATAGTTTCATCGGAATTCAACCACCGGTGACTCGGACAAGAATGTTTGAGTTTGCGTTTGGGGCTAAACAACCACTTGTACAATCGCGCATCTTTACCATATCCTTCCGACATATAATATTGGGCAATAAGTCAGTCTATCTACTCATCACCAAATATTCAGATATGTTGTACCATAAAGAAAACTTTTACCACAAAAAATAAATGATGGTACAATGGTTGTTTATTAAGATGATACATTAACTCTTAACTATTAGATTGTAAATGGTTGACTTCTCTCCAGATCTGTTTTTGAAGCGAGAACCATCTTACGTAGAAAAACTACTGGGTTTTTGGGTCTGAAATGTTGACCCATAAAAACATGCCAAGATGGTCAAATTTTCCAAGACATTTCTATCATTCCGCTATTAAAAAAAAAAAAAACTATAGTATACACTGTAATATAGAATAATGTAGTATAATATGGTATATGTCTGTATTTCGTAATACCACCTCAACAATATAATTCTACTATTAGACTATAGTAGTTTTACTTTTCATATAGTATCGTCACTATATTAGAATAAATTGCTACTAGTATCAGTTGCTATCATATAGTAACACTAATGTCGCATGCCATATAGTAATAGAATAGTAATTGATTCCCATGTGTCTATCACTATAGTGGGTTATGGGTTCTGGTGAAACCCAAGTATAATGTGCCCACGTTTCATTTCCATACCTATAGTCATGCTAGAGCAAATAGAATATAGACATTTCAAAACAATCATCACTAAAAATGGGTTTGTCTTTGAAAATTCCACATTTTATCGACTTCAGGATGACTATAAATATGTATATATATACCACGTTTCTGTTTTACAGCCGTCCTCCAGCTTCATGGAGCTGTCCAAGATTGGCACCATGTCATCCTGGAATCGAAAGGAGAAAGCGTTGGTCTGCCCGTGGGGGAAAAAACTATAATATTTTGAAATTGCACTCATACTAACACATGTATGATCATGTATGTATATATGTGTATTATATAAAGAATATATTGATACATTAACAATACAGCTTCTGTACATACCAATATATATATATGCTACCCCCACCCCTGATACCCACCTTGAGCGGCCTGCATGCGTGCAGAGCGAGCATTGACATGAATATGTTGAAGACATTTGCCAGCAGATGATGGATCAGGAAGGACATGAGAATCAGATTATTGAAGCAGATGATTGAAGCAAATAGGCGTGAAATTTACATAGGAAGCCCACAGATATGCGATGGCAGCAAAGTCAAGAAGGTTAGAACACAGCAGAAGGTGCTAGCAGCGACGCGCTGATTCTTTTGAACTCTGCCCCGCTGTGGTGGCTGGGCTCTCTAGGCCTTCAACAAGAACCACTGAACAAGAGAACCCGTTGCCAACCACAGATCGTGCCCCTATGCCAGTACTCATACTGAGCAGAGCGCAAACGGGTGCGCAGAAGACTGCTGCCAACTTTGCAGTTCTGGTTGATGTTCAACCGGTCTTTGAGGAAACGCCAGCATCTGTCAATGATCTGGGTGCCCTTTTTGACTGTGATTGCCTTCTTGCTGCCGGGGAGGACATGCTTGTGCAACTCCACATACTTTGGAGTGAGCCATTTCCATTCTCCATTGACTTTCACCCGCTTCTTTTTGTGGATGACCCGGTCATGGAGGACACCCTTGACTTTGATGGCATAACTTTTTGCCGAGTCGGTGTGGAGAATAGTGTCACGGTGTTGAAGCCATTTCACAGCCAATGGTTGCCATTCAACTTTTCGAATAGCACCGGGGCCTGGAGCGCGAAGTTTGGAGATGACTGGCTTCAAGCGATGGAGGACAAGCGTCTGAGGTTTACCTCTTTGGACAATGCCGCACCACTGCTCCCAGTGCAGCTGTCCATTCACGACCTTCTTGTCAAACGTGGCTTCATCGGCTTCCACGTCCTGCCATTTTCCACCTTGCCCAAATTTGATGTCCTTCTCCTTGTTCCTGACCCACCTTTCACGTAGCTGGCCTAATCTCTTCTCCATATCCTCAATGCTCTTATGGTTCACATGCAGGAGGCGATGGATGGTGGGGTGGGAAACACGGTTGAGCAGGAGCATCAGTAAACATGCCTGGGTGGCAAGCGGTGTAGAAGAAGAGCCCCAATGATCCACAAAAATGGGGTGAGCATGATGCGGGTTGATGTAGGTGTGGCATTTCTTGGCACTGCATCTATGCTTTAGTAAACCTCCAAGTTGTTGAAGGCCACCAAGGGTGCCACGGCAGCATCGCGGACAGACATGCCCTTCCCATTTATGAAGAAGTCCATCTTCACGAAGCATCTTCACCAAAGTAGATGGAGAGCTTTGCAAAATTTGTGCCAAGGAGCGCTTCCATTTGCAGCGGTCCATGCGAACTTCAGGAACTGCATCAGGGGATCGCACATACTTCACTTGCTTCCATGCCTTGGTCTTCATGCTCGCAGGCCGTTTCAATACAGCACGTAGCTTACCTTTCTTGGGCACGGGAAAGTTGTTGAACTTGGACATGGCAAGGCGCAATTTCGGAGCTAGGCGGAAACCAAACAGCTATAACGAGTGACAAAATTGAATCAGACACTGAATTTGAATGAGCAATTAGGTTTGGTATGGTGCTGGTGGACTTGGAGTGGAATGATTTGCAAGCGCTTGCAAGCATGAGGGTAGACAAACTCAGTTCCGTTGACAAAAGAAGCTGTGGGACAAACTTTTTTCCCCAGATATGATCAATGCGATAGCTGTCTATCCGGAACGACAGCATGTACGCAAGCTATTGCACGTGAAGTACACGCACAATAAATTGGTGAAGCTACAGTAGCTACTCCTAAGCATCAAGAGTGCCTAGCGCATGAGCTGCCTCTTCATCTGCAGCGGTGTCTAGCAGAGCAGCTTCAAAGTCCATCTCATCATTGGTGCCATCCTCCAAGACAGCAGTCTGTGCCTCGGCAGCCTGAGCCAACTCTTCCAGCTCTTGAGACACAGGTGTTGCTTTCCTCCGCACACGGCGGCCAGGATAGACAAATGGACCAACACGACGACCAGAACAATGAGTTCCAATGGGTGGCACAGGACGAGCAGCCAAAGGCACCTGGTCGTCGTCATCCGACGATGGAGAGCCTGGAAGAATGCGGATGTCCTGAGATCGGAACAGTGCATCTTGAATCTTGCCGTTGACGAACTCAATGTAACCCTGGACTTCCTCATACTCTGCCATTGTGTTCATTGCCTGCTCCAGCATCCTTTGCTCTCGACCTACATCAGTATCAAAAGAGGGGCCAGTTTCCATGGAGCCTGCCTTGTACTTGCCATAGAAGGGCTTGTCTTTGTCAGACAGCAAGTCTTTGTGCAAGTCGTCTACACAGATGCGGTGGATGATGGCCTCCTTATTCTCACTGGGCAAGCGCAAGTATAGAGCCATACCGGTGAAGACGAAGATGATGGAACGTTTCAGAACAGCCAGAACATCTTTTTCCTTCTCCCCGGCAAACAAGTCATCCAGCATGACCAGAAAGCGTCCTGGAGGGAGAGTAGTTCCAATCTTTTGCTCTTCCTCCAAGTCATCTTTCAGATCATTGGAGGCATAGGCCCGCAACTGATTCCTGATGAGGCGGGTATCATTGTAGCGGGACTCAACAGTTCCATCCTCATCCACAGTCAGGAAACTCTTCAAGTCAGCCATGCTCACTTTGGCGCGGCAAGGGTCATCAAGGAACAAGGCTTCTTGAACGCGAGGAGCGCGGTGACGAAAGTTGTCCAAAGACTTGGCCCTACGCCACCCAGGTTTCAAGTTTGTATCACCACTCAGGCGTACATGATACCTTCCCAGGGCCATTGCCAAGATCACAACAAAGGGAGTCTTGCCAACTCCTGGACACCCCAGCAACAACACGCCAAAGTTGAGCATCAAGGGGTAGAGGAGAGGCAAGAGGGCTGAGTGTAAGAAGGGCTTGAGGCTGTAGGTAGTCAAAGGGAACTCTGTCATGCTCACGGCTCCCGCTTGTCCTCGACTTTTGTTCTGGCACATGAGCCGAACCTTTGGCTCGGGCCAGCTGGCAATTGGCGTGCCGGAGTCGGACTTGATGTTTATGAGGATCCACAGGGTCTGCTCATTTTGTGCGTCACACTCTGGTGCATGCGCGTTGATGAACAGAACGCCTTCCTCAAGTTCAGCATTTGATGGGGACCATGAAGGTTTTGGTGGAGCACTGTCTGCAGTCTTCTCTTCTAAGACATGCCAGCGGAGCTGATAACCACCAAGTTGACCTAGAAGCCATTGGGTGGCTTTCTTCACTTTCCATGGGCCTGCTCGATGGACAGGTAAGTGCATTTTGCCACTGCAGAAAGAACTGGCTAGTTGGGAAGAGATCGGACGGGACGTGTAGATCACCTTCAGGACGTCAACCTTACCATCGTCCTTGCTGACATGGATGAAATCAACCTTGGATCCTTCAGGAAGAGGGGCTTTGAATTTGATGGCTGCTGGAAGGCCTTCCACATCTGACTCGGAGAGCTTCTTGGAAGTTTCAGCAGGGTCTCCACAGGCTTCCATGGACAAATGGACATCAAAGACGAGCCTAAAGGGCTGGACCTTGACACATTCCCGGCAAGCCTCCGCAATGAACTTGTCCATGGCCAAGGGTGTCTCACAATCAATGGGACTGTGGTCTGGCTTCTCTAAGAGACGTAGAAGCATCTGTTTGCCAGCCAGGTCTGCTATGGCCTTGTCCATCAAAGCGCCGGACATTTTCGTCAGATTTGAGAGCAACGATTGCGGGACAGGGCTAGAAGGCCAGGCTGAGCCAAATGTCACACAAGAAAGCAGATGTGAGGCAAGCAGAAGGAACCAATGTGCAGCAGACAAGCGCAATGTTTTGTTTTTGTTGTTTACGTTGCGGTTTTGGATATACAGCTAGGTTGGAGCTATGCACTATCTTACTTTCCCTGTATACCCTTCCTTTAAAGACAGCATACCTGCATCATGTCACCCTAACCCCAACTAACAATACCATTGTCACGCTGCAATAAGATTCCTTTTGTTCACCGCACAGCCGCTATCTAGAGTCCAATGCGAATCTTCAAGGCAGCGATCTCGCCCTTCAGCTTCGCATTCTCCTTGGCCAACTTGTCTCGCTCGGCTTTCACACGCATAATCTCTTCCTCGATTTCCTGGTGGCAGGCAATGGCATCGGAGAACTCCAAATTTTCGGCTTGAAGGCGGGTGATCTGTGCAAGAAGCTTTTCGGTGGTGGTTCCAGAAGACTTGGCAGATACATTGGATGACTTTGATGCCTTAGATGCTCTGGAGGGTGCCTTGGATGACTTCGATGCCTTAGATGCTCTGGAGGATGCCTTGGATGACTTCGATGCTGTAGAGGACGCCGCGGACGCCTTCGAAGAAGATGACGAGGACGATGATGATGAGGAAGATGACGACGAAGAACGCTTGCGCTTGGGCTGAGGAGGAAGATGCTTCATGTCCTCGAGTGCCAGCTGAGGAGGTGATGAGGGATGTGCTTGGGCTGCCTTCTTTGGTTTGGCGAGGTTGGTCTGCAGCCTGCGTGTGGCATCTTGGGTCCATACTCCACTGATGCCGGTGTGGATGCCCAACTGTTTCTGGACACAAACCATTGCTGAAGCCAAGACCTTTTTGTTCATAGGGAGTCGTGACGAGTGAACATCCCAGAGCTGAACATCCTCAACGGTCGGGCGAGGAGCCTGAACGTAGACCACCTCCACGCTTGCAGGTTTCAAGCGCAATGTGGCTGAGCCATTGCTCAAAGAGACGCTGCCCTCGATTGGAAATTGCATGTTTGTGACCTTTTTCTAGTCAGAGACTTTTTTCGGATGAGATAGGCGGCTGCAGAGATGAACAGTGATGTGCTGAACTGAAAGTGTCTGACTAGAGTAACTGTTTCTCAGACCAGGTTTGACACCACCAAATCCCAGGCGCCTCTGCGGTGGTTTGTAGATGGCTTTGGAGCAGTTTGCCTGAGCAACTTGTTTGTGTGAGTTTTTTGACAGATAAGTTTGCACCTTGAGGTACTGACCAGGTTTGACACCACCAAATCCCAGGCGCCTCTGCGGTGGTTTGTAGATGGCTTTGGAGCAGTTTGCCTGAGCAACTTGTTTGTGTGAGTTTTTTGACAGATAAGTTTGCACCTTGAGGTACTTAGGCAAATTGCACGCAGACAAAAATTGCAATTTTTTGCAATTTCCAGACCCCAAATTCAAAGATTCAAAGATTCAAAGGTTGAAAAGAAGTTCTTTGAATCGAAGCCCCAGACCCCAGATTCAAAGATTCAAAGATTCAAAGGTTGAAAAGAAGTTCTTTGAATCGAAGCCCCAAAACCCAAATTCAAAGATTCAAAGGTTCAAAGATTCAAAGGTTGAAAAGAAGTTCTTTGAATCTTTCACTTGGGGTTTGGGGCTTCGATTCAAAGAACTTCTTTTCAACCTTTGAATCTTTGAATCTTTGAATCTTTGAATTTGGGTTTTGGGGCTTCGATTCAAAGAACTTCTTTTCAACCTTTGAATCTTTGAATCTTTGAATCTTTGGGGCTTCGATTCAAAGAACTTCTTTTCAACCTTTGAATCTTTGAATCTGGGGTCTGGGGCTTGGATTCAAAGAACTTCTTTTCAACCTTTGAATCTTTGAATTTTGGGGGCTTCGATTCAAAGAACTTCTTTTCAACCTTTGAATCTTTGAATCTTTGAATCTTTGAATTTGGGGTGTGGAAATTGCAAAAAGTGCAATTTTTCTCTGTGTGCAATTTGCCTAAGTACCCAAATTATTTAACCACATAGTACCAAGTGACGTGCAAGTGTATATATATATATATATGTATACATATATATATATATATACATACATTTATTTATATATATATATACATACATTTTTTACATACATATACAGTAGATCATTAAAAACCTACTTCTTGAATCAATGTGAGGTGGGTATCAGGGGGGGGGGTACCATATATATATATATATACAGTACACTGTGATATTATGTATATAGATATATCATTATTTAATATGCAGTATTATAATATATATATATATATCCAGTGACAATAGCATTATGTGTACATTTATATAGTCGCTCTTCCATGATGATCCAATTGTTTGGGATGGAACCTGCACAAATAATGCTTGCAGAAGCCACAAATGTGGCAGGTGAAGCCAACAGAAGTTCGGGAAAAGAACGAGGTCGTGAGGCCAAAAAAACGAAAAAAAATACAGTAATATTGTAACATATCATTAGTGTTTGAGCAATATGAGTAATATGATTCATTAGTTTCATAACTTACAACTATAATTTGTCTGTGATGTGGCAGTGCAATATGTGTGTTGGAGCCTCAACTATCTCATCCCAGTGGAGATAAAATGGGCCCAGGATGCTCCATGACGGCCGTGTTCAAATATGTTAAACCCACCAAAAAAAAAAGATTGGTTCCATGATGGTAGAGATGATCTTTACTTCAAATATCCATTTAGGGGGGGTGCTATGTGGTAATTATGTACCCAACTAGTGGTTTGATCGGTATTTTTCAATAGGATTTGAATGGGACGATGGCATGAGACGGAAGATGATGTCGTGTCTGTGCTGGACATGGTCATTAGGGGTACCCTCTGGTTATTTAACATAGCCATGGAAAATGACCCATTTATAATTTATAGATGGTTTACCTATTAAAAATTGTGATTTTCTATGGCTATGTTAAATAACCAGATCGTACATGGTATTCGGTTGTTGTCTCACCTGTGCCCGCTCTATATGACAAGACTTTGATGGATCCTGAAACAACAACATATACGATGATTGTGGGAACATCCAGTATTCCACTCTTGTAGAAACAATCAACCAAAACAACAACCTTGGACATAAGGACATGGTCGGCTGTCAACTGTTACCAAAGTACTTGCACTCGGAAGAAAAAGTCATACAAAGTGTGCAGCTTGCCTTTCCCATCACATACTTTTTTTTGGTCAGGTTCAGGTTGTCACTGTCAAAATGATCATATATAGATATTTTATAGTATATATATATTATAATGTGTATATATATATAATACCATATATAATTATATCCCTCAAGATGGAGGTTTTTTTCAATCCTAAAATGCTCCCCTTGTCCTGCTATCCTCCGGCAATTTCTCAGGTGGCTAGCTGGAAAATCCATGGGATTTGATCCATGGAAAATCTATCACCCATTGATAGATGAATTTCCATATAGGTAATATCCATATATGATATCATATATTATAACATATTATAACCATTATATATCATATATCTAACATCTCTCTTTAGGATGGTGATTGTCCATTGCTCTGTTAGGCAACATCGACGGAAATCTATAGAATGTATCACCTCTCTGATCCATAACATCAGCTGCTGGTTGGTGGTTGACCTACCCCTCTGCAAAATATGAAAGTCGGTTGGGATTATTATTCCCAATATAATATATGGAAAAATAAAAAATGTTCCAAACCATAACATCAGCTGTTTATAGTACATTGCCTTCTTTGATTACAGAGTCAACAGGTACCCCAAGGACTTGACTCAGTCCCATCCAAGTTTCCTTCCAAGCGTGAGTGGGGTAGAGTTTGATGCCATCCACCTGGGACTTGTTTGGCACTGAGCACTCGGAAAAAATGCCATGCAGTTCATTGATGTTCATTGTATTTCTCTCCAGAATTCAAGCTAAATTTGAAGGAAACACAAAGAAACCATGTTTTTTTCCTGTCAAATGTGAAGTTTTGCTCAAAAATGTACCATCGAAACCAATTCTGGAATCTCTGAGGCATCTTTGGCATGGCAAATGCCCAAAAAATCACCACGAAGAGTTCCTCTTGATCAAGGTTTGTCTGAAAATGGGACCGAAGGTTTGATGATTTACCATTCGGTACTAAAACGTGGCAATGAGAAATCACCTACAAATACTTATAAATGAAGGATTTTCCAGCTAGCCACTAGCCACGTTTGATTGCCAGAGGTACTTCTTTGGACAGCCGGGTCGTTAGGATTCACCGGAAAAGAAACACGGCTGTTCGACCGTTGAGTGTATCTCGCCCGCCCAATTTCTCGAAAAAATATCCAATTAAAGGCATCAAATGGTAATCTGTTTCACTTGCAATGTTCCAGCAATAACCTAGTAACTGGAGGTTTCCATCCAATTGTCCATCATGTTCCAAAGTGTCCTGTTGAAGTTTCACATGTGTTGGTTGAATCCCCTAAGGTGAGGGTTCAAGCCCAATGTAGATACCTACATCCTAGTTTGGATGCCAAATTTTATGTTGGCAAAATAATCGTAAAGTTGCCGTCAAACATTCAAATGAACTAAAGATGATAAATACGAAAAAAAAACAAACAATCAACCAATACAAATCCCGACAACTGCATGAACACGTTTCTCATTGAACCACAAAAAACGTCTGAGATTTCGTCATGTTGTTTCCATTAAAGATCCCTGGAACAAATCCATGGCCAATTTCAGGTTTTTCTTGTTTCAGCGGGGTCATCTCCCAGGAGAAGGACCACACGAATCTACCAAACGGATCTTGATCCCAATACTATTGTTGTTTTGAAAGCAACTTACCCACAAATATCCCATGAAAATCAAAAAGAACTGAGTAATTGCCCATTGAAAATTTCATTTTTCCCATGATATTCCCGAAAAATTGTTGGTTGTATACCCCACTTGTAAGTTTGTGTACCCAATAAATACCGCTGGTTGAATCCCGGAGTTTGATTCTTGAATCCCAATTGATGTTCAAATAGTTTCCATATCTATATCCATCAAAAAACCCATTGCATATTCTGTTTATATTACACATATCCCATTTAAAAAAACCCATCAATTGTCCATAATCCATGAAGATCATCGACGCAAATCCAAGCTCCCCATTATCCTGAGAATCCCAATCATATCCCTATAAATCATAAACCCCTATGGTCGTTGGGAAAAACAGCATTGAGTCATCCCAGTTGAGTAAAACATTATATAAGTATCACAGTGTTATCACATGATTATCCCATTTAGTTCGATGAATTTTCCATCAATTATATTTAATTGCAATCAACTATGATCAATCTTTAATAGTGGTATAATTGATGGGATATGTATATTCATCCCACCATTTATATATATAATATCAAAATTAACTATGTTATGTTAAGTCATATTAAATCATATATTAAATTGTATTAAGTATGTTATTATACATTATAGGAAAAATTAATACCTTATATTATATACTTTATTTTTATTTAATTTTATATTATATAGTGTATGTTAATTAAATTATATATACTGTATATTAAATGATTTGTTGTATATTATATTGTTCTAATTACATTATATTAAATTATATTATACTATATTTTATAGTATAGTTTTCATTATGTTATACATTCTATTTAATATATTATTATATATTATCTATTTTATGCTGCATTATATATATATATCATTTTATACTATATTGTTATATTACATTATATTATAAAATAAGTTATCTTATATTATATCATCATATATTAAATAATATTATACATTATATTTTACATATTAAGTTGTATAATATTATATTACATTCTGAAAAATTATTCATATATTAATCTTATATTAAATTATTTTGTTTTAAATTGACTATTAAATTAAATGTTAAATATTATATGTATTATATTAAATTTATGATATATACAATAATATCTTTTATTTTTATTATATATTAAATTATATGTTGAATATTAAATATTAAATCATATGTTCAATATAATATCTAATATAAAATAGTTTTAAAAATATTTTATATATTATATATAAAATTAAATTATATAAATCATATATTATTAAATTATATTTTATTATATTATATTATTTTGTATTGTACTATGTATTAAATATTTTATGTTATATTATAAAAAAAAAGAAATTTTGAATTATATTGTATACTATATTATATATAATATGATATATATATATTATATTCTCAATTATTTTAAATATTATATTAAATATTATATGATATATGATATTGTATGTAATACATTTTATTATAAAATATATTAAATATTAAGTATGAAATCATATTTTACACAATATTTTATTTAGTATATTATATCATATCATATAGCATCATACCAATGTATTTTATATTATATGTTGTTATGTTATGTTATATTATGTGTCATAATCCCTTGAACATCTCACCCAAAATTGCAACCCGCCTCGCGGAGCTTCTCCTCAGCCTCCGGAGAAGGCCAAACCAGGCCGGTGGGGACGCTCTCACCACCTCAGTCATAGAAATTCGGAAGTTGAGGCTTCAAAATTTGGGGAAGGGGATCTCAGCCGTGGAATTTGGGAATTTAAGTCTTCCAGGGGTTGGTAGGTCATCCCATGTCATCCCGATGCGCCGTGGCTCCCCACCACCTCTTCGCAAGGTGCGAGGGGTGAGGCGGTTGGTGTTGGAGCTGGGTCCCACGAAGGCCCAGTGGCAGGCGGAGAGGACGCTGGCAACCTCAGCACGGAAAAAACTGTGAGCTGAATTCAAGTGATGGGCCATGTTTTTGGGGTGGGGTGGGGTGGGGCATTAATTAACGTCTCATGTTTACTTGCACGCATAGGATATAGGCTACGTCATGATATCTTCTCTTGCACCTGCACACACTTGGATACACCCCGAAGGGAGAGGATGAAATGAGACGAAATGACGTCATGTCATGTTATGTTACATGTCGGCAAGGGTGGCTTATGGCTTAGCGACCTGGCCATGCCCGAAGTTAGAAAGTCGCAGGTACGTTTACAGCTCTCATCATTGGCCTCTTCGTTGGCCATCCACCAATGATGAGAGGGATGGCCCCCTGCTGATACCGTTTGATTCAGGGCTTTCCACACTCACCAAGCCGCTGGGGCACGATTTTGCGAACCAGAAAAATTGTCCTCAATGTAGTGTGCTGCTTCCCATGGTGTTGTGCTGTGACATGGAACATGGTGCTCAAATGTCTGTGACGTTGTGTTGCTTGCTCCAACATAAAACCTAGGGAAGTTTCACGGCGTTCAGTGCAAGTTCCACGGAAAAGGCCGATAACACACACACACACATGATGCTACTTTATGATATCTTCTGTTCCAGTCAGATGAAGAACCGCAACCAACTCCGAATGGTAGATTCTGGGACAGAATCTACCAAGGGATTTTAAGGATGTTTTAAGGAGAATTTGGCAAAGTGACAACCAACTGAGCGACAACATGAAAAAAGGATGAAACACATGCAGCTTAAACTGTCTGTCGTCAAATGATCCAAACACATCATTCCTGAACTAGCAAAACGTGATCCGTTTTCGTACATTGAAGTAAAAAACGTAGGTTTGCTAACAGCCGTGTGACCATGTGGTTTTGTCGCAAAATTGCACGGTTGAAGTATTTACACAACAAAGATCATGTCACAGTGTGTTTTACCAGGTCGCAGGTGTAAGGACCTTGACGAATTTCACCAGGTCGCAGTGGGGTATCACCAGCTAGTTTTGGGCAACCTGCATTGACTAATCATCTTGGGGCAATTAGAAAAAGGCAGCCAATTTATGTAGCAATATCTATGTGCCATATATATGTACCATATATATATATATACATAAAGCAAGAAAAAACAATGTAATATACATATATATATATATATACGTATGTTATAGTCTCAGTCAGCAGAGCGGGATATGCTATATCCTCTGTTGCCGCAACTATCCGAACCACACATGCTGAATAAAACCACTTCTGGCTGGCCAGGCAAAGTTCTGCATCGTTTTATCGTGGATGCATCCGTTTGAGTGATACCCCAAAAGAATGGGTGTTCCCAACAAAACTGACCAAGTTTGGATGATTTGGGGTTCTCCATTTTTAGAAGCCACCATTTTTCTGAGAAGACTCCATCCGGCATTCTATGATTCCCACCTTCCTATTTGCCTTGCCAAGCAACAGCTGCCAGCTGCAAGAGTCCCGAAGATCGCGTCTTGGCCATTTTGGATATGGCTCTGAGTCACGGCACCTTTTTGTTTCAGGCACGAGCTCGGAAAAAAATAACTGCGGTCAGGAAGTGTGCCAAGAGCTTTTTTGTTTCACAAAATCTACCGCCGAAGTCCCAAAACCATGATGGGTGTCCTCTCAGAGCCTATATGTTCACCATGGTTCACCCCACCTTTTGGGTTGCTATCGATGGCCTTTTGAATAGAGATGTTGAGGGACTAAAAACTGCTATCGAGGCATGGTGAAAAACCAAAACAATCATTTCTGTACTAAACATTTTATGATTTCAATGATGTTGCATGCATAGTAAGATATGGTAGGGCAGCAAGGCATTGTATACTCGCCAAGTCGAGTACTGTTGGACTTTGGGAGAACTGCTCCAGGAATACTGCCACCAGGTCTACTTGGGGGTCCAAATGAGTAATAAGCATATCACAACCCAGTTATGTGCGGCAGTTTCCCTAATTCATATAATGAATAATCTATATTATATATGTATGTGTATATACATATATAACATGTATAAATTATATCTACGTATATTATGTAAGGTAAGGATTATACATGTGTTACATAACATATACGTATATTATGGGTTGCTAACCAATTGGTACTTGGGATGCCGCCTCCCTATACCATCCTATACCCACGACCCTCCACTTCTTTCTTATCCGGCGACTGGCAACGGGTCGGATGCCCGTGCGATTTTTGGGTCGCAGAACCTGGTCCCAAGCGCCGAAAAGAGGTACCTGACAATTCTTCCTTCGGGGGAAACCAGCCTAGTGATATCATATATATATGTATATATATATATACATATATATTATAGAGAGAGAGATAGTCATATATAAAAGCATTTTTTGTGAAAAAACGAGCACCATTGGACCAGGTTACGACCTGGTTGCCATGGGCGAGGCGAGGGCTGGCAGCGTAGTCGACGTAGTGATGCCAACGGAGCAACTACTGTGCCATGGATATTTTGGAATAGTTTTGGGAATACTTTTTGGAATAGTATTCGGAATAGTTTTAAGTTGTTGTTTGATGTTTGTTGCCAGAAAGGGAAGATATCCAAAATGTCCCACAAATAGCTTGCTGTTTTTAGTAAAGTGATGAGAAACTTTAGGGTACCCACAGATAGACAAGCCCATGTTTGTTGATGGATGTTGATTGGTGGCTTGCTCCCTTATTGCAGGATGTATAGTATTTGGATCCCGTCAAGAATGGTGACTTAAGCAAACCTGGTGGTATAATGAGATATCATGGGGATGATGATAAATTATCAACCCCCAAAGAAAACCCTGATATAGTGCTGGATCTACTCGTGAACTGGAATATAGGGGAAATATTTAAATGTATTTAATATGATTCCAGGATGGGATTATTCAGAATATTTACCTGTTCGGGGAATTATACCCCTCTGCCTGCGGATCTGCACACGAATCTTGATGGGGGTGTCCCTCAATGTTGACGATGCAGACCCTGAAAAAAAGTATTCAGTATTCAGTATTCCTAGTTTCAGCTTTGACTCAGGAGAAGTCACCTAAATTGTCACGTTTACCAACTTGGTCTGGCCAAATTTATTGGATCTGAGATTGCCACGAGGGCACTGGCTTTTGCCTGCGACATCACTAAGCCAACGCACCAGGAGGCTTTTGCAAATTGTAACGGTTTTGGAGAATTGCATATGCTGACCGCCAACTGCAGCAGCATGCGGCCAGTACAAAAATGGTATAAAACGGTTGTTTGTGTCTTCTGCCGGCTTGTCTTGGTCCGGTGGCCCTTCAGCAAAAATGCCTGAGACATTCAGGATACGTTCCTTTCTGTTGTTTGTAGCAGTTTGTTCCCTCCATTCGTCCAAAATACCAGTCTAGGAAAAATATGTGTTTGTCTGGGTAACCCTAAATTTGATATTTGATGATCATCTTCCCCCTTAAAATGAGCATTTTTTTTCGGGTATAGTGCCATTTTGCATTTTTTTTCGGGTATAGTGCCCTTTTGGGGTACCTTTTACCCATAAGAAGTTTTGCTCCATCTTCATGTGCCATGAATGAACTTGGTATCCTCCCATACACAACAGTGTTTTTAAGCAGCAGTGGCAACAACCCCAGAAACCATGGTTTTGTAAAAAGAAACGTATTTGGGACCATTTAGGGGTTTGCTGCTGGAGGGATGGGATTAGCACAGGTACAACAACTATCACTCAGTGTAGCCGTGTAGCCACAGTATCTTCCCATTATCCCACTTTAACCCCACCATAATCGTATGGCAGCCCCGCTCTAACCACGAAAAGAAGCTCCCCATGAAGAACCTTCAACCCCCGAGAAAAAAGATTGCATATGCTGCATATGTTTAACATGCTATGTTTTTCTGAACAAACATGTACTCATGTAAATCCCTTATATATAACCCCACTAAAATATACTAAAATATCATTCAGATTCATAGAGTACCATGGTAACAAGCACCAGCAGCTTCCACATTTCACAGCCTCACAGCATTGCTGATCAGGCCGCCTCATCATGGGTTTCTCTGAAAGTGGGGTACTCCAAAAATTCATGGTGAATCAATGTTGATCATTTTCCGCAAAATGGGCTATGTATTTGGTAAAGCCAAATTTTGGACTCCACAAAATGTGGTGAACCAAGTAATGAACCAGGCCCATTTTATGTTTTGAGATGGTATTGAATATGTGTATATATATATATTTATTATTATTATTGTATCAAACATTTTTTCCCGGGGTTTACCACATCAATGAAGTCTCAGCCAGTTTGCCCATGCCTCACATGTTATCACAAAAAATTATCAAATTGAAAGATTCTTTGTGTGTGTGTGATGTGTTTTGGATGGTTTTCCAGTTGTCTAATGTTGTTTAGGCATGTAGGTAGGTAAGCCAGTCAAGTGCATATGGTAACACGCAAATAAAATACCTGTGCTACGAAGTATACACTATATGTATGTATATGAATATGTGTATATATATATACATACATATACATATACATATACATATAGATATACATATATATATATATACACATACATGTATGTATATATATATATATACATATGTATCTGTCTTGCACATCAACCAGTTGACCTGCATGCCTTTGGGACACATATCACATAGAAATGAACAATCCAGCCTGCAAACTCCAAGTCAGAACATCCAAATCCTAGATGGTGGATTCTCTTCATTTCTGAGAGCTTGACGCGCACCAGGTTTGACACCGATATTGACATATTCATTCTTGCCGGGTCTGAGGCAAAATCTCAGACCAATCCACAGCCCACTGTGATTCTGCACAAGATTTGACTACCCGGTCCAAAACACCATATCTTGTTCATCTTGACATATGGCTATGAGTTCCCAACCCTGGCACCCTAGGTACCCTAGAGCTGGTTAATGGATGTTTATTCCCCAAAAATATGGTAATTTCATAGGTAACTTGACCCATCCCATCCCCATATCTTGACATCCAACCGATCTAACCGTCCCACCTTGCCAGTGATCTTCTCGTAGATCTCACGCACCTGGACGCAGAGATCTTCGAATGTGGATCAGGTGGTGATACTATGTGATACCGAAAAATATCTTTGAATCATCCAAAGAAGTCCAATTTGAATAGATGTGACAGATGTGAATATGTCATCATTGCTTTGATTCTACCAAACTTTGGGTCGACTGCGTATGAATAGTCACGTGGAATTATACCAGCCAAATCTGGTTGCTGGTTGAGTCTGAGTGCCAAGAATGTGGTAAACCTCGCAAAGTGGAGGAATAAGGACCCCCGATGAAATACATCATTGGTCAACCTTCAATACCTGTAAAGAGCGTGTTGCTTAGCTCGTACATGTCCCATGTGTAGCAAAAAAATGTAACCCACCCTTACTTTGCTGGTGAAATCCCATCTTTGATTTGCTCCAGCTAACTAGCGCAGACGACATTAACCCATCATTTGTATACATCTAAATGGGAACCTATGGGGGCTTCCATTACGGAATACCTCAGGCTAAATCCCAGTCGTACCATTGGTTTGGTCAGTCCGTTGACCCAGACATTGCTAGCTTTCGGAATCTCAAAGGTCGGACAGCACTCAGTTTTTGATCAACAAGATCAACATGCTTGGACAACGCATTTTGTGCGATGTCACTCAGCCGGAAAGCATCCCGGAGTAGGAGATTTCGGAGTGGTTCACTCCTTTGTACTGAGATACCCCTTTTTGTAATCTCGTGAACAACCTGTTGCTGTAGCAGCTGTAGCAAGACATCTAGCATCATCCGGATTTTCTTTAATGATCCACCAACCTGCCACCAAGGTTTGCACAGGATTGACCCAAACAAATCGCAATTCTCCAATGTCCATTACAACATATCGCTTTTTCAGCAATAGGCCATCTCTGCTTGGGTACTCAAGCAATGGAAAGACGGTGGTTCATGTTGCTGGCTTTCATCTACCAAGATCAGAATGTGTGACAATGTTACAATGTTATCTTTATATTTTGTTCACATCTTTATCCACATGTGTTTCAAATATTTTGTCTACAGCATCATCTCCACTCCAAGACTCCAAGCGTAAGGATAAGGGGAATCATCTGTTCCTCGTCAACTTGGCGTTCTGCATCCAACTCAAATCCTTTGCGATCACAACGTGAGGACGACAGGCCGCAATGGGGACACGCCCAGGGCCGCAAATCATATGTAGATGAGGTCCCTTTCAACAGGGCTGCTGCTCCCACCTTCACCTCCAACGATAGGCAAGTTGTTGGTTTATGACTAAACTAGGTGAACATAATTTGAACATACTCGAAATATGTCATATCTTCTATAAACTAGGTAAGTTTGTACTGTTATGGTAAATTTGTATGGTTCTGAACCATGGTAAGATTGGAACCAAGGGTGAAAATATGAGACATCAAATGATATCCGGCCATGGTTTGGGGACATACACCAACACAGAAAAACACCATCCAAGTTTTGGGAGTTCTGTCATCACTGCCCCAGCAAGACCCAACCTGTCATTCAACAATCCGAAACAATCTTAATGCATCATGAATCCTGGTTCTACAACCAACCATGGGATACGTTGCCACGTTTGGATGCGTCCATATAATGGCCGTTACATAATCACCATCAGGAATCTGGGGCATTGCTCATATGAGCACAGCTCTGAATGACGACTCTTGGAACCAATCATGTTTGGAATTGGGCCAACGAAAGATAATGTACGTCGTATAATTGTATCCCAAACATGTACACATAAGTCCCTGCTTCAGGCATGATACCTGTTGGTTCAAACCATTGTTGTTCAAATGACCCGATTCTATTTCCCCTCGGTTTTACTGCCATCATGTGGCTGGAAATATGCAGGATGCAGAATCAGAAGTATACAATAATTATATGTACAGTGGGCCAAACAATGAAACCCAAAAAGTCTCTGGGATTCAACATGGGCATTGAAGCGTTGGCACAATTATTCGATCCATGTTGCCAACATGTGCCTTTCCCCGGCCCTTGTTGCGCGCAACCCTGGTTCGTTTTCCATGAAAGTTGCCTCTCCACCATCGGGTTCCCCCAGAAACTAATGTTGTTCCTACGGTTTTTTTTAATCACTTGCCATGTCCTTTTCTCATCTATTTTTGCACCCCGTATGTCAAACCTAGGCATATTGTACAGGTTAAAATCCTTGTTCGTCATGTTTCATAGTTGAATTACTCCGTCATCGTATCTAAAAATAAATATATCATACTCATATGTCATGGTTTTGATATACCATTCCAAAAAAGATATTCACAGAACACATATTGTTACATCTTTCAAATGCCATATGTCTATGTATGTCATATTCAACCTGGCGTTTATATATCACAGTTAAACGTATTTATATATGATGTGATATCACATGTATATGGCATATTTATATGTCACATTGAGATTTCATATTTCTGTATCATATCGTTGCTATACCAGATTTGTATTTAATATTGGTATATCCATTCATATCAATTCATACTATATCATGTCATGATGAATTACTAATGTATCGTAACCATAAAGAACATCACTATCACCACCAACTGACATGGTCAATGCTGATATCAATCAAAATCAAAATCTGATTACAAAAAGTATTTACATATATGTATATATATATATATATATCGGATACATTTATATATATATATATATGTAACTATAAATAATATATAAATAATATATATATATAGTTATAACTATATATATATATATCCCTCACGTGTAGAGATGTGTATATATATAAATATATATGTAGTTATAAATAGATAGTTGTGTATATATATATATATGAATATAATACGGAAATTACATCTAAATATACTATTTTTGTTAATATACAAACTGGTATTTTAGACTAGCTCCGGGAAGGTTTTCCTTGGCCCACCCAGCCATTTAAACATACATACGGAATCCAACTTAACATATATACATTTAAATATACGGATGGAAATGGTGTTTTATACTACCTCCGGTGCCTTGTATTCTGGCCAGCCCTTCACATATCTACATGTTGTTACCGTACATGTTCACACCCCCACCAGAACCTACCTTCCTCATTTTCTTTCAGATTTTGTTTTTTTAACCATGTAAACCCTATTTCCAGCGCCACATTTCATCCAAAGGACTGTCGTATCCCCAGGTCACCACCGCTCCATCTGCCAGGATCGCCGCGAAGGCCGTCTGAGTCGCCTGGATCTTCACTACCGGTCCACGAAGCCGGTGCTCGACAGCACTGCTGTCACCACCGTAGCCTGCATTACCCCAGGTGACCTAAGTCGGAAAGGGCCAAAGATGCTGGGAACACGGCGGTTTTTTTTAGGAATTCACTTCTAATGCCAAATAAAGACTGATGGGAAAACAACCGTCCAGAATATTTTCGTGGAAGTTATGGTGGTATACCAGCAAATCTACCACGTCATTTTAATGTTTCTGGTGGGTTCAATACCCCGCCAGGTGACCGCCAATGAGTTTCAGCCAGGCAAAAATTGGGATTAAATTTGGTCTTAATTCCGCAAACAGTGTGTCCACAATGAAGGGTTCTTGCCGTAAGTGTCAAAGGCCAGGGTTAGATCAGGGTACGCTCTGTGGCCCCTGGTTTTTTCATTGTGAATTCTCGCACAAAATTTACAAAATTTCCCTTTTGAGATGCCCATGTGTGCAGCCTCGCACAAAACGGTTCTCGCGCTTTGCTCGTTTCCAAAGGTGTAGTTTTGCTAGCATGCCGCGCTCGTTTTTTGAGCTACTGTATGTCCATTTCGTCGGACTTGGGCTCTTTCTTGTAGACCTCGACAAAAAAGTCGCTTTTGACATGTTCAATGTTCATGTTTCGTGGTGTGCGCAATGTTTTGTGAAAATCTAACATGTGCTCGCGCAACCCTCCCGGACTTTGTGCGTGTCAGATCGCTCTCGTTGTGGCGCGATGCGAATTTTGACATGGCCCGCACAGCCCTCTCAACACTTTGTGCGTGTTGGATCGCTCTCGTTGTGGCGCGGTCATGATTTTAGCTGATTCTCTTGGATCCTGGGAACGAGATCTCATGGATTCGCTGGAATGTCCTTCTATGACGGGTTTCATGGTGCATAATATAGGAAGATCTTGACCAAGGTCTCGTAATGAAATCCTGTCGGATGTCCTTGCGTGATCTTGTACAGGTCCTTATCAGAAGATGTTGTGAAGATCCTGCTGACATCCACTAAGGGGTTCTTGCATGATTTTGCGCAGGCCCTTATGAGAAAATCTGGTTGAAATCCTGATAAATTCTCTCTAAGAGGCTCTTGCGTGATCCTGCACAGGTCCTTAACAGAAGATCTTGTGGAGATCCTCATAAGATCCTCTCTAAGACTAAGAGGTCCTTGAATGAAGATCTTGCAGATGCCATGTCTTAGGGGCGCTTGTATGAAAGCTCTTGTGGGAGGCTCTTGGGAGCAAGATCTTGTAAGATCCTCTCCAGCAGCAGCAGGTCCTTTTATGACGGTCGTGAAATTCTCTTAGGGGCCCTGGCATGAAGATCTTGGTCAAAATCTTTTACAATTCTTTGCGAGAAGATCTTGGGGAAATCCTAGCGAAATGCTGTCAGAGGACTTTGCATGATCTTGTACAGGTCCCTGTGGGAAGCTCTTGAAAAGGTCCTGGTGAAATCCTCTAGGTGTCCTTACATTATGATCTCGCACAGGTCCTTGTGAGAAAATCTTGTGGAGATCCTGTTGAAGTCCTCCTCAAGAGGTCCTCGCATTGAGATCTTGCAGATGCTCTGCACTTGTGCTTAAAAGTTCTTCTGGGATGTTTATAGGGAAGTTCTTGTATGGAGATCTTGTGAGATCCTCTATATAGATCTATGTGGAAGGTACTTCTTTGACGACTTTTTAAAATTCTCCTAGATGTCCTGATATGAGGTTCTGGCATGAGGTCCTGACAAGTCGACATAGTGTTGCTTCTTGTGCCAAAACAAGTTCCTAAGCTACTGCTGCTTGTATCTGGTACGTTGACTTCCTACCCCCCACACTGTTTGGGGTCTCTTGCCAGTGGAATTTGACAGGGGTTCAATATGGTTGAACGCTATGAATGGCTATAAATAGAGCTTTTAGCAGCAACCATGAGGTATAAACGAAGCATCCTATAGGGATGCAATGGGATGTAGGATGATTTCATGATTCGTCCTGTTGGGAACAATAGGTTTGGGCATACTGGGCACAATCGAAATGGAGGGGACCACTCTCTATGTTTCCAAAAGTATACACTTGCGCACTCCCCTAGTGGCCTGTTCTGGGAATATATAAGGGGGATACATTTACTGCAATATTAATATACCCCAACACCTTCAGGAAAGCTCTGCAGAAGAAGGGAAAACATCGCCCAAGGCAGAAAAGTCGAGCACTATTGGATCCAGCCACAACGCTTCCGTCTCCTAACAGCGCAGCAAATGCAAAATTGTTGGATTGAATCTGCTTCACATCCTTCAAGCGATCTTGTACCTCCCAACTGTCCCCGCCATGATCTGGCCAACCCCAGGACACCACTGATCCATCGGCCAAGATTGCGGCAAAGGCGGACTTGGTGGATTGAATCGCCGCCACATTTCGGATCTCGGAAATCGAATTGGGGTCCAGAATGCCGGATGTGAAGGATCCACCATGCTGTGGATCCCCCCAAACAACAACTGTCCTGTCGGCCAAGATTGCAGCAAAAGCATAGTCGGTGGCTTGAATCTCTTGCACATTGACAAGAGATGCTTGAACTGCGAGACTGTTTCCACCACGACTTTGAGCTCCCCAAGTTACAACAGATCCGTCTGCTTTTAAAGCAGCGAATGCATACCTGGGGTTGAGCCACCCATTCAAAAAAGAATCGTTATTGCACCTTTAGGGAAGGGAAAACGACAAATTACAGTATGCGAAACTACAAACGAGCCACGCTATCAGAATTCTTGGTGTGGCCATAAAATAAATAACTATATCTTCAACCGGTTCCAACCGATGCTACGTCCTCTCTGAGCTGCCTGTTCGATTGAATCTTCTTCACATTGTGCAGCAAAGGTTGAACGGAATGGCTGTCACCACCACACATTTTGGCACCCCAGGTCACTACAGACCCATGCTCTCTGATGGCAGCAAATGCACCGTTGGTTGATTGAATGTGTGTCACCTGCAGGCGGCGATTCACAACCTGGATCTTGATATGGATTTGACTCACTTGACCCATTCATGCGTGAGCAAGTGGAAACATATGGTAAACTAGAGGATATCTGAGATATGTCAACAATTATGTTTTGTCAAATGCTGCTAGGAATCGTGGGGATTTTTCAGCCATAACCACCCAAATGGGATTCTTATGCTGCCAATCACATCCTACTGCAAGTAAGTCCTAGACAGTAGATGTGGGCTCCCTGTCATAGCTAATAATGTATGCTATATTAATCCTCAACCAGATACCCGAACATCTCAATCATTTCGACTGGCACGCCATCTCACTTTTGGGGTTCTGCACTTAATGACTGGACCCATCCCTACAATCGCACCAATTTCAGGAGCGTTCTTGAGATTGGACTTCCAATTTGAAGGGTTTAGAAACCATATTTTTGCATTCCAAGAACAATGTGCAGGTATATGGTACATCCAAATTTTACTATGTTTACCCGGAAAGCATCCCGTGACATCTCCACTCCCACAGCACCTTCTTCAGATCGAACTGCACCAGCCGTGTGTTCCCTCCACAGGCATCATCACCCCAGGCCGATACGAACCCGTCACTGCGGAGGGCGGCAAATGCACTCTGGGTCGCTTGAATTTGGGTGACGTTGCGCAATGCCTTGGAAGGGTCAATTGTAGATATAAAATATGTATATATATATATATGTGTATATATATGTGTATATATATATATATGTCTGACAATGGGGAACCCTATCTTTATCTGCTAGTTGCTCTTCATTTTCGTGCCTGCACCGGCTATTTTGGAGGATAGCTCGTTTTCAGACACACATATATATATATATATAGTGATATATATATATATATGTATGTATTATCATTATATATATATTATATTATATACTATATATATATTATTATATATAATATATATATATATGGGTTGTGTCTGAAAATTCCGTCTACCTGCAGGGTATATACCCAAAATGACAACGTTCATATAGTTCGTATGGAAAAAATGAAAAATTATCTTGAAAGGTCTGAATGTCCTTTATTCTATTCATTCGGGGTCCCTTATTGAGGGAATTTATAGATAAGAATAATATGCCAGGGGATGGAATGATATACTGTAGATGATTATGGTGAATTTATCAAGCTATTTGGACACCGTAAGATAGGCCAACAAACATTTCACTGGGGGGCCCGTCCTACATGTCCCTCCCTACTATTGAATACCCCCAACGAACCTCCAAAATGAATAGACCCAACACATTTCACCAGGGTTTGATTTTGGGTGGTACTTCATATCAGGTGTACGGGACCCAACGATTTCAAGATAATCCAGAACTCAGAGCCACAAAAAACACGTTCATCCGCAGCGAAAGAAAGCCTTGACCCTTGTCTTGATGTATCATCTGAGGTATGTGCTGACATTTGACATGTAATCTGACACGTATGCTGAGATATTACCTGATGTATCTTCTGCCTTGATGTTCTGACAGGTCAAGGTACTTTTTCGCAAATATGACACATCAAAATAATATATGTAATCTGAGGCATGATCTGACAAACCAACACAAAACCGATCTAATTATACCTGCAACCTGCCCACCGCGAAAGGCTACAGGTAGTACGGCTTGCCATCGCCAAAAACCACAGAACATCTGTGGACCCCTGTTTCAACCCCAAACCTACAATTTAAATCATTTTAAACCGTTCTATTCACAACTTAAGTATACCCCAAAGATATCTCACATATGTTCATAATTTTTCCTAGCTCCATGGATCCAGAATCGTGGCAAAGGGCTGGAAGGACATCTAGCGAAAGGCCACCATGTCTTTGAGATCCCCATGCGACGACTTGTCCATCGGATCTGAGCGCGGCAAACGCCTCGTCGGTGGCTTGGATTGCAATGACATTTGTCAAGCGATGCCGCACCAAACCTAGGAATGAAATGCAGAGTTCCAGGCAACTGCAGCTGATTGACATGTAGGACTGGTTTTTTTTTGGATCATGTTTTTGCCAAAGCTTTCGAGATTTTTTGGGAAAGGCTTTGGGATACAGTTTTGGGGGGTTCATGAAGGTTACACTAACATCTGCCGATCCCGGATCGAACATGATCAGCCCGGCAAAATCCTGGAGTAGAAAATGCAAAGTAGACAATTTAATCCCCAGGAGGGAAATATCAAAACAAGTCAAAATACAAAACATGAGGGTATCCAACGCGAGTACAAACAAACAACAGGACCAACAAAACCGAAAATCAATGAAATTCATGAGAATTCATCTATCTATATAACTATTGGAATCATCATCTGAATATTTTTTCAAAGATTCTTGTGAGCCCCAGGAACTGTAGTCGCCCCCGGCTCTAGGATCACCCCAGGCAACCACTGCTCCGTCGTCCAGGATGGCCGCAAAAGCACTCAGATTGGCTTGGATCGCAGTGACATTCCGCCCCGAGCGCTGATCGCCCAGCACGGTGCTGTGATCATCTGCACCGTAGTGGACATGACCCCACGTTACAACCTCAGTGGCAAGTCGTGAAACCACACCGCAAGTGCCTGTTCAAGAAACTGGAGCCAACTGAACAGGATTTTCAAAAAACATCCGAGCAAGGGAGGAAATATGAAAAAACCTGGTCCCTGAACCTGACCCTGTCCCTGTTGAGGCCTGCGTTTGACATATTAGAAAGTGTGGTGCTGAGAGGTGTATGAAGTGCATCAACTCCTACAACAGGATCATGATACCAATACATAATCAGCAGACCGTTTCTGGACACTGGACGGAAGACTGTTTCAAAGATGTTTTAAGCTCAGTACGCCCACTTTCTTCAAGTGAATACCCGTCCCTAAAGCAGAAAACTATCTATTCGATTCACGTTTCGAAATGACGAACCGCTACATCGACATAACCGTGGCTGAGACCTAGGTAAAATGTCGTTTTTGACATGTTCAATGTTCATTTTTCCTGGTGCGCGCAATGTTATGTGAAAATCTAACGTGTGCTCGCGCAACCCTCCCGGACTTGTGCATGTCAGATCGCTCTCGTTGTGGCGCGATGCGAATTTTGACATGGCTCGCACAGCCCTCTCAACACTTTGTGCGTGTCGGATCGCTCTCGTTGTGGCGCGGTCATGATTTTAGCTGAATCTCTTGGATCCTGGAAACGAGATCTCATGGATTCGCTGGAATGTCCTTCTATGACGCTCTTGCAAGGGTTTCATGGTGCATATAAGAAGATCTTGACCCAGGTCTGGTATAGAGGTCCTTGTGAGAAGATGCTGCGCAGATCCTGACGAAATCCTGCCGGATGTCCTTCAATGATCTTGTACAGGACCTTATCAGAAGATCTTGCGACGATCCTGCTGACATCCTCTAAAAGGTCCGTGCATGATCTTGCATAAGTCCTTATGAGAAGATCTTGCGGAAATCCTGGTAAATTCCGCTCTAGGGGGTTCAAGAGGTTCTCGCATGATCCTGTACAGGTCCTTAGCAGAAGATCTTGTGAAGATCCTGGTAAGATCCTCTCCAAGAGCTTGCAGATGTGATGTCTTAGAGGTGCTTGTACGAAAGCTCTTGTGGGAGGCTCTTGGGAGGTTCCTCTATCAAGATCTTGCAAGCAGCAGGTCCTTTTATAACGATCGTGAAATCTTCTTAGGCTCTTAGGGCTCCTGGCATGAAGATCTTGGTCAAGGTCTTTTACAATTCCTTGTGAGCAGATCTTGTGGAACTCCTAGTGACGTGCTGTCAGAGGACTTTGCATGATCTTGTACAGGTCCTTGTGAGAAGTTATTGAAGAGGTCCTGGTGAAATCCTCTAGGTGTCCTTACATTGTGATCTCGAAAATGTCCTTGTGAGAAAATCTTGTGGAGATCCTGTTGAAATCCTCCTCAAGAGGTCCTCGCATTGAGATCTTGAAGATGCTCTGCACTGGTGCTCGTATGAAAGTCCTTTTGGGATGTTTATAGGGAAGTTCTTGTATGGAGATCTTGTGAGATCCTCTATATAGATCTATGTAGAAGGTACTTTTTTGACGACTTTTAAAAATTCTCCTAGATGAGCGATCGGCAAAACCTCAATTTAAAAATGCGATTTAGGGTCAAAGTTATCGTTTTTGGGACTTCACTACATCGTTTTACAGTATATCCTGATTGCATCATCCGCATCCCCTGGCAAACTGCATGCGGAAAGCCTTTTTACACCTCCACTTCAGCGTCTGAAGCATCTTTGACTGCCCTGCGCTTTCTTTTGCAGCGCTCCAACTGTATGGTATGGTATGATACCTGTCAATGCAACTGCAAATCACAGTTGCACCATCCTTTCTCAAGCTCAGAAGCAAGTTTGAATTCAGTTGTTGGAAGAAGCCCGGATGAGCTCTCACAGCGACATGCTCCATGCCTTTCATTCACTCCCCAGCGTCTGGGTAGCAAACCATCAACATGGCCCAAAGCTTTTGGCTTGGCTATCTTCATCTTGGATAAAGATCGCCAAACCGGACCTGCAGGTGCGGGTGTGCCCGAGATGAACCAGGATTGACTAAAGCAATGGAGCGCCGCAAAAGAATATGCATAGCAGCGAAAAGATCGCAATAAGCAAGTGATAATATTCAACGGCAAAGAATCATCTCAAGAATCTTTTCACATCTGGGCCATCCATCAGCGAAGGACATTTTGTCAAGAAATGGTTATCGTTTCGTTATCGTTTTCGTTATCATTCAAAGAGGGAAACATTTTTGGAAAGTTGCATGAACCAAGGAATGTTGGAAAGGAGCATGAAAGCGGGAAAATACAAAACGCTCATCCGGAAGGCTTGAACAATGGCGAGACAAAAAGAGCATCCAAATCCAGCTAGTTACCACATACTGTAGCAATACGTGCTTGGATACAAAACTGTTTGCAATAATCAGAAAAAAGAAATTGGCCAAGATCAAGAGTGTCAGCATACTTTTGCACATCTTCCGTTGTGTGAGCTGGGCATGACGTATACCCCACAACTGAGAGCCTAGATGATCTAGATGCTTCTAGAACAGGTATCCACCATCATGTCATGTACACCACCCCTTCATATCCCAGCATGCTTTCACACATGAACTGATTCCCGTGCTATCGTTTTTGGGACTTCACTATAAACGTCGTTTTACATATCAAGATGCATATTTTTACATGATAAATCGCTCGGATACATACCTCCTACACGGAGAGTTTAGCCTCTTGCTCAGATGTCCTGATATGAGGTACTGCTATGAGGTCCTGATGAGTAGACATAGCGTTGCTTCTTGTGCCAAAACAAGTTCCAGCTCCGAAAATGTCCAACTTGACTAGCTACTGCTGCTTGTATCTGGTACATTGACTTCCTACCCTTCACACTGTTTGGGGTCTCTTGCCGATGTTGTAATCATTATGGCTCCCCTGGTGTCCCAGCAACGTTCACCGCGGGGTTGTGGCAGTGGATGGCAAAGGCGCGACTGGTGGCCGCCAGCTGCGCCTCCTGAACGATGCCCGTCACACAGTCGCCATCCTTCAGACCCGCTTCCGCGGCCTGGGGGGGCACGGCAGGATGGGGAAACATCTCGCTCCTGCAACAATGGATTTCTGGGAAACATCCCAAAACGGAAAACTTCTTTTTTTGGGGGGGAAGTTAGGGTGTTTTATGCAAAATGTTCGCTCGAAAAAAACAAATTTTGGACATGGATACTGGGCATAATATTTTAGAATATGGGATATAAGCTTTAATATCCATCTATCATAGTCATGTTTGAAAATGTGCACCCATTTGCCTGCTTCAGCGGGACCCAGGTGGAGCAAGTGGTTTATGACCCATATCATATTATATATTATATTATATATATAAATACTTACATTGACATATAAAACTATATAAGCCGTATTTGGCTGGTGGGATTCCATATAGTGAGCGATAATATGGTTGCTACTCACTTCCGGAATGAAATGCACCCCGAAGTGAAAATGATGAAGAAACAGAGATAGTTGGTGCAGATTTCTGTTTGTTTCTTTTTCCCAGGAGGGTTCTGTTGAACAATTTCTCCCAATAAAGTCAATTGGATTCAAGTCGTCTGACAATCCTGAATCATAATTCCAGTGGGAGAGATGATAATTGTGAAAAACTAGTTGGAAGCCATGGGTTTAGGCGATATTACAAAATGATAGTGCTGGGAGAATAGCGACAAAACGCCAGGTCAGAGTGCACCAAGGGAATGGCAAGTGGTTCCAAAATTTCCAAACTTTTCAAAACATACCCCAACGTTACCCTCGGGTAATCTAACGGTTTGTGATGAAAGCCTTGGCCATTTAGTTTGATTTTCCAAAGCTGTGAGATGGTATAAATATCCCTGTACGAGTTCACCGGGTCAGGTTGGGGCCTGTGATTTTCTAGTAGAAAATGTAGGTTGTATAAATTAGGGACCCAAGAAAATCAAGCAACAAAAGTTTTGAAATTACGAAATCAAATATGTTAAAAACCACTTCAAGTTACTGCTCCCCTTTTTCTAGAGCCCAACATCCAACCCATCGAATTTCCATCCCATTTCGATAAAAAATGGGTACCCCCGAATGCCCGAATGTCATGGTTTCGAACCTCGTTATCCCCATTCAATTTGCCATAAATTGGGTATCCCTGTTTTCAGACGCACCCAAATACATCCAAATATCATGTTGTTGGTTGTAATGACCTGCCAGTGCCTCTCTAGAAAATCAAGGACCACTAGAAAATCTATGCACGTACTCCCAGAGATGCTAGAATTATGCTTCTGGATTTTGGGCACATAAACTACCCAGAAAACCAGGATCTTACGACTCAGAGGTCTCCAAAAGTTGTTCTGTAGAAAATTGGGGGAACTTCGAAAGCATCATTTCAGCAAATTCGAGCTTTTCGAAGGACAGAAAATCAACCCTCCTTAGGGGGGTTAACCTCCCTGAAATCCTAGAGGAAACTCATACCGGTATGTATAAATAGGTTCTGTCCAGTCATGGTTTCTCCGATGATGGGGCAACATTGGAGGCAGGACCCACAAGTGAAACAGGAGGATTCCAACTGTCGAGCCTCTGAAAATACAGATAACGTTCCATGCTGGGGCCAAACATGGCGTGTTTTCGACTGTCTCAAGGAAACTGGAAAGATGCTGAACTCTGCTCGGAACACACGAAAAACTAACATGTGATTTCAGAAAGAGAGGCCAGCGTCCCCAGCGCCCAAAAAAAACGATATAAAATGTTTTTTGCGACCTGATGTTTACCTTCTTTCTCTCTACTCTCCAATCTATATCTGCCTCTGCTTGTCTCCCCTCATGAAAAAGTGTGAGCTCCATGAAAGGTGTTCCTTGCCTTAGCGTGATGTATTGATGTAATATGGAAAAACCGTGATTGACTTGACCCCAAAATCGTTTCTTTAATCTGTATGTAACAGTCCGTTCTTCTTCTAACTGTATTCTTTGTGCCCGAACAGTTTGCTAGATGCGTTGATCTGATGAGAAAAATGTGCAATAAGAACAGTCTTGCAAACATGTTTCGATATATAAGAAGGCCAATGGTACTGCAGGTACCGTAAGTGAATATCTCGTGCAGTCTGCCTTTGCAAAGCTGTCGTTTTTTCTAGTTCGTATTTTCAAGGCAGACTCTAGACACTGACCTGTCGTTTGCTACAGAGCAATTGCTTCAATGTTGTAGGGCGAATGTTGACAAATTCCAACGGCGCTCTGAGGCTCTAGACAACCACCTTGGTCTGGAAATGAAATCTAAGCAACCAAGGAGAGAAAAACATGAAGAACAGAACATTTAGGTTGCAAAATTTGCGAGTAATTAGCAATCATATTGATGCAAATATCGCATTTTCTACTTGATTTCATGTCATGGTGAGCTCATGACGAGCATTTACAAAGAAAATTGCATGCTAAAATTGTACTGTAAAACACGAGGAAACTAGCTCCTCCTACAAAATCGCTGCTCATCTTCGTGAGCGTAGCTCCGAAGCTCCTCTTTGCCGAAAGCCCGGAATTCCGGAATCTGATGGGGTATGGGAGGGGGGACCCCCAAAAAACAAAGAAACGAAAGATGGCCGGGTCAAGCATGTCTGAGATTGTAAGCAGCTCAACAACTCAAAATATCTTCCTTTGGCGAGGATTTCATCAACTTATTAACTGATTTTATGAATTAACAGGTCGTTCATAAGACAGACAGGCAGACAGACAGACAGACGGACGGACAGACAGACAGACAAGACAGACAAGACAGACAGGCAGACAAATAGTTGGATAGATAGACAGCTAGACATATAGACAGATAGATAGACAGATAGACAGATAGAAACGCAGAAAGATGAAAAAAAAAGACAGACAGGCAGACAGACAGGCAGACAGACAGACAGGCAGGCACGCAGGCAGACAGACAGACAGATAGATAGATAGATAGATGGTTAGACAGATAGATAGATAGATAGATAGATAGATAGATAGATAGATAGGAAGGTAGATAGATAGGTAGATAGATGGACAGATAGACAGATAGATAGATAGTTAGATAGATAGGTAGGTAGGTAGATAGATAAATAGAGATGGATGGATGGATGGGTGGATGGGTGGATGGATGGATAGATAGATAGAAAGATAGGTAGTTAGATAGGTAGATAGATAGATTAGGTAGATAGGTGGATAGGTAGAGAGACAGAGAGATAGAAAGATAGAAAGAAAGATAGCTAGCTAGATAGATAGATAGGTAGGTAGAGAGAGAGAGATAGGTAGTTAGTTAGTTTGATAGATAGATAGGTAGGTAGATAGATAGATATATAGAGACCGATAGGTAGATAGATAGATAGATAGATCGATAGATCGATAGATCGATAGATCGATCGATGGATCGATCGATCGATCGATAGAGAGAGAGAGAGAGGTAGCTAGTTAGTTAGTTAGTTAGTTAGTTTGTTAGTTAGTTAGTTAGTTTGTTTGTTTGTTAGTTAGTTAGTTAGATAGATAGATAGGTAGTTAGATAGATAGATAGGTAGTTAGTTAGTTAGATCGATAGATAGATTAGGTAGATTAGGTAGCAAGATAGATAGATAGATAGATAGATAGATAGATGGATAGATAGATAGATTGATTGATTTGATTTGATTTGATTAGATTAGATTAGATTAGATTAGGTTAGATAAGAATAGAAAAGATTAGATAAGATTAGATAAGATTAGATAAGATTAGATAAGATAAGATAGATAGATAGATTGAAAGATAGATAGATAGATAGATAGATAGATAGATAGATAGTTAGATAGATAGATAGATAGATAGATAGATCGATCGATCGATAGATAGATAGATAGACAGATAGATAGATACACGAATAGACAGTTAAATAGATAGATAGATAGATTGATTGATTGATTGATAGATAGATAGATAGATAGATAAAAAGATAGATAAAAAGACAGATAAAAAGATAGATAAAAAAAGATAAATAAAAAGATAGATAAAAAAAAAGATAGATAAAAAAAGATAGATAAATAGATAGGTAGATAGATAGATAGACAGGTAGGTAGATAGACGGATTCATGGACAGATAGAGGGACAAATGGACAGATGGACAGATAGATAGACGGACAGATGGGCAAATGGACAGATGGGCAAATGGACAGATGGACAGATGGACTGATAGATAGCCCGACACTCCAACCACCTTTCGATCCATCAGTGGGTTCGCTCTGCCATCCATGTCCATGATTCACAACAACCAACCTCTCCTATAGGTGTTTCCTATCTTTGAAACTTCCGCCACCGCCTTGCACGGTACTACTGGTAAACCCATCAGTTCGACTACATGTTTGAAGTTACTTAGCAGAACTGACAAGGTGGGGCCCCCAAACGATAGCTAAGTTGACTTGCAAGATGGCTAGGGTTTTTGGAGGAGAGAACAAAATGTCGTTATATACCGGGGTTGACCAACAAACACAACTGAGGTACCTTGTAGGTACTTGCTGGGGTTTGTTTGAAAGTAGACTAATTGTTGATCATCATGTTCTCCCTTACAAATAGCCATTTGGAAATAGACTATACCCCATTTTCAGACACACCCAAAGATCAAACTGTTGGTGATCTTCCATGATATCTATAAAATATATCCGCATCAAAAATCAGGGATTCATCATTGAACAACCATAAATTAACAATTCAATTATATCCACACAAAACAAAACCAGAGTAAATCACCTTTACTCATGATGAGTCATCGTGGTTGTTGATGTTTTTTTGGATAAGTGCACAATCTTTTTGAAGCTGATCACTGCTGATCCATCGAGGCCAAGGTGCAGTCTGCTTGGGATCTAAGATGCGACCCCCGCAGGAGAGTCGCAAGAAGCCTACGCGCAAGTCTCGCTGTGCAAACGCCTTGACCTGATGAGGCTGTGACGTTGAGACCTAGCGATGTGAATATAGATGATATAATATAATGGTGATATATGTGGGGATATGATATGTGGATTTGTGACAATGTATTTATAATGTTATTTATATGTAGGGTGGCTCTATTATGGTCTATTAGAAGGCGGGATAAGATACAATAAACTTCCGTAAACTTCCGAACGGCCCGGAAATCGGCCCAGCGTTGTCATAAAATTTTCATGTTCATTGTCATTTTCGTTTTGTTGAAAACTTGGCATTTGCCTCATGTTTATATCATGGTGGTGTCTTTTGGCACTTCATTTCCATTGGGATTTATGAAAATTCCTTGTTTTATTGCAGTGGGAGTTCAAAAATGCATGTTGAACACCCTCAAAAAACGTTACGCTAAAGTTTTTTGAGATGGTTTTGCGTTTCGCCACAGCGCCAGCGATTCTTTTCCATCACTTCAACTTGCGGACCGTCTTTGCAGTGATATCACACACATCAGCATTTCGATGTATGCATCGCCATTGCCAAGCCTTGACATATGTCATGATCATTGGACTTTGGCTAGGCAGGCTACCTGGCAGCATCTTTTTACAGGCCTTCCACCAACTATCTATTGTACCAGTATGGGCAAGCACCTTTGGGCTGCCTCGCTGGACACGGCACGCAGTCTTTGTAAATTGGCCTTTGGAGTGGTTCACAAACTCATACGTGTACGACGTAACATGAAGTGTGTTCACCGAAGTACAACAGAAGTGTGCAACGTAACATGAAGTGTGTTCACCGAAGTACAACAGAAGTGTGCAACGTAACGTGAAGTGTGTTCACCGAAGTGCAACAGAAGTGTGCAACGTAACACGAAGAGTGTTCACCGAAGTACAACAGAAGTGTGCAACGTAACATGAAGTTTGGTCACCGAAGTACAACAGCAGTTCGCAATGTAACATGAAGTGTGTTCACCGAAGTACAACAGAAGTGTGCAGCGTAACATGAAGTGTGTTCACCGAAGTGCAACACAGAAGTGTGCAACGTAACATGAAGTTTGGTCACCGAAGTGCAACAGAAGTGTGTAACGTAACATAAAGTGTGTTCACCGAAGAAAATTGATGATAACGTAGACACGGGACGTTATTACACGCCCCCACCCCGCCCCCCGCCCCCCAACATATCACAACGCAAAAAGATGCAAAAACGGTGGGCCGGTTTTCAGGCCGTAGGCATAAACTTGATATGATACCGCTATATCCATTGATATAGTGGGTCTGTTATGTTGATGGAACACAGTGGGAGTTACAACTACTATAACTACAACTGGAGCTTACACTTGGGTGGAAGCCAGCTGGGACCATGCTGAGGCTTTCTGGTAGCCTCAAAAAATCCTGGTGGAAAGTTTCCTATGCTCACCCTGGAATTTTCAGTGCCAGATTTGATTACCAAAGGGATGATGGATGATGGCTGTGTCGGATTGATTAGTCTTTAGATACTTCCCATGTGCCAATCGATTTACCCATTTCACCATCCCACACCTCCCCCAGGGAGATCTGGTCGTCAAAGTTTACCGCAGTGGATCGACCGCTGACCAACGAGATTCGTAGCATGGCGGGGAGGACCGTGGGGACCGTGGGGATTCGGTGACTCTCTGACGAGATGGCGACGGCATGGCGAAGGTAGGGGGTTGCGACACATTGCCAACAAAAAAGAAGCATTTTAGGGGACTAAAAGGGACCACATATCTTGGCCAACTGATTTGAGGAGGCTTCACCAGCCTGAAATGTTGATACACAACTTCGAAGGAGAACTAGAAGCTGGATCGGTCCAGATCCATCCTGTGTTAATTTAACGAGAACAACCTGTAAAACATACGTATGGTTTGTAACATTTCAACCTGCAGTTGGTGGTTTCAACTCATCCCAATAACTTTCGTCAAAGTTGATTATCCAGCAAAATTTACTGTAATTTCCATGATGTTCATGATTCTCCAGCAATTCTCTTGGGTTTTTCCCATGTTTTCTCAGGGTTTTTCTCTTTCAAATCCATCCCCGCCACCCCCCAACCCCGCCACCGGTCCGGCCTTCATGGCGATCACGGTCTGCAGGAGCCCGGTGCCGTTCTGGGATCCGGGGCTGCTCTTGAGACCCACCATGGCCTTATTTTTCGCCACGGAGCTGGAGGGATCTGGATGGATCTAGGGATAGCTCCAACTGGCTCCCCATGGCGGGGAATAGCTGTATTACAGGAGAGCATCCTATGATATCCTATGTATCAGTGAAATTTGGGGTGATGTGAATACTTTAGGATGAGGCGATTGGATCTACTGGCTACTAGGGATCTCGATTGTTCCAAATCAACCCATCTTCACCCATCTTCACCCATCTTCACCCATCTTCACCCAGCACATGGTGGTCTACCCACATGTCTCAAAGGAAAATCATAAACCAGACATTTTTCCAGACCTAACCAGTCGCTGGCCTCGGTCAGTTCGCTGTCTGTCTTGGAAGGAAGGCCCTCCATGTTGGATTCAATCTCCTCCAAGGCTTCCATCCCCATGAAATTTTGGCACCAATCACAATGGTAGTTTCATGTAGTTTGGGTATCATAAAATCATTAAATATCATTAGTGACTTTGAATATCATAATATCATTAAATTATATAAATGGACAAGGTAGTTTCCACCAATCAACATGGGAATTAGATGGAATCAGTGGTCATTTGGGAATTTAAACAAATCAAAATTGTAATGAATGGATGACCCTTCCGTACTATCACTTGTTCTGGACTACTTTGGATGCAATGAATCCCACACCAAATTTAAGGCGATGAAATTGATGGCTTCCTCCATGATGACAATCATTGCTATAGTTGTGTACACTGTGCGGTCCGGTATTCTAACCTAGCAACGGAAACTCCCCCAATGGGAAAATGTACAAAGTAAAAGTCATTACCAAAACGAAGCCCATGATGACTTGACTTTGACTATAGATAGTTTGATAATAATGATGGGTTTCGTTTTGATAATGACTTTGACTTCTCCTTGTTAGTTTGGATTACCACAAGACAATGATACTCCACAGCAGACCCAAAATATGGGGTACAAACAGTGGAGCCTCGAGGGTGAAATCAGCAAACCCAATGCCATGTATCACCATCCCCAAGTCATCACCATCCTTAAATGGGTTGTAAAACGCATCCACAAAAGCTAGGTTTGCTATTGAATTATGGCTTTACCATCTTATTGGGTTCAATATGGTTTAATGATGTTGAATGTGGATCCGCAACAAAGACCATGCCAATGATCCAATGTGTGCTTTATGAAATTGCGGCTTCACGCCTGCAATGACTTAGATCTCCGAAATGACCCAGGCTGCAGGGTGCTATCACTTTTTCCACCATACCCACTAAGGCTGACACTATCATTTGTTGGTCGTATCCCTATCACTGGTAGAATCATGTATGATCCCATGAAATATCCTTTGAAACAAATTCTATTTGACGCTTAAATCCCACATGATTAGATATGATGAGTTTCTGGATGTTTTGCTCAAAAATCTCCAGGAATTGCTTTGTTTGTTTGAACCTGACGCTGACCGCTCCGCTGCTCCTCCCTTCGGAAGCCGGTCCTTCAGCTGTTCCTCCATGTTGTCCATGTCGATCTCGCCGTCCATCTCCACCACCGTCACGGCGCTGCCAAACCTGCAGTGAACCGTATTCGTGGTTTGAAGGGGGCAACGATGGGAAAATATGGAAAAATTAGGATTGGCCCAAAAAAAGGAGGAAAAGAATAAATCCGTGAAATGCAGACATGTACCAAGGCAGCGAAGATCAATGCATCACGTAGATAGATAGATGTACGTAATCACTGACTTTAGACACAAGTCTTGTGCACTGCAGTGGATGTTTGGCAAATCCTGGACCTACTGGGCTTTGGAATATCGGATCATGTGTGACCTTGGTGGTGCTACTTGTTTATATACATATATATACATATATTATACATTGTACACGGTACAGGTCAAGTAACAAGTATGGTAAACAAAATCTATACATGCAACGTCCATGGTGATGCCTCAAGCAAAGTTCTGTCTGGGTAATGTCATCGGAATATTGGTATCTAACTTATTTAACATGATTTAACCAACAAAAAATAGGTGTTGCATTGAACTATTTGGATGGGGCCTTCCTGTGAACATCAAAGCAGCTGAAAAATGGATGTCCATCCACCAAAATCTGACAAATGCTTGGTTTTGGCCCACACTGAATGATAGACCTGTTATGACCCGTTGACTCAAAACCAGTAGCTTCTCATTATATAAACCTCAAAAAGTGTGTGTTCATTGTTGCCACTTCACTCGTGATGAACAGTTTGGAAAATGTCAAGCGACTAGCCAAAGAAGCAAGGTAACTTTTATTGCTTGGTTCTTGTCCCATATTCCCACTTAACCATTGTGCAGAAAAAAGTGACTCCCATACATTGCATGGTTGGCCTCCCCCAATAGTCAATGCCCAGAACCACCGGCTCAGCATCGGCGCTCTTCATTTGGGGGTCCCTATGGGAGGTATTTTATATCATGTTACAAGGTGGGGCCCCATTGTTAGCTAACTTGGTTTATAACTATATGATTCAACTGGGGTTTATATATGGCTATTGGTCAAAACCCAGGTACCTAGTGAACCCCAAAATAGCTGGTAAATGGATGTTCATCCATGTTCATCCCACTAAAAATGTATCTACAGGTATTGACCCATGTCCATATAACTATAGTTAGATGGGTTTATAAACCAACCATAACTGCCATAACCGGGGGGGGCCCTACTGGCCCTACGCACCAGGTCATTCCAGGGAACCACTCGTCATCGTACATCTTGATCACGGCTCCAGGCCTAGGTCGAGGGATTCTGCTATCGGATAGGCCTGTACTAGATATATAGAGTATATGCAAGGTATATACAAATATGTACATATGTATGTTGTATATACAATTGTATACATATATATATATATATAATGTGTATGCACATATCACATATTAGTATTATTGATATTCAGAAGTACAGATTTATATATATATACATACGTGTATAAATGCGATCGCCTGATCTCTCTTGTACTTAAATACGAGTGTTACGAGTGCATACGACTGCCTCAACTGGGATTACGCGGCCCATCTGCCAGTGAACCGAGCACTTCAAGGCGAACTTCATTGCGGCTTGGTTGTTGTTCAGGGGATCTATACATGGGCTGTCGGCCAAAACCCTGGTACCCTAGTGATCTCAAAATAGGCAAATGGATGACGTTGCCCAAAAAACAATTGGGGTTGCTGGTTTTGACCCACTGCCAAAATATACAGATTGCGCACGACTAGGATCAACAATAGTGAGTTCACTAACAGCGGGATACTTCTGGTGACTCTGCCGGCCTTCAGTTTTGATTTCCAAAATGCATCAAAATGCCATTTTGAGATGCGGTTTCCAGCAAAATCCGGATCAATTGGGAGTCAACAACTGGTCATTCACCAGATACAAAACAGAGTTGTACTGACTTGGTGGTTTGTTACTCTAGTAGTATTGCAGTAGTAAATCGGTCCTGCCAAGCTGGCAACATCCAATGGACCAGGTGTTCCCCAATTCTGCCGAAACTTGCCTTGTTTCGACTTCCATGAGTGCCACCTGCTCGCCATATAAATATATAATTTGTTTACCCTATAATACCCCTATGAAAATGACCAATGTGATGATTCTGGCCGGAAACCAGTGGACTTCGATGGTTTCCCCTGTGACCTTGGGGTCCCTCATGACTTAAGAACCCCCCCTGAAACCACGTGCTGCTCACCGTCAGCCATGTTGCTTGCTACCGGTCAGTGTAATGTCTTTCTTCAGGGTGATCATGGGGAACTTGCCGTCCTCCAGTGGAGCTCCAAACCATGGAATCTCCATTTGTCTGAAAATGGCCTACAAATTATATCCCAACATTGCCATCTTTAAAGGGGAACCAGGTGAAAAACTATCAAATTTATAGGGTTTTTCATATGTTTTTTCCCTTCAATTTTCCGGCAACCCCATTTTCATAGCTGGTTGATCAACCAAATTATGGACTCAGGGATGGTGAAGGATTCATCGTGGTTACCTCCTCTTCACAACAACAGAGTCTGTTAATGGAGTACAACAAAATACAACGATGTACAATGGTTCAATAAATATGGCGAGGTTGCGACATTCCACAAGCCCAAAATAGGCATAAAATAGGCATAAATAGGGTGTGCTTACCCTCCAACCATCATCTATGGTGAGGTTGCGGGGAGGTCGTTACAATTCACCCAGAATGAGTCCATTATCCGATGGACTCAAGTCAGCGGGTGGCTTGATCATAATGAAGAGGGTGATTGGCCATCCCCCCAGCCACGATGCCAATTGATGGCGAGGGTTCTATTATCATCATCATCACAGCCAGCATCATCATCATCACCACCAGCAACACCATCATCATCATCATCATCATCATCATCGTCATCATCATCATCGTCATCATCATCATCATCAATCATCATCATAATCATCACCAGCAAAATCATCATCATCATCATCACCCGTATCACCATCATCATCACCACCACAAGCATCATCATAATCATCACCGCCAACATTATCATCATCAATACCACCAGCAACATGATCACCAGCATCATCATCATCATCACCACCACCAGCATCATAATCATCATCATCACCACCAGTGCCATCATCATCATCATCATCAGCATCATCATCATCATCAGCATCATCATCATCATCATCATCAATCATCATCAATCATCATCATAATCATCACCAGCAAAATCATCATCATCATCATCAATCATCATCATAATCATCACCAGCAAAATCATCATCATCATCATCATCACCCGTATCACCATCATCATCACCACCACAAGCATCATCATAATCATCACCGCCAACATTATCATCATCAATACCACCAGCAACATAATCATCATCATCATCACCACCAGTGTCATCATCATCATCATCATCATCATCATCATCAGCATCATCATCATCATCATCATCGTCATCATCATCATCATCATCATATTTACTATCCTGGTTTTGACTTTGATATGGGGAGTCTTTGGGGATAACATAACCTAGGGATGATCCATCTACTCACTTCCGTGAGTGACAACTTTCCGTTCATGAGCACAACTTTCTCAACGGACTCAGATCAGACTTTCTCCTTCTTCTGGATCAACTTCACCTGCACCAGCGTCCAAGTTTCAGGGTGAAGCAACTACTTCATCATTTGGAGAGAAAGAACAACTTGGGACGTTTTTTTTGCGAAGGATCTGACATCTCCGATGGGTGACGTTTTTTTCAGATCTGCCCCGGAAACTTGACAACAAAATTGCCTTCAGGTAAGGCAGGCCCTGATCCGAAGGCTCGTAACCTCAGGGGTCAGCAGCGGGTCAGCTGATGATCAAAGTGTCTTCTTGTTGGCGCATGAACAAAGATGACTCGAAACTTGCTGGGTGATAATGATCATATATGATCATTATCTCATCAGGGTCAATACTTGGCGCCCTGTGAAAGTGGTCCACAACTGGCAGCAAAACATGGTTCGCACCTTTTGGTCGCGGTTGCTTGAGCCACCATTCATGGTGGTACATGTTTCTGTACATGAACTGCAATCCATGGTTGTTTCACGTTTCCATGCCAGTGTCATGATTGTCAATGTGTCCCGCGTTTGTCCTCACATGACATGAATCTTGATTCGTTTTCACATCCGTCTTTCTTTTGGCATGAAATGTGAATTCCATGGAAATTGGGGACCCAGCCATGACTTTTCGTAAGTCGCTGGTGTCCATATGCTTTGTAAGACCATCAGCTAACATGGTCTTTGTGTCGCACCATCGGACCTTTGTAGTCCCATCAGCCGGAACGCTCTCATTCAGCATCGGGTCTCCAAATTCTTCTCCTTGTTCACGCCAAACGATTTGGCGCATCCCACATAGGTCAATCGCCAGCCTTTTGTCTTGAACTTCTCCGCCAGAGCTGTGCAGCAAATGATCCTGCAAGGATCTGCAGTCAGTCACCTTGTGGAGCTTGATAGCGTCCTTTGAGTCAATCTGCCATGCTGAAGACCTGGGATCGTGAGGAACTCGTAGTCCATGTAGAACCATTCGTAGATGTTCTGCATCCTCATACCCAGTGAGCATACTCAGCGATTCGGCCTGCAAAGTCGAGCGGCAGACTCTTCGAATCACCTGGCTTTTCCATTCCAGCAGGTGGATGTGTCCACGACCGGAAGTCATCACTTCAGGTCCACCCACAGCAAGTACTCGGCCAGACTGTGACCGATATCCCATCTTCTCACCAGATGCTGACAGCGCAAAGTCAGCTGCATGGCTTGCGTCGGTGATCGAAATGATCTCCAGCTTGTCGAAATCAAATTGATTCCATCCATAGACCAGCTTCTGATCCTTCGTCATTTGCGCACGTCGCAGCAGAGAGTTGGCATCGATCAGGTCTTGAACCACAGGCTTCTGGACGCATGTCTGGAGCCGGTTGGTGTCATAGGCAAGGTCTGGTCGGCAAACTCGGACAATCCAGTTGAGGGATCCAAGAACGCTTCGTAGTTGACCCTGCTCTTCCGGCGTCGCAGGCGCTGCACGGTCACGCTTGCGTCCAGTGCTCATCATCACAGGACGTGTTTTCTCAAGTCCATGAGGGCATTGAACCACAATACCTTCATCGGTCTGTGCAATTGTGCGGCCACAGTACCGGAAGGTTGTATCTTCAACTTTTCCAAACTTCAACTTCTCTTGCACAAACTTCATGGCTTCTTGGGTCTGCTGACCGCCACACCAAAGCAAATCATCAACATGACAAATGCAAAGTCCATCGATCTTGCCATCAGGTGTATTCAAAACATAGGCAGCACGTTCATGAGGAACGGGGCGAAAACCAGCTGCCAACATGGTTTTGTGCAGTGATCTCCAAAATCCACGTGGAGCATCTTTTGTTCCGTAAACAGGCTTCTTTGCAACCAACAAACTTCCAGCAGGAACTCCTGGAACACCATCCTTGGGGAGTGACATGATAAGGACTCGTGCAAGTCCAAGACCTTGAAGAAAAGCTGCGGTGATGTCGCCACAGTGAAGCATGAGGCTGTGGCATGATGCAAATGTCAACAAAACTGACAGCATCAAATGACTTGCCGTAGGCGAGTCAGTGCGGACTTCACCATTCTGAGCACTGCGTTCAAGGTCGCCACGAACAACAAGTCGTGACTTGAGGTGTTCAGGATCGCCTTGGCGAGCTTTGTTGATATCAACCCATCGCGTAGGAACAACTTGAACTCCAGGATTCTTCTGCAAAAACTGTTGAGCTTTCTCAGGAGGGATCACTTCGCAGGCATCAAAACCAAGCCAGTTGTTCCACTCCTTGGTGCGGGCTTCGTCAATCCGACCCTTGAGGTCATCAGCAGCACGGTTGTAGTTGAGCTCCTTTTCCAGCTTTCGTTGGATATTCTTCTTGGGCGCACGTCGTCCCATGAATCCATGCAAAGTGGAACCCTGCTGCTTCTGCTTCTCATTCTGAGTGGAAAACATCGCTCTTGGAGGTGACCTGGAGCGATTGCGTCTGGGATGTCCGTCAAGAGCGTTGACGGATCTTCTCATGGCCTCTTGCAGTTGAGTCATGGTCGGCTCACGTGGTGTGTTGGCAGCAGGGGTGTTGACAGCAGGAGTGTCAGGCACCATCTCCTGGTCAGGCTCAATCTCAGAAACTGTGGGCAAGCGTCCACGTGGTTCAGCTTCTTGTTGTTGAGGTTGATCCGGTGACATAGCTTCCTGCATCAGCTCATCAAAGTCATCATAGGGCACTGCAGGAAGGTCAGTGTTGATGCCAACTGTTGGAGGATGCAACGGTTGAGGCGTAGCTGCAAGTCCAGGCAGCTCAGTCGCAAGTCCAGGCGACTCAGATGGCACAGCCTCAAGTCCAGGAGGCGGTTGTGAAGTACCATCTGGAGAAAGTCCATCAGGCAAAGCCTCAGGTTGCATGGCAGTGTCCTCCTCAGCAACAGGAGTACCAGGTGAGTACTCGTTGGCATCATCAGGCAAAGGCTCAGGTTGGGCAGGTTGAGAACCAGCTTGTGGAGGTTGGTCAGAGGAAAGTCCATGAGAAAGTCCATCACCACCACCACGGCCCAAGTGAAAGTAGGATCCAGGACCGGATCCAGAGCCATCGTCACCATCATGTCCTGCTTCATCTTCCAGAACGTTCAAGTCATCAAAGAAGGGCAAGTCAGGGTCAAAGTCCTGAGTGATCTGCCTTTTGCGCTTTCTGGAAGGTCGCAGCTCGGTGATTTGCTTGGCAAGCACTTCTCCAGCAAGAGCAGGTCGAACACTCTCTTCAGCGACGACAATGGGAATGCCGCCATGGATCAGCCAAAGGTTGGAGCGTCCTTCTCTGCCAATCATTCTGGCAGGACCAAACCATTTCTTGTTTCTGAAAAAGCAAAGCAAATCACCAGGAAAATAAGGTCCACGGCATGGTGTTGAGCGTCTCATCAGTGCCGATCGAACCCTATTGCTGGAGTCAACATGTGCAAAAGACTCCTTGGCTGCTTGACGTATGTTGAGCTGCTGTGCAAACTGATGTTCACCAGAGAGAATTTCTTGATGCACACCTAGCTCACCTTCAGAACGTTCAGCTGTCAAACTGCAAACTTCTTCAGGCAAACGTCCCAAGACCCATTGGCTTGGTGAAAAACCGCCATGGTTGACTCTGTTGTTTTTGACAAAGGCACATTCCATCACCACCATGCGCATCATCTGTGAGCCAACAACATGCCGTCCTTGGACTGTGTGGGCTATCATCTCCTTGAGGATGGAGCCTTGTCGTTCAGCTCGGCCAATCTGGTGGTGTGCCTCAGTCCCTGCATAGCGCAGGTAAGTCCCTTGAGAAGACATCAGGGCTGCAAATTGTCCACGGTTGTGAACTCCTCGATCCACCGTCATAAACCTTGGAGGTCCAAATTGAAGCCAACCATCTCGAAAAACTTCAGCACATTTCAAACTTGATGGTGTACCTCCGCCTTCTGCCACCACCCAAGCACAGTGATAAAGCGTTCCCATGCAAACCACGCTCAGCACACTGTAGCGATTGCCAAGTGCATCGCGACATTCAAAAACGTCAGCAGTCACTTCATAGTTGAAGACATATGGATTGGGTGGCCTGACAACAGGTCGAGGCTGAGGCTTTCTGTTCTGGAGGCAGGCTTCACATTTGAAGTGTCGAAGTCGGTGGATGACTTCTGGAGAAGCTCTTGCAACACGCAGCATTCTTGCCATAGCTGAAGTGCTCGCATGACCGGTCATCTGATGAAGCCTTCTGACGGCCACACGCTGGGAGTAGGGAAGCTTCATCCATTCTTGCTTCCGCACAGCATCATCTTCAGCTACTGCAGCATCTCGTTCTTGGCGATCTTCTTCGCCTTTCAACTCGATCTCATCAGTGCGGTGTTGGTCAAGTCCAGGTGGTGCCAAGTCTGAGGCATCATGAATCATGTCCAAACTGCCCATGGGATTTTCTTCAATCATCGCTTCTGCAGGAAAGGCTAGTTTGGTCATGCTGAGCTCAAGATCACGCAAAAGTCCAGTGATCATGGCCTTGCAAAAGTCCATGGGCCATTGTTGAGCTCGGTGAGTTCGATTGGAACCTTCAAGTTGCTGATGTTGATGGTCACCAGAGCATCTGACACCAATGAACTCCTTGACACCAGCTGATGCTGTCATGATGCCAGTCGGTTTCTTGTGAGGCAAGTTGTTGACAGCATCTCTCAAACCAAACATGCACTGATCACAACGTACAGCTTCAAGATGTTCACCTGTCGCTGCATCGCATGGGGCATCTTGCACAAGTCGTTGCATTGAAAGAAGATCCCACATCTTGGAAGGCCAAGGCTGCTCGAAGATCACTTGACGTCCTCTTGCCAGCCGTTTTCTGATCAGCTGAGTCATCCATTGAACCACAGGTCGCCATTCACGGCGGGTCTCATGCAGCTTCATCTCGAAGTCAGGGTCTTTGGCAATGTTGATGTATTGCCAAGGAGACCATGGTCCGCAGGTTGGAGACAGGCTGATGCAGTAGGGATCATCACGCTCGATCTGTTGATCGATGAGGTCTCGATGGTGCTTGTTCTTCAAGTTGATGCCATCGTACGTAACATCAACAGGTTGTGAAACAGAAAGACCAATCTCTGTGGCCAAAAGTGAAAGGAGGGCTGCACCGGCAAAAATCTCCAGCAGGAAGGTGCGGCATCCTCGAGGCAAAATTCGGGGCTGTCGGCTCAGGCCCTTGGTCGATCGCAGACAATTCCAAAGATGGCTGTCCTTGTCCTTGACCTCGTTGATGGTCTGGGAGAGCTGCTTCTTCTGACCTTTGGTGAGAGTGGTCATCTTGAGCTCATCGACAGCCAGATGGACCTCAGGTGTGAGTCCATGTCCATCTTCATCCTTCCATTCATCATCATCATAGTTGGCCTCAGTGCCATGTTCATGGTCATGTTGCTGTAGATCTTGTTGAAGATCTTGTTCTTCGGAACCAGGCTCATTGAACATGTAGTCATGGAAAACCTGGCCATCTTCACTGATCGTGCATTTCAGACCAATGTAACTTGGAATCAGCCGGATGGCAAGAAGGCCATCACGTTGAACCAGCTTGAGGTTGCTCTTGAGGGTGGTGCTGTAGACAACGTTGTTGGCGATGTCAATCTGGAAACCAAGTTGGCGCTGAGACTCGAGGCTAAGCAGAAGTGGAGCTTGAGAGTCCATGAGCTCCAAGGAAGGCAAAGTGCCTCTTGCAAAACTTCCGCAGCTCAGTTCAAAGCAAACTTCAAGAAGTCTCTGGCCACCAACTCGCAGATTGCCACCAATTCCTTTCATCTTGGAACCAGCGCAGTTGCCCAAAGTGACTTCAGGACAGCCAGTTGCCTTCACAAACTTGTCGTACCAGTGGCTGCCATGGCATGTAGCATTGCATCCCGTGTCGAGGATGGCGATGAGGTCATCTTCAGAACCAAAGTTCTCCTTCATGGCCATAAATCCAACAGCCGAAGGAGCAGGAGAAGGGCGACGCTGCATCTCTCGAAAGTAGTGGCAAAGTTGCTTCAGGCCACTGCCGATCGTCTTGCCAGATCGCTTGGTGTTGTCTTCCTCCTCCAATGCCCAGTCGACATAGTTGCGATCACACCAAGCTTGATAGTACGTCTGCCCCTTGAACTTGCCAAAAGTGACATGTTGTTGTCCAAGGTCTTCAAGATGTTCAGCTTGGGAGGCCGGAGATCTCAAAAGGTTCTGATGGGAGGAACTTGCAGGGGTTCCAGGCACAGGTGTTGTTGCTGGTGAGGTCATCGATGGCTGGGCAGAACCACGCGAATCCAAAGTGGTCTGGCCAGTCTCAAGCTCATGGATCGATGTGACCCCAATGGCATAGTCCAGCAACATGTGAAGCTCGGCTGAGCTGACAAAATCAGCTTGTGGCATGCTGGCTCTCTTGGCATTCGGGGCATGTTGAATCACCTGAATGAGCATCGGAAAAGAAGACACTCGCACTGGTCGCTGCAGGCTAAATCCAGGCGCCTGAGCAGGAAGTCCATGACCAGTGCTCGAGGCCGAAAGTCCATGGCCAGAAGTTGAGGTTGTTCTGAGCCTCTCTGAGCCAGCCACAGGTCCAGTACGAACTTCACCGCAAGCTCGGCAGGTTCGTCGCCAACGGAAAGCGTTGGTGCCAGCCCATGTGACTGAGTGGTGTTGACAGTCCACAAGGCCGGGGTTGCAAACACTTCCAACATGTCCAGCAGCTTTTGGAGTTGCAGTGGTCGTGGCAGTGCGGCGTTCACGTTGAAGCACACGTCCACAATCCAGGCATCGCAGCATGTTGTAGTGGGCGTTGGTGCCACTTCTGGTTGTGCGCAAATGCTCACAAGGAGGAACATCAGGACGTGGAGGATCATCTCCAGGCGGTCCATTTGGCATCGGTGATAATGCCTTCGGCGCAGCAGCAGGTTGTTGTTGATCTCGAACAGGTTCTGGAGCAGGAACATCATCAGGAGCCATGCGACCAGGTAGGTCAGGAAGTCCAAGAGGTTCAGGGAGTCGTGGAAGTCCATGCAAAAACTCTTGAAGTCCACCTCCAGAAAGTCCAGCAGGAAGTCCATAGCCAGCCAACTCTTCAGGCACCTCGTAGATCACACGTCCATCATCTCTGGTCTCGGAAACGCCAAGTGCGCTGACCAGCATGAAGTTGTCCAGATCGTCCTGCGTCAAAACTGCACCTTCAGAAACCTGAGTCACAGGCACCAGTTGGTCATCCATGTGTCGCCTTTCAGGCGTAGGAACTGGTGTCGTCACAGGTGTGGGCTGTGGCGTCATAAAACCATCTTGCAAACTGCTCGGTGGAGGAACTGCATGATAGCGTTGAGCCATGTAGCATTGTTCATCATCATCATCTTGCCCTTGAACTGCAAAGTAAACAGTGCGGCTCTTAGGCTGTGACTTGCTGGAGCCCTTGTCACCCTTGGTGGATGGGGAAGCAGAAGGCTTACCCTTGCCAGAGCCTTTGGGACAGCTTGGATCACCGCTCCAATGTCCAACTTGATGACATCGTCGGCAAGTTGTGCGGCTCTTCAAAACTTGAAGCCGCTGTTGCCTCTCGGTCAGAGACAGTTGGCCAGAAACATCAAAATGTTTCGTGCCCTTGCCCTTGTTCTTGCCACCTTTGAAGCCCTTGATGCCCTTGTTGATCGCTCGGTCACGGGCAAAGTAGGCCTCCATGTCGGCCTGGATCACCTCAGCAGCGTAGTCCATCGACTCCTCGTCATCCATGTCCAAGCCATCAGCAGCCATCATCGCCAAAATTTGGCACTCATCAGCGCCAGCATTGCTCATGTAGGCCTCATACTCAGGGTCCGCTGTCTCCACATACTCATAAGCGTCCTCGACGGCAGTGTCATAGGAAGCGTAGGCTTCAGCATCATTCCAATCATCATATTCTTCAGCCACATATCCATGTCGTTGGTGTCGGTGTCCATGGTGCTTCCAAGACTTGCCATCGCCCTTGAAGCGGTTGCCAGAGTTGCGGGACTCACGCTCGTGGATTTTGGAGTGCTGTGCAATCAGCTCCACAGAGACCTTTTCCAGGGTCATGTCGCCTTGGAGGGCTGATCGAATCAGCAACTGCATGTTCTCGGTGATGCCAGCGTTGGTCAAGGTCTGCTCGGCCAAGATCAGGTCGGGGAGCTTCAGGTCCTTGTTGAGGTCCACCATCGCCTGATACCAGGCCTGTCGACGGACAAGGTAAGTGCCCATCGGTTCGCCTTGTTGACGGCTGAGCATGCCATTCTGCTGAGCACCTGCCATATACAGTTCTCTGGCTTCCTGAATCCTTCTCGGCTTCAGGGTTTCATTCAACCTATCCAACAACTTTTCAGCACCCTTTTCCCCAGCTAATTCTGTTGTGTCAATTAACTGGGCTATCCTCAGAGCAGAACCACTAAGTCCTTCAACCAACCTCAGTCCTAGGGGGCCCATTTTCTTTTGTTCTTCTTCAGGTAACAGCGCCTCACGAGTCATCCTGGCTCTCACCCACCAGCTGTACTCGCTCAGCTTCTGGGGCTCACCACCATATCGAGGAAGGCCACCACCTTTGGACTCAGTGTTCGTTGCCACATCCTCCGCATGGATGAAGTTCACGTAGCGGAAGGTGTCCAGCAAGGCCATTGCGCCTCGCAGCAAAGCGCGCAGTGCGCTCACAGGCGTTGTTGGGCCGCTAAGGCCCTTGGAACGGTCAGCTCCGCTCACCAGTGTGAAAGTGGTCCACAACTGGCAGCAAAACATGGTTCGCACCTTTTGGTCGCGGTTGCTTGAGCCACCATTCATGGTGGTACATGTTTCTGTACATGAACTGCAATCCATGGTTGTTTCACGTTTCCATGCCAGTGTCATGATTGTCAATGTGTCCCACGTTTGTCCTCACATGACATGAATCTTGATTCGTTTTCACACGCCCGGAAATATGCAACCATATAATTAATTATGCATGTCTGGTTCGAAGCAAAAACTTGATTCGAGTAGCCACCTCTGGCTTGTCCTATCATGTTAGGCACAGGTTGCATATCCATCTATCTATCTATCCATCCATCTATCTCTGTCTACGTGTATCTATACCCTGGGCATGATGCAAGCTGGGAAAACAGTTCACATGTCATCTACAGTTGAAGTGTTCGGGTGTTCTTTGGGTTGGCACTACCACTATTTACCCCGATGAAATCTATCATATACATTCATATACCTTAATCCATGACGTATGAACTCATCATCCCATTCATATGGGGGGGTTCTGAACATCGGGGAATCCCGAAAACCCATGCGTTTCAACAAGATGGTCGGACTTGAATGATTTGGGGGGACCCCATTTTTAGGAAACCTTCTAATATGGAAAACCCATGCAAAAAAACAACTTGCTCTTCATCCCATAAGCTCGGCACGCAAGATCACATCGGCATCGGCCTGACATGCTGCTTTTTCACCGTCAAACGGTAGCTGATCTCACGGGAAAATCGGGATGGGTCAAAAGCCATGGAATCCCCGTCTACACCATAGCTGGGATGTTCATCCCCAATGGTGGACAATGATCCATAGCCACAGCATGCCATAGCCATAGATTAGGGAAACAAATGGGAAAAAGCAGGAAACACACAAAACATGGAAACGTTGGAAACATGGAATTAGAGGAAAACATCCTCGAACTACCATCCTGGAAATACGGTTTCGATCTTTTCTTGGGGGATCCTCATACCTAGAATATGGAAGTTAACCACATGAGAACCCGTACCGCCATTTGTGGGACAGTCACACAGTCACACCCCGCAAAACATCAAAAAGCGTAACTAACGGGAAAAAAGGCAATCGTCCAAAAACAAAAAACAAATAGGTGATAGTGGCTGTTCAGGCACTCTTAGAATAATGCCATGGAATAAAAATGTTGGCTCAGTCAGTTCCCTAAATTGGTTGAAGATGGTTGAAGGGAACATTAATAAAACAGGACACCCTAACATTTGGAGAAAGTACTGTTGCCTGTAATGCTCCTTCCCTCAAACCAATCCATTGCTGTCAGGAAAATCGTGGATCTCGATCAACAAAAGCCATGGGCATCTGCAAAAATCAATCGTCCGTCGCAGCCATGATATCTTCAGTCGCTGCACCCAACAGGATGGCCCTCGTTGAATCTCAAAGTTTCACCGGGCTTGCGCTTGCCGGAAGCGACATACCCAACAATCAGCTTCATGGCTGGCCGGAAAATCTTCCAGTTGGAGGAGTTTCCCAGCTGCCTCCATGGCTAGTTCGGGGATTTCCCAGCTAGCCATGTTTGATTACCAAATATCGGTATTCTAAGCATCCAACAACTCCATATCATTGCCAATCCTGGATAGCCTGCCAAAAAAAATACACATCCATAGCAACAGAGAAGTTAATACTAGACCACCAATACAAAGTTGACTCTTAAACGTAACGTGTTCATGTTTCTTCAAGGGACGAAAAAGGCAACATGTTAATCATCCATTAGCCATCCTTGGTCCAAACCTTGGTGCACCAACCATTCACCAAGCGAAGGTCTGGAAAATCATGGTACCCATGCGTGTCCCCACGTCTATATAATGGATCATCAGATTATCATGACATGTCCCATTTCAATGGCAAGTTTGGAATCATACGGTCATTCTGATCAGATACTAGTACCCCTGCGGAATTATAGTACCCCACAAAAAGATAGGAAAGTTAAAGTCATGTTTTTTGCGTGTTACTACAATCAATGAATGTCACCATTTTCCCCATTAAGTTGGCAATTCTGGATTCCCTCTGGCAAACTAACACAGCTATGGAAAAATCACTATTTTTCAGAGGCAAATATCCACAACTGGGCCATCTAAACCATAGCTATATTGGCAATTATATTGGTTTACTGGAGTCTGTACTTCGATGATTTTCCCATTTCATCCCATATTTCAACGTCCATTTTACTTCGCGCATTTCCCATGCATTTCAGCCATATTTGGATGTTTCCTAAGTCACGGGTGTACCACCAGTCATCCATTTTGGGGTGTTTTGCATGAAACCATCCAGCTATTGGGGTACCCCCATGGCGAACCAGGCCTTCTGCGGGTCCACGTACTTCGAGAAGTCCGGCAAGCGCTTCTCAATGTCCTCTCGGACCTGGAAACGTACCACGGAAACGCCATGAATGGTTAAATTTGCCATGGTAAATTTTGCCTTATAGTCTATATAGTAACTGTATGCAACTGTTATCTTGTGGGGGTTGCATGTTTCATTAGTGGACTAATAGTGCCTAATCATTCATAGAGAGTTTCTCATCATTGTTACTGATCATTCCTAATCATCTATAGTTCCCAACAGTAATTTATCTGATGACAAATCATTAATCATCATGAACAAGAAGGTAAAAACGATTAGTTACCATTGCTAATAGTGACTAATCATTTCTAATCATCTATGGTTACGAATCACCACTTCCATCGACTTCGCACCTGCTCCTCAGTCCAGCCGCGCTCTGCCACGTCACGTTGCACCTTCCAGGCAAACTTCACGTCGTTCCTGAGAGGGAAGTGGCCCCCCCCGTCCACAGAAACTGGTGATTTAATCGGATAAATGGGATCTAGCCTCTGGTAAACCAACCGTTTGCTATGGAAAAATCTGTATTTTTATGCAGTTATGTACATCGACAAACTAAATGACCATGTTCCATAGCTATATTAAATTACCAGGCGGAAACTATAATTCTTGGCCTTATGGTGGACTTATTCGTATAATATAGATATATATATATATATACATTTATGATATTGTATATTATATATATATATTATTATATATTTTATATATATTATATTATATTTTATATATATACATTATATTATATACATATATATATATTGTATGTATTATATATATTATATATAGATTATATTTTTTATATATTATATTATATTATATTATATTATATTATCTTATATTATATTATATTATCTTATATTATATTATATTATATTATATTATATTTTTTATGTATATTATATTATATGTATATTATATATTATATATATATCATATATATTGATGGAGTTGAGTCATGAGGTATACAAAAGAAAATATGATGATGTGCTTTTAACACATACCGTATTATAGGTATTGGTTCAAAACTTGTAATACCTATAGTTCGGAAGGTGAACATCCAGTTACCGCCTATCTTCATGTTCAGCAAGATAACAGGATTTTCACCCATACCCACATGATTCTCCTACTATGTCAAGAATTTATTCCGAAAATGAGATTATGTTTATTGACTTTTGTTGGGGTTAGCCCATAAAAAAAGATGCCTGGCAGTTCAGGGACTGCCCTCCAGTAAACCAACATAGATATGCAAAGAATGTAGATCCTTTCCAACGAAAAACCCTGGGTTTCCGCAACTATCTTAGTTGGAAGGTACCCTCTGGGCATTTAACATAGCTATTGAAAATGGCCATTTATAGTGGATTTTCCCATTAAAAATGGTGATTTTCCATAGTTACGTTAGTTTACCAGAGCGTAAGTTAGGCTATACAGCAGCTGACCTGCGCGCAGTGGATGCCCAGTGACACGATGTCAATGTAGATGGCCAAATCCAACTGCGATCGAGCCTTGTCAGGGTCTCCTGATAAACCAAAGAATTCCCCATGTTCAACGGGGGAAAATAAGACTCCTGTATTGTAGTATATCTTAGTATCTATAAATGCGGGGATTTCAAGTGCCGGCTTAGATAAGTTCTCTTGTGCCATTCTTTCGGTACTGGGATTATCTTCGAACGCCAAGAACTGGAGGCCCAAAGTACTAAACTGGTCATGGGCTCTGCTATGTATCTGACCGCTGACTTCCAATTTTGCCAATACAAATACACACATGGCTGGCATTTTGATAAATCCATCATGATAGCAAACAAATTGGTTTGTCACGAACGGGGTACCCACCAATTTATGTTTTGTGGATATGGCAATTTTCGTGCTGAATCAGTGGATGGAATTGGGGTTCCCCCTAAATGTTCATACACACCCATTTTGTCAAAAAAACACGTCAATCATCAACCTACAGTTACAGGCTGGTGCCCCCTAGTTCTAAGTTGTTTTATAATCCCAACTAGATTTCTAATCACTAGTCACTAGTTATAAACCCTATAGTCACCATTAGTATCTTTTAGTATCTAATCACCATTAGTATCTATTAGTTAGATGTCTATGAGTATCTAATCACCATTAGATACCAATTAGATACCAATTAGATACCAATTAGATACCAATTAGGTACCAATTAGATACCAATAATTAGATACCAATTAGATACTATAAATATAACCATTATATAGTATCTATTAGTCACTATAAACCCTAGACCCACCTTGGCACCACCTCGTACAGGTTTCAACAGCAAAAACAATGCCTTCTCATCGTAGATGGGGTGCAATCCTTGGGCCCCCAGTGGGCCGTGTGCGGTTTTCGATTGGGTAAGGCAAACTCAAATATATAGAAAGAAAGAAAGAAAGAAAGGAAGAAAGAAAGATAGAAAGATAGATAGATAGATAGATATACTGTGTATATATATATATATATCCACCAAAAAAGTGGTTGACCAGTGATTGACCTAGCTTGGAATCCCTGAGCATAGACAAAATTACCATGGAATTTGGTGGGAAAGTGTTGAAATAGCCAGCTGAAATGGGGAATGAATGGTGATTTACCCTCAACAGGGAAGGTTAACCATCAAACAGGGGCTTTGCATGGTGATGCTAGTGATATCCCATGCGGAATGGTAATATATAGTAGCAAAATATAGCACATATATGTTATATAAAATATACCAAACACCTCCAATGCTTGGGACCACCCAAATGAATAGTTTGAAGGAAGGCATAGATATGGTACAATTCAATCATTGTTGGTTGATACCAGAATTTGTTGGCTTACCCAAATTTTGAATAAATGATGTTCCTGTGATGTAATCATGATTCTATTTTTTGCTATTGTCCCATGGTGCTGTTTTGTTCACCAAAGGTTAAAATTAGTAGTCATGTGCCATCACTTATCATGCGTACAGAACCCCTGACTGATGGTTGAGCTGCTCGCCCCAATCATGTATACTAAATGGCAAATAACCTTTCCAATACGGATGAACATCAACATCTTTGAAAGCACTAGAACACGATCAAGATCTTTGCTTAGGAAATGGAGGCTGATTGATCCCAATTTCGTCAAATCTTTCAGACGAAAGGAGAAACGGGTTCGGGTGCGGCCACATGTTGAAAATCTTGGAACAAACTAAATTTGAACAAGATGGCATCATCAAAAACCTGAACAAATTAACATGATGCTGCAACGTTCTTTTTTGCCAAATGGTCACGTATTTTTTTCTCATCCGTATGCTGGCACATATTGCTATCAGATCTAGATTTTCCAGCCATTTATCAAAGTTGGACGTCTGTTGGCATCTGAAAAAAATGCCAAACAGTGATAGGCATCACTATTAAAATCTATGAAATAATGGGATTTGACCATGTTTGACCAACCCACCGGAAAACTCCGGTAGCCTTCCAAAATGCTATCGACCTGGTCACCGAAGCCAAGAGTCCTTCAAAGACCATGATCTTGTTGGGCTCGATCAACTCAGGAGTGTCCTCACCGAGGTGACCTTTTTAAAAATGTGGCGATATTTATGGAGTGAAGTGACCATGAAAAATATGAAGTGGCCATGGAAAAAGGATGATGTACGCTTTTTTTGGGGGGATGTTGTTTTTTTCATGTTGTTTTCAGTAGCCATGATTTAAGCCAATTTCGAAGCAAATATTGCAGTAGCTAAAATGGTGGGGGCCGTGTTCCCATGGGGTTAAGAAATCAGCTCAGAACACTGCAAAAACGGTCTAGTTTTGGTCAGATCCAGAAAAACAACACATGAGTATGGCAAACCCCAATATATGGTGTGTATATATATATATATGGATATATACTTAATATATATATATATATTATATATATATATATGTGGATTATATGGGGTAATATGGGTAATACAATCCCATAATCATCAACCTTTGGGGCTTTAGCAGCTGCTCTATTTTTGTTTCTTGGGGTCGAAGCACTGTGGAGTCATTCAGCTAGCCATATGGGTGTCTTTGAAAATGGGTACCAAATCTCCAAAGAACCAATAAATAAAATTAACTAAATCCATGTGAAAAGGATGATTCGCCAGTGGATAAATGTCGCTTTTCCGGTGTTCCCCCCAAATTCTCAGGTACCCTCTGGTTATTTAACATAGCCATGGGAAATGGCCCATTTATAGATGGTTTACCTATTAAAAATTGTCATTTTCCATGGCTATGTTAAATAACCAGATGGTACCAAATTTCGACATCTGCAGTTTTTTTCCGTTTCACCATGGCTTAAACGGCATCGCAGTGCCGTCCTTGTTGCCGGTGTTGTGGTTGTAGATGGGCTTGTACACCGCCTTGCCTGCCAGCGGTGAAACAAGGTGGTCTCGAATTTATGGTGAAACCACTGGGAGATGGCCACCGGTCGATCCGATTCTATCCTATGGTTTAACATATATCATGTATAAACATAATTATAAATATCATTAAATATAATTAACAGAATCTTCTTCGCAACATGGGCATGTGTTTTCTTTCGCTAATTTTCTCTCCACTCACAATTGTGTGGATTGGGGGATCATCAAGGGGATTCCCCAATCGCTACACCGAGGTATTTCTTCATCGCATCCCAAGTTGCCGTTGGGCAAAACTATCCAACATATTCAAACATGGCGTAGTGACTTCAATGGTAGTGAAAGTACTAATATTATCCAATATTTGGATAACATCTTTATACTCAAAAATGATACAAGTTTCACTACCCAAAAATGGATTGGGAGATGGCCATCCATTTTACGGTCATCATCTCACGTCAACCGCAGCGCCTGTTTTCAGCGCCTCCATCTGCACGCCCATCAGATCGAAGTCGTTCTCCCGGGCATCCAGCGCAGTAAGACCAGTGGCCTGGAAACTGGTGAACGCACCAGTCGCTCTCCATATCAAGCATGTAGAACTGGTGATAAATCTGGCTTACAGTGTTTATATGCATATATATATATATATCATATACATATATGCATATATATATATACACATACATATATGCATATATATATATATGCATATATACGTATATGTATATATATATATACACATACATATATGCATATATATATATATATGCATATATACGTATATGTATATATAGTTATTGCTTACTAGTTGGAATATTTATTACCTAGTTACTAACTGGGATAGTCATCACTAACTGGGATGCACCCCGAAGTAGTAAAAATACCCATCGCCTTTTCGATTCCCCCATATGGGACCGTATAAGACCTGAATTAAACACAAATCCAATACTAAGCGGGGAGTTATATCATGTTATATCACAGTATCGCCTCTCTTTCAGGTCAGGGTGTAGATGCCATTCTTTGCAAGTTTGTTGGCAATGATTTTTTCAGACTCATTGACAAGTTGCCACTGCGGCTGAATGCTTCATGTTTGCAAGATATTTTGCGGATTGAGTGGACTGAGGTGCCTTAAGCTTTTTGGATCAAAAACCCCTGCTTCCCAACACACCCACGTCCAATTAACTTAAGATATCATAAATCGGGCCATGTTTATGGGCAACCTGTATATATATATAATATATATATATACATTTATGTAACTCCGACAAATAACCCTACCTGACCTTTTCGAACAATGCATATCCACGGTTCATCAACATTCAGTCTCAATGTGGGTCTGAAATTCGGCTACCAAATTTCTTTGTTCATGGTCACTTTCTGCTTGGATTTTGGGGTATCCAATGGTATCCTCCTTGCACCGCCTTGCGCCCGGCGCGGTCGTTGGTGTGATAGTCATCCAGGCAGATGACGGTCATCATGTCACCGATGGCGGTGTGCCTTAACGACCACTGGACGAAAGATTCGATGAGGTCATGGGAAAGTGTCAAAAGCAAACCTCTTTTTGATGTATGTTCATATCTTTATATAATGGTATGGACATATATGACATATAGCAGCTTACCACTGGACATATATAACATATCACCACTGATTGACATATATGACATATAGCCACGACCACTGATAATGTGTGTAATCTTTGGTTGTAGTTCTATCGCTTGTGGCAGAGGACAGGTCAAAGTTCCGGACCCAGTAGCGCCCGCAGTGGGAGATTCCTTTCCTTCAACAAAACAACTGATGTTTAGAAACAAACCTGGGACTGGAAGCCCCAAGTTTGTCCAAAACTTCTCACACAAAACAACCACAGCATTGGATCATTGTGACATTGTATTTGAATAAGATCATCTCTGTTATTTTGAGGCCTCGAGGGCCGCTGGTTCCTGACATCAATCCCCTGACATGGACGGGACGTTGTACCCCCAAGTATGGGACACTTATACTTTAGGTATCCACGATGCAGAGTAAAGTTTCACTTCAATCGAAAATACAGGGTACATGAAATCAGTGAACTATCTTAAACCAATATACACCAACACATCCTCTTTTACCTTCCACTGAATTAACATACCAGTCGATGTCGAAACCCATCGTGGATCCCCTAAGAAGTGATGCATAGACTGAATATCTATACGGATTATCTAAATTGGGTTTGTCCAGAAACGGCGTACTGTACTCAAATCCAATGGTGTGTCATCATTTTATCCAAAATACATTAAGATTGCCACAAATTTGGAGTGATGCCTTTTTCTTTACACTAATCCATCTCCAAGTTCTTAGTTGTAAATACATTCTGTACGTACATTTATATACAATATATATATATATAGTATCTATATATATATATAGTATATATGTATGTATATATTATATATATACATATATATATATATTCAGTATTTCAATAGATCCCCATGATTTCCCCCGAATTCTCCGCCGCGGCACCCAGGCTTGACCTCCGTGCCCAGTGCACCCAGGATGCGACGAAGGAAGGTGGACCTTGGAGCCAGGTCCCTCAGGGTGTTGATTTGGATTTAATATGATTACCCTCTGGTTATGACTAACATAGCCATGGTATAGATGGCCCATAGAAATAGATGGTTTACCTATTAATAGCATGGTGATTTTCCATGGCTATGTTAAATAACCAGATGGTAACTGTGGAGGTTGTTGATGGATTAATTCACTAGACTATACTTATATGATATTATATATGTGGGATTAACTGATTAACTACAGTTATATTAAGTGATATGGGATTACTGAACTATTTTTTTTGGGAGGTGTCCTACAAAAGAACATCCCCAAGTCACTGCCAAGTACAAATATGGACATATGGATATTAATCTTATGGTAGCTATTATGATATACAAGATTGGTTATTAAACATGTTAATCCCATATGTCATCATTTAAAAAAAATAAAATAATCAAATTGATGCTTATAACGATCATACAATAGGAAAATGTATATTGTATAAAAATAAAGTCATCAATTATTTATGCATCATATAAATACGTATACCTTTTATATACCGGTCATTGACAGATAACTCTCTAACATTTAATCATCATAGGGATATGCTGGATGCTTAATTCTATATTGCGTAATAATTATAGGGTTCATACTGTTATGATAAATTTTATTTAATCCAATATATAACAAACATGACATGTATATACAGTTAATGATACAGGGATATCTTGAACGGAGATATAGTTATTAGTGGATATCATGGATATCATGGACTAACATGTCCATGAGATTTATATGGATATATAGTTGTTAAGTAGCCACGGTGCTTTACTTCACAGCAACATCTTACAGGTGTATATACAGTATATATATATATACATACCATCAGTACCAGGGCAAGATCTGGGGATAATAAAAGGATATGAATGGAAATATAGTTATATAATGCTATGTATGCTGCACATCATTATGTAGTTAGTATAGCTAATGTATACTAATGTACATTGATGGAAACATAGCTATTGATATCTCCATAGTATTTATGAATCATGGAGTGCAGAGTAGGGATATAAAGCTAGTACAAATATGAATAAGAACAACTGACACAACTATTATCAACATAACCATTATACTATAGTTGTAAGAATGACTATTATAACATAATTCCAAGAGTAGCTCCATTAATCCCAAGGATATAAAACATATTGTATACAGTATACAGTTAGTTCTACAATAGGTTCTTCCTTGGGATTGCTATATCCTTTGATTGCGGGACTTGTGTTGCTCCGGGGATTAATTTTCACGAATAGGGACTCAATCGAATCAGTTGCGGGATTGATAGGGATTAATTCCTAGGGGATCAGAGGATTCAAATTCATAGGTGATTTGATCTATGGTAAATCTTGGTGAATACAGTATTCCATGCGTGACCGTATTGGATGAGTACAGGATATTTAAGGATAGGTACAGAGTATGGAGTAAAGTATTATATATAATATACATGATTAAAACTGTTGAGACATCCAAGCTGGACATTAAAATGTGCTGGTTACTGGTACCTCAATCATATGGGGTACAATTGTACTAAAGAAACATATCTTAGTCGGTACAATCATGCGATAAAATATCCATGAGTAATATGTATGATTCAATGGCGGATTCACTACCGAATATTGGGCCATGTTGGGAAAATACAATGGGATATATATATATATAAGAGGTTCAAATGGAAGGCAACGGAATATAGTCTTGGATTTGTTGAGGAGGTCATAAAGGAAATGAGAAACATTCCCAGTAAATTCCCCACAATAAATGTGGATTAGCCAATGGAACATTCAAAAAGTCCTTAAACAAGCCAGGGGAATGGGACAATAATGGCATATAATTGGACATAATAGGATATCATGGGAAATAATCCATGGACCAAAATGATGATTCATGTTCTTAAAAAAAAGTGCTGGTGATGAGCTTAACAAGTCTTCTGTACACCAATAGAAGCTGAGGTAAAAAAAAAAAGTAAGAAGAGTTGATCTATCAAACATATAACTGATATCATGAAAATCATTCTGTTGCAGTGCTTGCTATTTGTGCTGAAACGGCTGCTTTCAGGTACTGTTTCCTACCAGGTGCGGAGCTCATCTGCGGATCTCTCAACAGGTTCCCGCACTTTGAGTAGTTCTTGAAACTAGGGTACCCCAAAAAAAAACGGTGTGTCCATTAAACATCACCAAGAAGTATCAATCACTTGGATTATTTGGATATATAATTGAGATGATTAAGTATCAATAACCACCAACCACTAGCAGAAAACCATGGGATTCACCATAGGAAAGCCCCTTTTCAAGCACCACCCCACATTGGGCCGTCGTGCTTTCCGCAGCCGGAATCTGCTGCCACGCCCACAATCACTGGAGTGTCCTGTTCATCCAATGAGATTCGAACAAATTCAAGTGGGTCTATAGCTACAGTCAGAGCGGCTATGTGTATCCGAACTTGTGATGGTTATAACATAACTCTAGTGATACATATGGGTATGGGTCAATACCTATAGATACATTTTTAGTGGGATGAACGTCCATTTACCAGCTATTTTGGGGTTCACTAGGTACCAGGGTTTTGACCCATCCCCATATGTCTAAAGTCTAAAGCCAACTGCACCCCCAAAAGGGATAATTAAGAGGGATCCCCCTATGCAGACTCTTCAATTTGGTCTGCCTCCGCCTACAGCCATACAGAATGATATCTCATCATTCTGCAAGGTGCATGCATGGCACTGGAAAATCATGAAAATCCTCACATATCTTTTTTTTTCTCGTCAAAACATACTAAAAGCCACCTGTTTATCAAAGATTTCCCATGGATTTTCGGTCTGGTTCGGCGAAAATCTAGGCTCCTCCATCTTGCCGCTGGCTTCCAAGATGGGATCCATGTCATCCTTCCAAGCATGGGTCGGGTAGAGCTTGATGCCATCCACCTCTTCGATGCGGGAACCCGCAGCCGAAATGCTGGATGTGTGGTGGAAATCCAAGCGTTCATTTGATGGGATATCAATGGAACTTTTCAGAAACTGCTGATTCAATGGTGTACTGTGTATATATATATATGGGGATTCACTGTGATAAATGTGATGTGCCCTCTGGTAATCCGACATTGCGATAAGAAATCACAATGTTTAATAGGTAAACCATCGAATTGCAACAAATTACCATATTTCTAGGAACAATAGGAATGCTCAGTTCATGCAATTTTTGACCCTGATGGAATCCTTGCCACGCACTTCCATAGTCCCATAGGGAAACCCCAAGAGTTTGGTCGGATTGTCCCATCATTGGATGTTTCCCCATGGATATGTTCTATGGCAGAAACATGACAAGTCCATGTGGAGAATAGCTTTTGACCCATCACCGAAACATCCCACCATTCGCACTCTATAATATTATATATATATATATATTATCTGTATATATGTGCACACATATGTACATAGTAAGTAGAAGATAACATGCAATGTGTATATATCAATATTGTGCATACACTATATCTATATATTCAATTTGCTTGTAGGGATGAAACAAACATGTATCTACTGTATATAATATACCACATCTATAAATAATGTATTCACTTGTGTATATATATATATATATATGTACACGTATACGCACAATACAATATTATACAGCATTATCTACTGTATGTTGGAAATTTCCCAATTCCGACAAATGTGAAACAACAAATTGAACCAAAAAAACACAAAACAGTTTAAGATAAACATGGAAAATACCTAATGTTACATATCAAAATATCTGAATATATGACAATAATATGACATATATAATATAGTTAACCATACATTACCATACTATATAAATAGTTATAAATCATTCGATGAAGCCGCTCCGGACCCCAACGGCCCCGGCCTCCCGCAGCTTCTCTTCCGCTTCCGCAGAAGGCCAAACCAGGCCGGTGGGAACGCTGACGCCACCTGCGCTGGACATGGATGGTTTTTGTGAAAGGCTAATTAACCATATGGACTATATAGATAACAATAACAATAGATATATGGTTATTAATGGTTATTAATGGCTATTAATGGTTATTAATGGTTATTAATGGTTATTAATGGTTACTAATGGTTATTAATGGTTATTAATGGTTACTAATGGTTATTAATGGTTATTAATGGTTATTATATAATGGTTATTAATGTTGAATGACTATCTGGTTGGTGGTTTTAATCATCTTGAAAAATATGAGTTCGTCAATGGGAAGGGTTATCCCATATATTATGGAAAATAAAAAATGTTCCAAACCACCAACCAGATAATTACTCGGAAAATGTTGGAAATATGACATTATGTGAAATCATCATGAATGGAATTCGTTTTTTCGGGTATGCAATCATGGGCCATTGACGATGGAGACGACAGAACTATGGGAGAAATTGGACGCATAATGCCAAAAAATGCGGCGGAGGAAATAAAAATGAATGTGAAACAACTGGGGAATCGCCATGAGAAATGATGATCAAAAAAAATATCATTGGTTGATTAGTTCAAGTCATTGAAGATTGATGGACGTTGACGGTAGAATGTCGGAGAATTCATTGACGAAACACCCTTGAAGACCGACAAAAGAGGATCAGTAACACTCCAAGGACGAGGGGGAGAAACTGCATGGGTAAATAAGGAGGCAAAATTATGACAAAATGATGAGTTTCCCCAGTTGTGGATATAATTGTTGCGTGTCTGACCATATCTTACAATTTTCTGCAGCTTCCCAGTTTAGAAGCACAGTTCCAGTTGTAAGTGGGGATAACAACATAGTAAGTTGACATAGTAAGTTGGCTTTATGTCCCAACTTATGGGGGTTTAGTTCACCATGGTTACGCCCAAGTAACATCAGCCCCCTGAGAAGGCCTGCGCGGAGTGCAGAGTGGCTTGTGCGCCCTCCAGACACGCTGGACACAAAGGCACGGGACAGGAGGCCGTAAAAAAGGCCCAAGGCCTCGAATTGCGGCCGGGTTGAAGCATGGTGAGAAAATGGGAATACCATGGAGAACAAGTCAGATAATGATAGATAATGTATATAATCTGTGTATATATATATATACATACATATGCCCTCCGGTAATCAAACATGGCAATTGAAAAGGATTGATAGATCATGTTCCAATTTAGACCTTCATTTATAGTATATAAGATATTTTTGCTTGCCATGTTTGATTACCAGAGGTATGTATAATATTATGTTAATGAACAGCAAATTTCTTTGGTTCCATTGCACCAGACCGGCTGTGGAAATTGGAGTGGGGGGGGGCGCTCTTCTACTGTTGTTTTAGGAGTTTCAAATGTGCGTAAAAGCAGGCAGTTGAAGAGTGACCAACACCCTAAGGGATGTGATATATATGTATATATGTATTTACAAATATATATATATATACATGATTATCTAGAGACTATACACACTTATTTGAGCAATGGGGCAACGTTCAATTGCCATGTTCGTTTAGGGCTATGTTCCATCCCCATCTGGGAAACTTACAATCGTCGTTCGCACTCCTGAAATAAGCCACGTGTTTGAGACTCCGAAAATTGAATGTTTCCATCATCTATCTCGTGTACACGTTCAATCACTTTCACGACTTTATTTTGTGACATACTCTACCCACTTGAATGCGCATCCCAGCAATTGTAAGGCTTAAATTTAACCCAAAGAAAGAACTCGTCGAACAACAACTGGGGATCTTTCTAACTTGCAATAACTGGATCTCATTTCATATGGTCATTCGGAGGTTTTCCAAAATATGTTCCCATTGATAATAACCAAATCTGGATGTTGGTGTACCCCTCATTTTAGGACACTTCCATTTGACAAAAGCACATGGGGTGGGTCATCCTGGCGCATGCTATCGTTCCTGGGCCAAGGCACCAACAGCAAAGACAGTGCGGAGCTCCTCTTGGCCATTGAAAATCGTTCCTTTCGCGGCGGTAGACGGGGATAATGGTTCCTGGAGGGTCACCCTGCAGCAGATGTTTGTGGATTTTTAATCCAGAAATTGGAGAACCCAGGAATCGGGGGAGTTCAATGATCCAGAAGTTGCCAAGGCACAGGCGGCGCGCGGCTCTGAAAAAGGGACGTGTTGGGCCAATGCTGAAACGACAAGCGGCCAGGAAACATCATGATGCATGCAAGCTGGAGATTTTGATTTGGGATACTCCATGGACCTGAGGATACGCTGTGTACACACACATCTATATATCATATACAGACATATTATACATAATATACATACTATAGATATGTAACTGTTCAGATCTAACATGGTTCAACAAAAAAACACAAAGTAGGGTAGGGCATTTTCAGCATTTTTTGCAAACGCATCTTCCGACGCCTTCTTTTTCCAGATCGGATCTTTAGGGGCGGTACCATAAATTGATATGAATTGCAATGGGCATTGGAATTTTCCATGGGCATCTTTTGAATTACCCTCTGGTAAACTATTGAAAATTGCCATTTATAGTGGATTTACCCATTAAAAATTGTGATTTTCCATAGTTATGTTAGTTTACCAGAGGGTAGGAGAGATTTGAGAGTGAACCGCAGTGAACCTCCTAATTCTCCTAGTATCTGGCTGCAGCTTACTACTTCACCCATATGAAATACGGTCATTTCTCGATGGTCCCCCAGTCGTCAGGGAAATCATATGGATCCCCAGTCCATACCTGACGTTTCGGTCGAGCCCATTTCAGGAGACCAAACAATCCATCCCTGTTGACGAAGTCACTTGAAGTATACTCTATATATATATATAATATCATACTTACATACCATACATTACATTACATTTACATTACATTACATTACATTACATGTACATTTACATTTATTTACATTTACATTTACATTTACATTTACATTTACATTTACATTCCATTACATTACATATATATATATATACATATATATATACATATATATATACATATATATATATACATATATATATATACATATGTATATATATACATATATATACATATATACATATATATATATATTATGTGTATATGTATATATATATATTATGTGTATATGTATATATGTGTTTGAAAATGGATATACCATGATACACCAGCAACCAAAATGGCCACTTAAAGGGGGAACATGATGATAATCGTTCACATCCCCACTATTTCTTTCTTCCCGGTCGTTGGTTGATCGAATTGCCCTTCGCCCATGGCTCCATATCCAGAAAATCCCAGCTGGAAATACGCTGACATGAGGTGAGAGTGGATTGTAAATTCACTTATTGATAAAACCATGATCAGATAAACATAGATAATCATCCACACAATAGACATGTAACATAAATGAACAATATCACTGAGAATCGGATCCGTGGATTATAATCCAGGACCCATATGTAAAAAACCCATACATGAACTGGGCAACTGGGCTATATCACTATATTATTGATATATATATATATATATACATGTACACTATACCATATACTATATATACAGCATATAGACTTGAATAGTAACCCTTCATATAATCCCAGGTTTACAATCCAAATATTCATATTATATATATATAGTCCATACTCAACACTCGTGGGGTCCCGTTGGGCTTCCCAAACTGGAGGGGTCACAGGGCGATACGGCAGCAATGGAGAGCCCGCGCCTGGGGATTAGAGAAATTGTTCGTGGAAATCATGGGAACCACATGCACAAAATGATATGAGAAATGTTGGGGAAAATATGGGAAAACAAATTGGTTAATTACAAAAACTAGTCGGATATACCGATATACGATTCTGTAAATTCTGCTAATAATACATCTAAGTATTACTTGAAAGTACGATATAGTTGACCTTTATATATACTGTCACAATCATCTAATTCAAGCTTGCCATCGGCCAATTGCACACAGCGCTCGCTCCATTCACCCAGCTGACACTTCTGAATAATTGACCGCTGGTCTCAGCATGCACGCTCCGTGTCAACCACATACAGTTTGCAAACCCTTTGCAATCTTCACAGGGGTACTTGCTTTAAATGTGATAGCATCGCCTAGAAATTTCAATGGTGCATCCACAGCGGCACATATTTCTTCCTTTGATCCGCCTGCCTGCAATATGGATTACCTATAGTCCAGTTGCTGTAGTTGAGAACTATATTCAGGTAATGCTACCTAGAAATACGGCTTGCCATATGAAATCTTGAATTGTAGACTTGGAAATGGGTCAGTTCAACAGTTCACTGATACAGTACCATCCCCACCTGGCAGCCGCGAGAAGGCCTTGGCACCGGGATCACAGCTGCTGGGAATGCTGGGGATATCATTCCCGTCATGTTTTTTTTTGGAAAATGTGGATTGATGGCATTGGATGACCATCCCCAAATACTGGCAATTTATGGCAATCTAACATCATTTACCCCCAGTTTTGGCCATGGCACAGTTGATGGGATCCAATGGGAGTATCCCCATGAATGAATAGTCATCATTTTCCTCACTTTTTACTGGCCATTTGAAGAGATACCCCATTTTCAGACAGACACTAATCTGGGAAGATGGAGCGACTGACCGACTGGTCTCTTCCAGGACATTGGTATTGCGTTGGCCCATCCCCTAATATGGAGGTTTCCTAAGTGCGGGCACCCCCAAATCATCCTAAAGCTAGACATTTTCGTATTGAAACACATTATTTTAAGGGGATCCCCCATTTCAAGAAACCCCCATATTTGAAGCACCACCCTGGGCTGCAGGGACCATGGGCATGGGCGGTGTGATTGACAAGGGCGGAGCCTTGTGAATGGTACCTGCAGCGGCCGCGGGCTGCTTCAATTCACGCCATGATCATAAGTGGAGATGGACACATAATCTCAAAATGAAACTTGCCAATGTTAGTAAAGAAGTAGTAAACCGTAAACCATCCCCAAATTTAACATAAATAATTAAATAGTTGGTTTAAACCATCAATCCATATGGGTGGTTTATGACATGGCTTTACTAACATTAGCCACTATGTAAATGCAATGTCCAACATTGCAAGGAGGAGCCTCCATGAACTGGGATAACTGGGAATTCTGATTCGGATTCAAGCCACAGTGCGATAGACATTGACATAAATTAATATAAATTACGTCAAGCCCCGATCTTTTTGGTCATGGTCATACAGTGTCATACAGTACTTAAGCAAATTGATTGATCATACCCAGCAATGTCTCCAGTTCTTGAGAAACTGTGCACTGAATGGTGCCAGAGAAAGACTGGTAGCTCTCCTTCCGATTTGACAGAACTCGCTTTGGAAGGCAAGGAGTTCCCAAAAGAAACACGACACGCATCGCAAATTTTGGCCATTGCTCAGGGTAAGACTTCCATGCCATGTGAATCTCAGACCATTAAGTTCCATTCCATGGCCATTTTCGGATGAAAAATCGCCGCCAAACATTCCTCCATTGGACGCGCCTGGGGTTGGATCCTTCATGGCCTGCCGAAAAAAAGGTCAGGATTCACCCAAGAAAACTGGGGTTAATCTTGGTTCATAGTAGTTCATATTGGTCAATATATAGTAGTTGTTATATAATAGTGATTATGGTTATAATATATAGTGATTCATATGGTATATGTCACTTAAACTATCCTCTGGTGTCCTCAAACATGGCTGCCTGGAAGATCCCCAAACATCAACATGTTGGAGAAAATCATTGGGTTTTGACATGTGTTAACTTTTAAACAACATTAAAATAACTGGTAGACCTCCCACGTGTCCATCAAATAATCGGAAAAATGATGATTGAAGTGGATGGAATGGGGTATCCTATTTTCAGCTCAAATGGGGGTTTCCTAAAATGGGGGTACCCAAAAATGGATGGCTTACAATGGAAAATCCTATGAAAATTATTGAAAATTTATGATTTGAGGGTACCCCCATGACTTGGGAAACCACCAAGCCGTTTGGACATTGCTGGCAACGCTCAACTAGTGCTTTCCAGCACGGGAATTTCACCAAGCCCACAGAAGGTGATCCCTCATTCCATAGTGCTTGTTGGTGGTTACTAAGCTCTTAATGAGCCATCATCGGGGGGTGGTCACCGAGGGGCTTGGCTGAATTCCCATGATTCAATGAGCCCAAAAAGATTCGTCAACTTGGGTATGCGCATCAACAAACAGTTTCGGAACACCATGGTGGAAACATGTGGAAACCACTTTCGGAAAACCCAGGTTTGGGCGATCCTACATAAAAAGACCTGCAGTCGATCCAACGTGTGTATCTACACTGAGAATCGCATGGCAACGCTGTGGGGACAAAAACCAGTGACGGCTGTTGCCTTTTTGCCTCTGAAAGAGATACTCATCGTCGGGACCATCTGTGGATAAAGAGTATGAGTCCAATCCACCAGCCCACATCAATTTTCGGCCAGACTTTCAGAAAATCAGCCTACGATGATTCACTGTGCCAAAATTTGGTTTTGACCAACAAGAGGTTTTGACAAACAAGACACGAGTAAGGTTATAAACCACCCTAGAATGACCCATAAGAATTGGTGGTTGAAGCTTGAAAAACAATGGCGAGCAAGCTGGAATAATTACATCAATATATAATATATCCAAGAAAAATGTATAAATTTTGTGTTTGTTTGCTTTGATCAAATGTCTTTAGTCTTTAGAATAACTTAGATGTCATTTTATGGCCATAGATCCAAATTCTCGTTTACTGAAATTCAAAATGATTGGCAAATGCGGTTTTGGATCACATGATTTCCATTATATGATCACAACATGGCTAGTCTTATACCACATCGGTCAAATCCTTTGATTGTTTACCCAAATGGATTATAATCAATGAACCGCGTGGTGCTTTCACCCCATCTAACCATGCCCTTGTCACATGTCCCTTGTTGATCATCCCACAAATGGTAACTGGTTAACCCTGTTAACCCTGGCTAAGTCCGCATTCAATAGGTATCCTTATAAATGGTCATATATACCGTATATAAATGTCCTAAGTAGATAAATTGCCCATGATCCCATCTACAAATTGATGGCACCATGAGATGGCGACCTATCGTTACAGTGGTTACAAAAAATATCACTCCCTTAAAAACAAAAAAGAACTTGTTGGCGATATTCCCATGGGATATTGACAATATTGCCATAAAATGTTAAAACCAATTTTGTGAATATAACTATTAATGGAAATATAGATTAATACTGAATATAGCCATTAATGAATATACAATATGACCATTACCATCGATATCCATGGATATTACCATATTACCACTAATGGATTTTACCATATTAATAATATACTGTAACCATTACCATGGATAGTATCATATGACCATTACCATGTATATTACCATGTATATTATTACCATGTTACCATTCATGGATATTACCACATTAATAATATTACAATTACCATGGATATTACCATCTTACAATTAATAATCGTTAATGTATATTACCATCATACTATTGCCATGTATATCACTAATATTACCATATTACCAGTATGTAATGGATATTACCATGTATATTAAAATATTAATGGATATTGATTACCAGCTTAATCATTAATTACCATCTTACCATTAATCTTAATGATCATTCATAGTATTACCATCTTGTATTACCATGGATATTACCCTCCAGTAAATTAACATAGACCCTGAAAATCACCAATTTTTATAGAGGAAACTAGTCTTCCAACCCCTATCTGCCAGGGTCTATGTTAATTTACCAGAGGGTATAAATGGTTATAACTGGTTAATCTATGGTTAATCTATGGTTAATCTATGGTTAATGACAATATATCTTATAACAATATATGTACCATTTAAGATCCCATTCATCAACGGTCCGCCTGCGCCCAGCTGGGCGGATTCACCGCCAGGGCGTGGCCGGCGAGGCCGGCGTGGCCGGTGGGCGGCGCCACCACCGGCACCGTGTAGCCCGCGGTGAAAGAGGCGCGGCGCACATCGGTGCCCGGGGCGGAACCTGGGGGGTCCAAGGTGTGGGGAACCTGGTTATAAGGGGTTTCAGGGGTGTATATATGGTATTTATATGGTATTTATATGATATTTATATGGTATTTATATGGTATTTAGATGGTATTTAGATGGTATTTCGATGGTATAACGGTTCTATTTCGGCACATTCTATAGAATTTGATGTGGTTTCTGCAACTTGGGATACCTCTAGATACTTGATTCCCTAAATATTTGATGCGGGTTCCAAGTTACCCAGATGTTTCTCTGAAAATAGGAGACCTCTAAATCCGTTGGTTTTTCCATCATTTTCCCTGTTAAATGGCTAGTTTATGGGTATACCCATGTCAGACAGACCCATTGTATAAACCTGTAGAGAACATGAAGCTTCAGTTGGGTCAAGTTGGGAGTCAAACACTCGCGTTTTCACATTCAATGTCGAAAGAAAATGAAGTGATAAGATGTGACAAGACAATGGACCCCAAATCTTGGAGCTCATCGATTTCCCATCATTTTACCTCACCACTTGCTGGAAGGCCCATGCTTTTCGACCCAGATCCTAGTTGACACTTCGAAATTCTTGGTCAAATATGGTTTATTTAATCATGCTTATATATATATATATGTGATATGATCAACTATGGTGAGATATGGACTGATCTGGCCCAAGATGGTGCGCTTTTTGTAGCTATCCATCACTTTCTGTACGTGACCCCCTGATCAACTGCGGGTGGCAGGTGATCAGCAGCTACTTTGATGAGTTTTTTAGCCATGAATGAGCCAAAATATCAGGGAATATCACAAACAACCTGTTGGAGAATTCTGAGTTTGTTGAAAACTTGAATGTCTATAAAACTCTGTGTATATACATGATTAGATTTCCCTCCATTTAATCTCCACATTATCAATGTGTATTTTAATATGTGTACACATATACCTGCATCAACGACGATGTGTTAATCGAATATGCAGAACATATGCAAAACTTAATTCAAGTGTGTATATATATATACATACCTCTATACATATATATATATATAATACGTGTATATACGTGTATATACATTGAGCAAACATCCAGATACACATGTGTCATCCAAGCTCTTGGCTACTGGAAGATCCACTGGAACTTGATGCAGAGGCTGTACCCTGGAGCACGCTCAGCGGTTGACGCTGCTGGGGATGGGAGTTGATCCAAGCCGGAACTGGAAACCTGACCAGTGAATAAGAAAACAAGAAATATTATGAAATATTAACCATTGTCATCATAATATAGCAAAATCGCATAGTTTTGCCTTTGTCTTAATCCCTGGGGCCCACAGATTTCGTTTTTATTCAATGGGTACAGGTCTCACTTGACATCATTTGACCCTGAGTAGAGCTGAAACAATAAATGAAGAGTATTAAACCATATTAAACCAACGTTTGGTTGGTGTGAACATGGAGTATACCCTCCATGTTCGTGGCGTTAAAAAAAAAAAAATAACACCATAGAAATAGATGATTTTCCATGATTTTCCCGTTCCCAGCATTTTTAATCTCCGTTGACAACGGGGATTTTCCCGTTCCAGCCACGTTACCGGAGAGTCCCCGGGGACCGCAACCTCGATGTAGGGCTGTGGCAGCGGCCCGTCGGAAGGGTCACCCTGGCCGTGATTTTTCTAGGGATAGATGTGATATGTATGGATTTGATTACATAAGGGGATATGTATGGATTAAAAAATGTTACAAAATGGAAAATCTGGAAATATGTAACCATCATTGACCAACAAGATCAAGGTAATAGCGGCTTAATAGCGATATAGAGGTGGGAATAATGGAAATACATGATGTGAATGGGATATAAATAAGCAACAATCGAATAATGTGCGTTTGCCTCGAAATGGGGTATACCCCCCTCAAAAATGCAATGATTTTTCTGGCAAATGATGATAAACTATTGATTTTGGAGGTGTTGCTCTAAAAGTTGAGACAAACCCCAATTCTTACTCTCTGCCCAAACTTCATGTCCATCAAACAATCACTTCAGATGATGTTTTTTGCTGATTCCTTGGGTGCATCCGGATATATAAGTAGATGGTGATCAAAACCCATGTAAAACTGGTGTAGATCCGAGTAATCTAGTTGGACTATAAGTGATTTACCCACTTATTCCAGGGATGCACATCCAAGAAAGAGTTTCACCCTTATTCTCCCATTTACCCTCTGAAAAAAACAAACGTAGCAATGGTTTCGATGACCGACTGAGTTCGAAGATTTAAGTACTGAAATGGTGATGTTCCACAGCAAACTATGACCCACTTAGGATTCCAAGTATGATGTTGACATCTGACATGAGTAAATCATGCAAAAAATCATTCCTATTTTATCCAATGCTATGATTCCATCATTGTGCCCTGATGTTATTAACCCATTCTGACATCTGGATGTGAGCTGCTGTCGCGAATTGCCTGTAAGGCCTTACATTGCAAGGCGACAGGGGGGAAAAATGCAAAAATTATGCCATTCATGTCCCGTTCATATCTTGCATTATAAAAACTCACCAAGCTGGAAAGTAGCTGAAACTTGCGGCCAGATATGGAGCAACTAACAGTTTGCTAATTATGGCAAATCACCATTTAGTAGCTGGGTAAATCAACTAAATGGCCATGGCTTCAATAGCTATGGGGACAAACATCAACCACTCCAGTGACGTAGCTGGCTTCAAACCACGAGCCTGAAGACATGACAGGGGAAGCTGCGGGATCTCAATCACCTGCGACGAAGCTGCGTCTTAGCCGGCTGAAGGGATGGGTTATGTAGATAGTTATCATTGATTGTTACTGGTTGTTCATGGTTGTTACCCTCCAATCTAATATAGATGTGGAAAACCCACCATGAATGTACAATGTAGATCACTTTCTGGGAAACTATGATTGTTTTCCACACCTTTTTGTATGTTTACCTCAGAGCCTCAGGGTAAACAGTGTTACTTTAATGTGGTCTACCTCTTTGACTTGGGAAAGCATGTGTGTTTTAACACCAAGTAGTAGTTGTTTTTCCGAAATTGGGATTTGCATCAACATTTCTGCAATGAGAATATCAGTGATGAAATCAATGTAATCAACCTAAATGGGATCTTTACCAACAAGAAGAGGCATATGCACTAAGCATCACTAAGCAAGAATGATAATGGGTCATTTCTGAGATCTGAAATCATCCAATTTAAGGGTGAACTGTGGCTGAAACTTTCAGGTCGACCTCCAAGACGACCTCCAAGCTTTGTCAGAGATACCCTCCGGTAGTCAAACGTTGCAATGGACAGTCACCCATTTATAGATAATGTTCTCATTAAGATCTCAATTTACAATGGATTTCCCATTGCTATGTTTGATTACCAAAGGGTATCCTTTCATGATAAGGATGATTTTCCATTCAGAAAATGGACGGCCGTCCATGGCCGTCGATGACTAGAGGGTGGTTAGTGACAATCGAAAAAAAACCTGTGGTGGTGGTGGTGGTGAAAGTTGCCGATCTTGCAGCTCGTGTTACGATCTGAATCTTCACATAGATATCTGGTTGGTGGTATACCTACCCCTCTGAAAAATATGAGTTCGTCAGTTGGGATGATTTTTCCCAATATATTACGGAAAAATAATCCAAATGTTCCAAACAACCAACCAGATATGTTTATGTAGTATATAGATGCATATAGATCGCATAGTGTATGTATATCATTGTATGTTACTTCTATCAAAGGTGGATCATTGTATGAAACTGCTCTATAGAAACTCTACTAGACACGCCCTTAATGGTCTTTTTGAAAATGTAGGGGGGCAACCCCCATTTTAGCCGTTACGAAAAATCACCATTTTCCCTATGAAATTGGCACAGCATCGCCTGTGGAGAAGCCTCCACAGCCCAGGGCACGCTGATGTTCAACTTGCCCTTGGCCTCCTCCTGGTGCCATCGCGATGTGGAATTATATAGATTCTACCTATGCCAATAATTTAAAACATTATAATAGTAGCAGATAATAATTCCCGTGAAAGGATCACTGGGATGTAGCCTCTCGTTGTTTGATATTATGTGTTACATCGCTACGGTAAAAATGGCCCATAGAAATGGACGTTTATGATGATATACCTATTAAAAATGATGATTTTCGAGTTCCCTATGTTAAATAAGCAGAGGATATAATCTACATACAGTATGTCAATAATAACAAGAGTAGACATGAAAACAATACTGCTCATGATAGTAATAGTAGATAGCAATAAGCATAATATATATATTCACATATCATAGCTCTGTATATTATACATACACGGATAATGATAGTGATAACGACAATTAGGATCATAAATTTCAGTGATAAAAAAAGAAAAACATAACAAGAATAGGAATGAAATCATCATTGATCATAATGATACCATAAGATGAATAGTTGTAAGGGTCATACTGGTGGTGATGATGATGATGGCGATGATGCTGATGATGATTAATATGTGTTAAACAGTTAAACGTGATACCGGATAGCAGTAACACTGACCATAAGCACAGGAATAGACACTGCAATCACTATTGAGATTTCAAAATGAATTACAATATTCTGGGAAAACTATAATGATTCACTAAGCTTATCAAAGTCCAAAAATTGGAGAATTCCCCCAATCCTAACCATCAATATTTAAGCCCCACATCCATCTATGTGAGATAACTCATCTGAGGCTATCCAAATGTATGGCTTCCCAGGTTATTCTCCTGATGGAGGTTGAAACGCTATGTTCTTCCTAGCTATTGATACAACAATAAATGATTTCAGGCTGGCCTAGTGTATGTATGTATATGCATAAGAGTATTATTAATCTCATGATTGCTACTATCATTGATTATTTATTAATATTGTTCATACACTATTATTATTGATACTATTATATACACATGTAATCAAATAAGATTGGAGGATTGATCGAACTAAAGACTGACATCGTTGATATTCTTGGCTCCACCAGTTGTGAACTCACGGTGAAACTCACCATCACAGAGAAATCGCCACTCATAAAGCTTCCTAAGTTCAGTGTCTCATCTTCCAGTAAATATATATACAAAAAGCATTCAAAAAGCTATGGAAATCCATGGTTGCTTCGATCTTTGAGTGTAACCCTTCTTGATTTCTGGGACGAAAAAAACATCCCAGCTTTGTGGTTTAAGAATTCGGCTGCAAAGTATGCACTCTGGATGATTTCATGGCCCCTTGCTATGGTTCTTCTCAATATTGGGGATGGTGACTATGGCATTTTGGATCCCACACTTTCCCTAGTGCCCCATACGCCTAGTGAAATGTTTGTTAAATAACCCCAAAGAATCTTCCCACAGAATTGGGATTCTCCTCCATTTTGATATCTTTATCCCCACATACCCCCATACAGTAGTATATTTACCCTCTGGTCATTAAACATGGATAATCTCTCATTTACAATTTATTTTCCCATTATATAGAACCTCCATTTATCTCCATTTATAGGAGATTTCCCAGCTGGCCATACTTGACACTGGAGGGTAAACAGTAAACAAAAACAACAAATTCTCTGCATCCAACCCCACTGCGCCCCACTTCTGCAGGACCCCATCCTTTTCTTCCGTGACGCGCGAGGCTGCTTGCTGCATGTCTTTCATCTTCTGGATGTCCTCAGGCGCTTTCTGGGAATGGAATGACTAACCAATCCCCATCCTGACGGTAGTTCCAGTTGGCTGGAGATAATATCTGCTGTTCATTAGTAATAACCCATCCTTTGGGCCACCCAATCCACATGTTTCGGACCGCTGCAGGTTTTTGAGTCTACTGTTTGAGATTATCCCTCTTGACAATCAGCTTTGGCTCATCCATGACTCATCCAATCTATTTGCGAAAGGCTTCACAGCTTCAGTTCACGGTTGCATGTCGGTGGCTGGACGAGGGGAACGTGGGTCCCTGAGAATGTCTAGAGGCGTCAGAGCTTTGGATTCAAATCCATGGGTCTATTGCTGGCTTTGGGCCTCAAAACATATGTTGGCGTCTTCCCTGAACAGTTGTTGGGTTTCGATTTGGACCAAGCCAGCAATGGATTTTGAGGAGCCCCCTTACCACCTGAAAATATCGGTGCCAGATCCACCACTGTTTCCTGCCTGTTGAGAAGCGGAGTAGGCGTCATAGAGTGGTGGGATGTAGCCCTTGCGGCAGAAGGATTCCAGTTCCTGCAAGCCAGATCTCTCTGGGAAAATGACGGTTCAAGAGGATTAAATAATCCTGAGGTCAATACTGCCAAGAGTGGGATATGTATTTTGTACTATTTTGTTGGTTGCTACCCCTCAAAAGTTCAAATACGATGTTTTATGGTCAACAAGAATACTTCTGGTTTCTGACTCAGACTGATCCGACTCAGTGCAGAGATTGAATGTCCTGAATCTCATGGCGGATCTTCGAAACCTGCAGCAGTCACCCCTGAAAGATCTGTGGTGATGTTCCATTTCCAATGGGAATCGGTGGCGGTAATCCACTTATAATATATACATAATATATATATATATATACATATAATATAAACCTTGTATGTACATACAATATATTATAATTATAATATTATATGTATATATATGAGTGTGTAGAGTGTGTATACATGCATATACGTAATCCCGACTTTGGGCATGCCCTTATAACTCCACTGTCAAACAGGGTTGCTCCCAACGGCCCAGGCAAAATCGTTATGGCCCAGTGGAGGAGTTATTCACAGCTCTGCGGATTTCTTAGATTTCTTCAAGCATGTTGAATGAAACTTTCCGCAACCCGGCCCATGTTCAACCCAAACGTAGGATTTGAATCGGAGAATTGTGGATCAAATCATCTTAAAATTCCATCTGATTTTTCCAGTTCCATGAGAGTTCCATGGCGCACGTTCCAAACACCTGTGCGTGTTGTCAAACAAATTCTAACCCAAACACACCCACATCAAAAATGATGAGAAAGGACTATTGACGGGTATATATATATATTTATATATATATTGATTGATTGATTGATTGATGAACATTGATGAATAGTGATGACTATTGATGAATATTGATAAATATTGATAAATATTGCTAGATATTGATGAATATTGATAAATATTGATTATCTGATAAACAGTGATGAATATGAATGAATGATGAATATTGATGAATAGTGATGAATAGTGATGAATAGTGATGAATAGTGATGAATAGTGATGAATAGTGATGAATAGTGATGAATAGTGATGAATGGTGATGAATGGTGATGAATATAAATTACAGCCAGTATCTTTGCAATCATACAGAAAAACAGCTACGGATACCATCTCAGCTTTGCTGAAATGTGGATGGTGTCAGAAACAAAGGATTGAAATGGCCCTTACCTTTTGGTGGTTGAGCCATCCTCCCCAAAACCGTTACATCATCAAACTGTTTCTTAATACGGAATCCAAAGGGAACATAGTGGAATATGATGGGATATGCCCATAAAACTAATCATCACATTTTTTCAGGATGGAAAATCACAAATACTGGAAACCGGCTACCTGTCCTTGTTGCCTGTCTATCTCTGGTCTCCAAATGTCATGCTAGTTTGCACTTGATGTGAAAACATGCCAACAATAGACCAAATCGCTTGTCCATTCCCGATGTTTCACCTCATGAAGTTGTGAAGGTGTCATGCTAACCATGATTCATATCTTGACCCCTAACTGATCATGGTATCATGGCTTGTCCCAGAATTGGATGCAGATTTCAGATATTCCCACAGAAACCGACAGAAAGCCAGATAAACAAATCCCTACTTAGATGGATATGGAACCCAATACTCATTATCTTACAACGAAAAAACAATCCAAGTATAGATCAATCATCCTGGTTGACGATTCTATGATTGATTCTATGAATTCTTATACCCATACCCACTAGGCAAAAAGCCAATAAATTGTACAACATATGATGCCCAGGGGGTGATTCATCCGGGGTCCACCGTGGACACCTCCTCTGTGGACCGCTGGATCGAACGATAGACCTGCGATCCGAACAGCGATCCAGTCACAGGATGGGTTTCTGAAAACACCAGCAGTGTTACCCCGGGGTCATCCCTTTATAATTTATACATATTTATACTGGTTATATAATTGAGAAGGGAATTACCTCTTAATGGATTCTGATATTCCCCATGATCTTGGTCACTAGAATCCCCTGTCATCCACTGATGAAACCACCATGTTTGTAGTGAAATCCCTGTGTTCAGCGATGAAATCTACATTGTTGGTGAATTGACCATGATTGTCACCATACCATCCATCCCGGCATCCCAAATATATATATATATATATAATCACAATGAATTATATATATATATGTGTATATGTGTATGTATATACAGTATATATATACTGTGTATATATATATAATCACAATGAATTATATATATATGTGTATATGTGTATGTATATACAGTGTATATATATATACTGTGTATATATATATAATCACAATGAATTATATATATATATATATATGTGTATATGTGTATGTATATACAGTGTATATATATATACTGTGTATATATATATATATATAATCACAATGAATTATATATATATATATGTGTATATGTGTATGTATATACAGTATATATATACTGTGTATATATATATATAATCACAATGAATTATATATATGTATGTGTATATGTGTATGTATATACAGTATATATATACTGTGTATATATATAATCACAATGAATTATATATATATATGTGTATATGTGTATGTATATACAGTATATATATATACTGTGTATATATATATAATCACAATGAATTATATATATATGTGTATATGTGTATGTATATACAGTGTATATATATATATACTGTGTATATATATAATCACAATGAATTATATATATATGTGTATATGTGTATGTATATACAGTATATATATATATACTGTGTATATATATAATCACAATGAATTATATATATGTATGTGTATATGTGTATGTATATACAGTATATATATATATATATATATAATCACAATGAATTATATATATGTGTATATGTGTATGTATATACAGTATATATATATACTGTGTATATATATAATCACAATGAATTATATATATATGTGTGTATATGTGTATGTATATACAGTATATATATATATACTGTGTATATATATAATCACAATGAATTATATATATGTATGTGTATATGTGTATGTATATACAGTATATATATATATACTGTGTATATATATATAATCACAATGAATTATATATATATATGTGTATATGTGTATGTATATACAGTATATATATATATATACTGTGTATATATATAATCACAATGAATTATATATATATGTGTATATGTGTATGTATATACAGTATATATATATATACTGTGTATATATATAATCACAATAAATTATATATATGTATGTGTATATGTGTATGTATATACAGTGTATATATATATATACTGTGTATATATATATATAATCACAATGAATTATATATATGTATGTGTATATGTGTATGTATATACAGTATATATATATACTGTGTATATATATATAATCACAATGAATTATATATATATGTATGTGTATATGTGTATGTATATACAGTATATATATACTGTGTATATATATATATCACAATGAATTATATATATGTATGTGTATATGTGTATGTATATACAGTATATATATATACTGTATATATATATAATCACAATGAATTATATATATATATATGTATGTGTATATGTGTATGTATATACAGTATATATATATATACTGTGTATATATATATATAATGTGTATTTATTATTATGATTATTATTATATAATTTATATCGGCAGGTTAGGTTTTGATTTCATAACATCTCACTCCAAGTAAACAAAAAAGACCAGCTCCATGGCGACCGGCTCAGACGGTTAGTTCATCCCTTGGTCATCCCAAACTGGCCATGTTTTTTTGTTGGGAAACCACTGATGAGAACGGCTCCACCTTCAGAAACCTCCATGCCATGCTTCAATTGTTGAGTAAAAACTCGTGGTTCCACAAAGTCCTGTACTAATGGAAGTTACATGTAGACCTGGACAGTATATGATACACAAAACATCCACCAGCAAGATTAGTCTGTGCAAGAAAGACCACTTAAGCCTGAAAAAACAGGCCTGATCTTGACATTTCGCACCAAAAACCCAGAAAATGAGATCCCAGAAACTGACATTCTGGATTCATACTGGGATCGCCTGTTCATAGACCAGCTTCAGATTGGTTTCCCTCTCATCGGGTCCGCTGCCATGTGCCTCCAGCAATCCGGTCGACATTTTGGGCCATGGGAATCCAACACTTTTGGGCCCTGGGCCCTTTTGGGCCCTGGGCCCTTTTGGGCCATCCTTTCTGGTTTAGTATCTAATTTGTCCCAATAAATCCCAATAATTAGTGGTAAACCCAATATTTATGTCATGATGTTCATCATCATGATGTCATTAGTATCTAATTTGTCTAGTAAACCCGAAAAAAAAAATGACATCATGACGATGGACAAAAATCAGCCAGATAACGCAACTTACTTGACAGCGTGTGTGCAGATGCGGCATGTGTATACGTATATCTGGAACAATTAGAACGGTTCACTACCCTGAAATAAGGCCATTGGGGGATGATTGCCGTTACTAACCATCATTCCAGTCACGTCGCAGGGTTCCGTTGCTATACGTTATCCAGGTATGTATAAATCAACGCCCAAAAAGATAGAACAGTCAAATCTTAAAGTACTTAAATGGTTACTTTAGAGTACTTGTCCATGGTAATTCTACAATATAGTACCATATTAAATGGTCCATTAAGTACTTTTAAGAGCAACCCTCCATATAGTAACCCCCGCAATACAGTAAGTTAATCCAGGGTGGTTGGCTGAAAAGGATCTCAATGCCTGGGCGCAAGTCCTCATGGGGCTATAGTGCCCAATCTTCTGCCATGTCAATTGGGGAAAATGATCATAAAACGATGAGAAATGACGATGAAATGGCCCCAAAAAAACACCCGGGGAGGCCAGCTGGCAAAAAAAAAACAAAGAATGGGTGTGCGTGAAAATGGGCTTCGCCAAAATCCCATTCAGTGGATTGGTAGGGAAAATTGAAACCAGAAACCATGGTTTTCCCCATGAAATATCAGGGTTTCCATGGTTTTCCTGTAAATTTACCCTTAAGACCGATCCAGTGATCCATGGTTCATCGAATATGATCTGGGCCCAGGCCTCCGAAGTGCAACATGCAAGATGTACTCCGTGAGATCAAACCAAATCTTTCTCGGTTACCATGGGTTACCCTCTGGTAAACTAACATAGCAATGGAAAATCACCATTTTTAATGGGAAAATCCACTATTTCTATGGCCATTTTCAATAGCTATGTTAGTTTACCAGAGGGTACCCTGTAAACATACTTAAAAAGATGTGGAAAACATTGGACAACCCAGCATTTGTAGATATGTAGGTCGTTTTCCTAGGGACACTCATGTGGGTAAAACAATAATAAACCATCACCCAAATCACCATTTTTATAGGTGGTATGTTTACCATTCCCAAATGGGTTGTTTATCATTGTTTTACCCACATGAGTTATGGCTTTTCCACATCTTTTGGATCAATCTTCTCAGCAGCGCCTCACGTGTGGACATGATGTGGCCCAACAACGAGTCCAACTCTTGAAAAGCTCCAGAGGAACAGCGTGCATCCTGCCGTGGTTTTCGTTGGGAATGGAGGAATGGGGTCATTGTTTACAATGTGGGTAAAACAATGTCGTAAACCACCCATTTGGAATGGTGTATACGTTTATACCACCTATAAAAATGGTGATTTACCACCTATAAAAATGGTGATTTCGGGGATGGTTTATGATTGTTTTACCCACATGACATGTTAATACTTATTTTGGATCATTCTCCCATTCCCTACTAAGCACCAGTAAGGAAAACAGTCACAGACCTCAAAAAACCCGGATTCTTTAGGAAGATTTTCGCTATTTGAATACTATTGAATGCCTTCCAGACAAAGGGTGGATATTAATTCGTCATTTCACCCTGGTACTCGTTTGTCTTTACAGAATGGGCATTTTGATGGGATGGTCATTTATAGTACCCAATCCAGGTCCAGGTGCGTGGAAAAATGTTGACTAATGATCATCTTTCGGAGCTTCAATTGCGTAACATTCCCACCTTTTGTGTTTTTAATTTCCACGGTTCTATAATTTTCCATATATATATATATAGTATATTATATATTATATATATATATCATATCAACCCGAAAAAAGATCCTGAAGTAATTCATCACTATTCTAGCAGCATTTGCAGTTTTCTATGGGAAGATGCACATCTTTCCATCAATTTCCATGGCTGCCCTACCTGTTCAAGCGCTTCCACCGTTCGGCGCTTCACCTGCCGGATGCCCCGGAAGGATGCCCATGAACTGTGTGTACACATGTGTATGTATGTATATATATATATAACTATATATATATAGCATATATATAGCATATATATAGCATATATATATATATAGCATATATATATATATTGTCTATGTGTTTTTTTCCATCCATGTCTACCAAATATCCATAACATATGTATATATAGCCACACAATAATGGTAGACACAACCTCCCCACCTGTAGCAGCTGGGCAATCAGCTTGTTCACCTGACAATCCTGCGCCGCTTTTAGGTATCAGAGATCCTGGACAAATGGTGAATTTAATCGGACAGCATCCTATACTTGTCACAAGAGGATGAACAAAACCATTGGTTATTTGCGGCGATTTTGACTTTGGCTTCAAATTTTATAGGGTTTTAGGGTTTAGGGTGTAGGGTTTCAGGATTTTAGGGTTTATTGTTTCGGAAAGTTAAAAAAAAAAACGCTAGCCTTGCGCAGGGATTTGAGCATGTCAAAGGATATGCGGGATCAGCACAGAGAAACGTCAAGGTTGCAGCGAACATGCTTTCTCCAACTATAAACATGTTTCTCTCTAACTAAAACCATTGAGAATAATTAACAATAATTGAAAAGAAGTGCAAAGCATTGAACAGAATTGAAAAGGATTGAAAGGATGTGTGTTGAAAACAGTGATAAGATGTGTAAACAAACATTCAAAATCTGAAAGATTTTTTCCAAAGAATTGTAGGAACATAGAAGAATAGAAAAAGGATTGTAAGAACAGAATTGAAGAATTGCAGAAAACGGTTGAGAATTGACGGAAAAGAATAGACATGGTTTTCTATTTTAGCACTGCACAAGCAGTTTCTGAAATCTCGAAAATTCTCCCTCCTCCTCCTCCGTGCTGTCGGACAGCAAGTGTTTCACCTTGGCAGCCGAAGGACTTCACCCTGAACAAAATCTGGGGATACACTTACATAGATTTACCCATCAAAACTGGAATTTGACCAATCAAATGTCAAAATGCGAATTCAATGAAAATTGATGTTCAATCAATCAGAATTCGAGTTACTGGTCAAACTTGTATAGTCAAACCAATCCGCATGGGGATATTTACCACACGCAAGTGGGAAATTATATAAATTATATATACAATATTATATATATATATTATATATATATAATATTGCTTGGGAAACCAATTTGAAGACCATGACGTTCGGGACTAATTTCGAGAACTTGCCAGAAAATCACTGTCTTTTGATGTTGACCCTGACTCAAACTCATCACAAATGCGAACAGAAAAAAAATCCTCAGATATCAGTCGATCTGTGGCCCCCCCATCTTAGATATTGGGACATGACATACCTGTTTGCGGTTAATTAATCTTCCCATTTTTCCTACTGCAATCCCAATGATGTCTCTCTTGTTGGTGGCCTGCATCATGTTGAATTCATTTAAATTCCAATTTGGATCAGTTTGGTGTGTTCAGATTTTGTTTGGGTTAATTCATGTTAATTCCAATTTCTGCCACACCCAAATGAACACACACCGAAACGAATTGCCTAAATACACATCCAAAGTATCTGCAATTGACATCCATTGACTCCAAATGAACTGCAATTCCTTTGTGATCCAAATTCCGATTTTCTGTGGGGCTAATCCTGGCCACCCAACACCCGCGCTTGCTTCACCAGTGCCACCTGTCATGTGGGATGAAAGTCTGGTGCTATCAGTCATTAGGGATCCTCAAATATGGCTGAAAAATACCATGTGTGGGTCTGTCCGCAAAAATTGCATTTAATAAATATGATTAATCCATATTAATCCGATATAATCCGATTACATGTTCCATTGAAATGGTATTTATGGGATCCCCCAATGTCATGATTATTCAGTGAAGCCAGCAACCAGCTTTTCTGATCACCATCTGACTTTGTTTTAAGCCGTCCAAATGGCTTCAGAATTTCAGGTCCTGTTGCGTCGCGTCACATTTTGGCATGTTTTCAAATCCTGTCAGTTTCTATGATTGACGGGAGGATTCAACATGTCAATGTCATGTTTCATATCCTGTCAGTTTGCTTAGTTTGAAATCAATCAATCTAGTTATGTATTGAAAACCTGCTTCAGTGGTGACGAACATCAAACTCACCCGGAGCCTTCTCCGCCGGTGACGGTGTCCTGTTCTGTGCTGAGCAGTATGTCACTGCCTTGTTCTAGAGGACTTGTTCAAATAGAAAACCATGGGAGCCAATGAAATCGTTTGGGGTCTAGACTGCAAATGTTACCTGGTCTCTTCATCCAATTCTGAAGGTGTAGGGAAAAACGCACCGATCGAATAATTGAAAATATTGTAGATGTTGTATGATGTTGTATGATAGTCTGTAAGGAAATTTGATTTGGATTAAAACAAGGTTGATACTTTTGCCGATGGGATGACCCTGGGGAACATCACAGTTTCGGGTGCAGATGTCGCATCAACTATCCTCGACTTAGGTCAAAGTATCCTCCAGCAGACCTGACAATAGAAATTCCAAGAAAAAACAAGAACTTGTAGACTAATTAATGATCTATACCATACCCAAATCACATTCTTGGTCATACAGGTTGTAGAGTTATACAGTATCAGTATATTCACCATTTGTACCTCCATAACATGGTTTCAAGCCCACCGGTTTTGGGTGTAAATCCTCCTTTGTTCATGGTGAAATGCCCAAGTGTTGGGAAACCCCCCATTGTCATATCCCATCATATCCCATCATATTGCTGCCTCAATCAACGAATTGTACCCAATATTAATTGATATTCTTAATTATCCATGAAAAAGAGCTGATATTCTATCGATATTCCATGCGACTGATAGAATATTCCAATGTTTAACGGAACTAGTTTTGCTGGTTTAATCCCCCAATGATATTCAATATATTGGATCAAATACGATTACGTACATAAACTTGCGGCAATCACACACCCCAAAAAAACTACTGAATAAGATAGATTATACCATATTATACCATATTATATCATACTATGTCAGATTATATTCCATAGATTGTCCTGGGATACCCTCTGGTAATTTAACATAGCTATTGAAAAAGGCCATAGAAATAGTTGATTTTTCCATTAAAAATGGTGGATCTTTCCATAGCTATGTTAGTTTACCAGAGGGTGGATTGTCCACGACCACTGTATATGTTCTATCCAAGTCCTCAGAGGTGGCTCCCACCATTGGCGCAGACCTTTTTGAAAAATGGTTGTCGCGAGGCCCAGTGGGGTGGTCAGTTGCGCTATGGACCATAAAAAGAGCTATGGAAAATCACCATCTTTTATAGGTAATGAATCATAAATCCTCTATGACTGGGCCATTTTCCATAGCTATGTTAAATAAACATAAATAAACCAGAGGGTAACTACGAAGAAATTAGACTCAGTGGCAAATCCAAAATGAAAGAAGGTTCTTTGTAATCTTAGCCAGTGACCAAGTGAAAGATCTAAAATTAGTGGTTACCCTTAGTGATGAATTAGTGATTGCCATGTCTTTAGATTAACTAATGATTGATTGAGTGACAGATACTCAGATTTGGGAATTTGGACTCAGAGATCGACCAAGATCTCATAGTCTGGAGACTTACGAAATTTCATGATCCAACCAAGATAAGCCATAGGAACAGCTAGGTAACCATGAAAATATACAGAGGGGAAGTGATGGGAATGTGTCAAAAGCCTGGTACCCTGCAATTCAAATTCAAAAAAAGAAACATTTGCGGATGAGGATATGTTTTTTGGGGTTGTGATCAATATTTAAATACATACATATTAGAGGCCTACATAACCCACGGCATAACTGAATATCCCATGGCAACCCCAAAAAAGACTGGATTTGTTTCACACAATGCTAGTAGGATTTTACTTTAAATGGCTATGGATCAATACAAATTTCGCCTACCTGTTCCCGGGGATGAGCATCCATTTACCAGCTATTTTCATGTTCACCAGGGGTACCAGGGTTTTGATTCACAGCCATGTTTTTGCGGTGTGATCCAAATAGACCCCAGATATTTGTAGCAAATTCAGAAATTCAGCGTTTCAAGAAACATGTAAACCAACGGCGTATTCATGTATATTGTCTATGATTATCGCGAACGTATTTCGGATCAACCAATGGGTTCCAAAAATGGTGGATGTACCCATGTGTTTTTTTTTATTATGGATCAACCAATCAGTGATTTTTGGGAAACGAACTTATGAACCTCCTTGGGACATCCCATGATCCCTGAAGGCTGGTTGAGGACCAGGCTTCGAGGGAGACCTCCTGAGATATGGAACTGGAAAAAAAAACATCACGTAAAGAGGAAAATATGGGATTACATGGGATTATCTTTGAGAATTCCTATTGCATCTTACTGTATAGCTGTAATATATGTATAGATTGATAGCTTGATTGAGTGATTGATAGGTTGATCGATCGATAGGTTGATGGATTGACAATAGATTGATATACAAGATCATACAGGAATGTACAAACCCAATAATGTTGGGGATATGCAGAGGGGCGGCATGCTTGGAAGCCCCCTAGCAACAGACTCATGGAAATAAGCATATTGTTATCCCAGACTCATTTGAGGGAAGATCACCTTTCATAGATATAATCATGTAGATATGTTCTGTGATGGTATCAACACTCCAAGGGTTGAAAGAGACAGCAAGCCAAGCCAATTGATCAATTGATCCCACATATATATATATACACAGTGTATATATATATGTATACACAGTGTATATATAATATATATATATTATATATATATGTACATATATATATATGCGGGAATCAAAATTACCACTTCCCTATTCAATAAACCAAGGTTATTGAGACCCGTCTCTATTACTGAGTGGGAGGGATTGGTTCCCTGCAGATCGGAAATTGGCCCATCCCTTTTCATGTTGCAACATCGGGCGGACTTGCGTAAACCGACGGCAGACACCTGGAACGTGTCATTTAATTCAATCCTGCCTTTGGGGGGATATCTCAAGGTTAATTGATAATTGCCTTTGGGGGGAGTTCATCCATAACCGAGGTGTCCTCATGGCGGGCCGATGGAAGATCCGTCCCAGGGATCGTAACTGGTGAACCCTTGGTTACGGTAATAAGTCCCTGATTCCTGGTCCCATCACTGCCTTACCCACAAACACTAACCAGTTACATCCAGGTACGAAATTGCTATTATATAAAACATACATGAATTATTCATGCCATTATAACCCCACTATTGTTAGTAAAACAATTGTAAATTTTACAATAAATGGAGTGTATAGTCATCAAAATGTGGTGGTTTATTATTGCTTTACTAACATTCTTGCTGGTTATTCTAATATTGTCCGACTATTGTTAGTTACTGTCCCACTATTGCTGGTCATAAATGTTTATAATCCCACCATTGTTGGTTGCAATCCCACTATTGTTGGCTATCATCCCAATATTGTTGGTTATGATCCCACTATTGTTGGTTATTATCCCACTATTTTTAGGTTATTATCCCAGTATTGTTGGTTATAATCCCTTGATCATCGAAGAAAAAATATACATTCTTGTTGATGATATTATCCCATTATTATCCCATACTATTATCCATTCTAATCCCTAAATATCCCTAAATATCCCTTTTTAAAAAAGGTTGGTGTTCCTCTAAGCTCACCGGATGGCTACGCGGTATCCGCTGCTCCTGGTGTTGCTGTCCGAGCTGGCACCCGAGGCACTGGTGGGGTCAGCACCTGCGGTGAAAATCTGGTGGCATCTTATGGCTAGAATTTTGATGGTGAAATCATATGGAAGACTTCCGAACTAAGCCTAGAATTGTGGAATGATGATGGGATCTATGGAGCAATTACTGTATCATATATATATACGTATGTGTATATATATATATATACGTGTATATATATACGTATATATATATACACGTGTATAAATATATATATAGCAAAACCCAGTTGACAAGGTATAACATGCTTCTGAACATGGCAAAGGTCGTAGATGCCTGTTGATGGGGAAGGGGGTCAATCAGCCGTTTCAAACTCAAATCAAGCCTGTGCAGTAGCTGCAATGACTTGCTACCAAAATATCAGTTGAACATAGCCATGGGAAATATCCATGTTTAAATCCATCATCCACACATGGGCCATAGCCCATAGCTGCTAAATGACCCGACCCAGCCACCTGAAGTGGCTGTGACACCATCCACATCTTCCAGTGGCTCGGTGCTCAGGGTGCAGCTGCCGCCTGGCAGAAATCCGTGGTTCATGTCATTTTTACCTTCTCAAGTTCATATGCTCTCTCATCTATTCGAATTTTGTCTAATCGAAACCAGCTAAGTTATGTACTTTATATAATATATATATATGTGATATCCTCAGTGATGGACTTACTAGAGGAATTGTGAACCAATTACCATTTCAGGGATGCACATCCTTTTACTTTTACCCCACTGAATGGCATGTAGAGCTGGCATGAACTGGCACTTTGTTCCAGCCATCATACCCCCCATCCGTAGGACCCCTTTCAGCAACATCTCCTTTGGTAATCTCACGCAGCTATTGGAAGTGCTTCATTGTGATCTTCCATAGCAAGCACTGAACTTACCAGAGGTTTTGTTTGATCATGTTAACATATGTTAACCGTCAATATCTATTCATATCCCCATTTTTATCACCTAATTTTCCCCAGTGAATCTCAATAAACATAGCATTAAACAGGACGCTATCAGCTGGGCGCCACGCCTGTACTGCCCAAGTGAGCGTCCAAATGCAGCGGCGGCACCACAGGGCCGCGGCTTTGGCGCGGCGGCGGTGGTGAACCTGGCGATAGACGTGGCAACAGAGCAGCTTGGTGTGGTCCTTGAAATTGATATCTGAATGTATAATGTCATGTATGTATATATATATACATATATATATGTATATATATATATGTGTATATATATACATATGTATACATATATATATATGTATTATGTATATATATATACATATATACATCCTGTATGTAGAATTATTTATATATATATAATTATGTATATATATATAATTATGTATATATATATATGTCTATACACATATTATCTTTATTCATTTAGCATCATTTAGCATCATTGAGCTATAGACATTTTAGATATACACTTATATGGTTGGACATTGGCTGAGTCATAAATATGACCCAAAAAATGGAAAACACAAAAACGACTTTCTTCAAGTGGTCCAAGGCCCAGAGAGCCGGAAGACGCGCGGGATGTCTTGTTATCTGGAGACCCTCATGAACATCTGACCTGAGGGATATATGGAGGCTTCCTGAAATAGGGCTACCCCCAAATCGTCCATTTTAACGGTATTTTCCATTATATATATATATATAAACCATCCATTGCGGGGTACCACCATTTATGGAAACCCCCACATACCCTAGTCGATGAAGTTGAGAGGTCATACTGGACCACACTGCGGGACGATCCCAAGCCCAGAACCTCATTAAACGTACCGTAGGAGTGTGTAAATACCGACTGGTGTTGCTGAATATCGCATGTTTGTTGTTTAAATCACCTACATTTTGAGCTTATCTGAAAATAGGGTACCCCAAATCAAGCGCTTCATCATCATCATCATCATCATCATCATCATCATCATTTTCCCTTTACAAAATGCCATTTTGGAGTATAGCCCATGTTCAAAACATTCTTTTGCCGAACTCCTCCCAATACGATCCGGGTACTGGAAATCAAAGTTTCATGACGAGCTCAACTTCTCCCATTCTTGACCAATTCCATGGCTAATCTTAGAGACCCCTCGAAAAGTATAAGTTCTAGTTGGGTGGCATGTATTATGATTACTATTACTTACTTCTAGAACTATCAAAATCGTGCAAAAAAGTTGGTCATTCGGTTTATTCCTACTTGTTGCTACTATTGTTGTCATTATTCTTACTACTGTTAGTGACTTGTTCTTGATATCATCAAACCCAAACATCAAACCATGAAGCTGAGCGCCTGTCCCGACAACACGAAGCTGTCCCTGTCCAGATTCCCTTTGTCCCATGCAACCAGCATCAAACCAAGCAGCCTTCAGTGTGTTTGTTCTTGTTCAACAACTTCCTCTCATTACCTCAGGCATCAGTGCCCCTGAGCCAATCGATACGTACGACGAACAGCTGAAATCTGGAAAAAGACGTGAAATGATCATGAAATCAGCGAAGTCATCCAATTTTGCGGGGTCATGTTTTTTTGCAAACAAAAAAACATGGAACCAAAGCCCAAGAAATGATGACGGTTTCCATGATTGATTACAATGAGTCATCTTTCAGCCATAGACCCTTGTCAGTGTTCGTCATTTCACAACAGGTCTGCATCCAGCCATAGTCATCCGCTGCCTGGAGATGGTTCCAAAAAGGTTCCCATCATTCCAGTGACGACCGTGATGAAATTTATGAAGATTATTCTATATTATTCTCATTCTATCATAGATTATCATAGCTATCCCCAATCCTCAAATGTTCAATCCTTGGTTGCCTCAACAAAAGGATCCGGAAGAAGTCAATTTCCCGTATATCTCCCCATGATATCCTCATTTTCCAACCATTTCGGCCGGCACATCACCTCTTGGGTCTTAGGTCCTCGGGCTCATCCATTGGAAGATCTTTGTCAACAACGGAGCCGCGGTCACCAGCTGACTCAAGTGGGCCCTGGGCCAGGCTGGATGCTGGTGCTTGATTCATCGAAAACCATGGTTTTTGGGGTGAGATCTGCGGAAAAACATCGAAAACTGCCATTTGGAGGGTACCCCATTTCCAGGCAGACCCACAGTTTCACCAGGTAGTCATTTTTTTGGAGAAATCATTCCGAATCAGTCGAGTCACTCAATTTTTCGCCATCAGGATGGAAAATACAAAAACATCTGAAAAGACCAACCAGGATATCTCCAAGAGCCAGCTCCAGTTCGCTATGGAAACCATGGCCCATTTCGTTTGATGATTTACTGATTTTTTTTCATGGTGACTTTCCGTAGCAAACTAAAAAAACCTGACCGGAGGGTAAAATAGAAAATCCTATGATAGTGTATTCATGATGGATGTACCAATTCTATATGACTTGGTCATCCTCATTATATACCCACGAATTATTTCTCATGAATCCTCTATTGACCACCAGGAATTCGCCGCCAAAGATTACTGCACTCAGTGGAACTGTTCCCCCCAAAAAAGATGGAAAAGTAGTTCATAACTATTTTAGTAAGGTTCCATATACTTTTCTATCTTTTTGGGGATTACTATATGTATATATATAATATATGCTATGTATTGCTATGTTATGTTCTTGGCTAGAAGAAAAAGGACATCTTCCACAACGGCGTCAGGTTTTTCCTAGGACTCCCAGCTGTTCCAGGCGCAGGCAGTGGATGAAACACAGGGAACTGGCGCCTCGCAACGGGAGGATCCGGATACAACCAATTTACCAGGACCAAAGGTGTGATTAGGCAACAAACAAACATTGGGAAAAAAAATGAAATCTGTAACCATTGGGGAAAATGGGAATTGAACATGTGGTTTTTGATTTATGATAGAAATTTGGCTGAACATAAGGTGAACATTTGGATGCACAATGTGTATATCTAGGGCCTCTTCCTGCAAGGCCCATGAAAAGTGGATAAATCTGGGCAATGATAAGAGTTCCTAAGCTGGAAACAGGGGATGTTTGGGATAATTCCTATATATGAAGCATACTTGGTTTTGGTTTACTCGGTGAAATAAGCAAAATGCTAGATCAAAATCATTCAACATATCTGAGATCGTCAAACGCGTGCAGGTCGATAATGCTAGATCAACTTTATTGATAGTCAATTCATGTCTGCGTCTGGCAAAACGGTTGGCATTCTCTGATAATTTGCTGCTAATCAAATGTGGATGGCTGCTGATGGCTGAACAAACGGGCTTCAAGCAATCTGATAACTTCCTTATTGAACTGGTACATGCTATTCACCTATTGAAAATGGGATAACATGTTTGGCTCCGTGAAGGATTATTTGCTAGGTCAACATCTCTGAGATGTTCAATACATCATGTATGGTTTTGTCTGAAAATAGGGTACCCCAAATTTTGATGGTCGAAACCATCATTTTTCCCAATGAATAATTCTATTTACTAACATGACGATTTCAAGGGTATAGCCCGTTTTCAAACACATACATATAAATATATATATATATTCAAATTGTATCAAATTGGGCATTGTGAACTCTGGGGTACTTTGGGATGATATGCCCCATAGTGCCCCTGCCCCCAACTCCGGCCCTTCGGCCCTGCACCTTCAAGGCAAGGTTTCAACAACAACGCCTGGGCTATGACTGGAGATGTCCGCCCGCACCGAAGGAGGCGTGGTGGTTTAGCAGCGAGTGATACGGACAGATCTGTCAGACTGGTACAGCTTCAGCTGGGGCCCATGTTCACCCGGGACAGGCCCCCAAAAAGTACACGGGACACGGCCAAGTTTGCAGTTTGACCCCAGTCGGCTTTTGGTTGGGCCAAGTAGGCCCGCTTCTTTCCTCTCTGTCCTATTCTCTGGGTGCGGGCGGTTCTCGTCGCGAAGCGACTCGAAAATTAAGAAATACAGGATAGTAGATAAATCACAAGAGGCGGTGTCTGTTGGGAACCACAGATTTGGGTTCCACTATATTATACTATTGGAATGATGTTCTTCCACCAATTTGGGATATCTTATTCTACAAGTAACCATAGTGACCCTCCGGGAAAGTACCATGGAGAAGCTGGAAACTACCACTGTTGCAGTGTCATGCCACTAGCTGGAAACCTGGCAGCGAAGAAAGGCTCCTCTTGGCCAAACACAGGTGCTGGGTTCCCCTGACCAAGGGTGCTCCTCTGTATCCGCAGCTGCTACCAGAGAGCTTGCTCTGAAGAACCTGCAGCTCTGGCAGAGCATCCAAAAAATGTTTCTGCATTTACATAAGACCCGATTTTAGCTGGAAAAAACAGACCCACTTGGATTTGTGATATGATATGATATAATGATAATATAATTATAGCCTGATTCCCAATCCATTCCATGTTTAGATGTTTTACCACACCAAAAATAGGCATTTCCCAAGCGAGCGGGGCACCTGCTCCAACGCGACAGAGGCCTTCCCTGCACCTGCGACAAATCGATGGTTTCTACCCAAAACCTCAAACAACATGTGTTAATTGCTAGGGTTAAAGACATTGGAAGAAAACAAAAGGAACGCATTGCTAAAGCTGAATTATCTCAAATGCTTTGGTCATTGATTCTCCTCTAAGTATTCAAGAACATGTGTTTGGGGGGGACTACAACTTTGGCTCACAGTCAATCTAGCATGGCTATTGACTGACTACTGTTGCTGTTGCAGTGCCCGTGAAACGGGTCTGGTCATTGTAACTCACCCAGATTTATATATCCCACTATACATATACAGAAACTAGTAACCCTCAAAAAGACAGAACAACTAAAAAAAAACATTTCAGCATTGGATGTGTCTAAGTTGGCTTGCTATTCACAAATATACATATCTATGTGTCAGAGTGTATGTATGTGTATAAATATATATATATATCCCAATACATATACACACCTAAATGTTGTAATTTTAAAATATTACATATCGATATATATATATATATATGTGTATACATCCCAACGGTCCCAACATACACCCAATGCTCCCAGGTTGTCGCCTGGATTCTTTCCAGCCTGGAACGGCACGTCTCGGAGTGCTTCAAAAGAGGGAAGCGACCAAGTCGTGGGTATCCCATATGCTGGATATATATATATATATATGTGGGTATGGGTCAATACCTATTAATACCATTTTTAGTGGGATGAACATCCATAAATCCCAGCTATTTTGATGTGAACTACAGGGGTACAAGGTGTTGACACACTGCCATGTATATCAATGTGTATACATACATATATGACATTTCATTATATCAATTACACTACATTGCATTCCATTGCATTGCGTTGCAGGCATTGCATTACATTGCATTGCATTAGATTTCATTATATACATACATACATATTCTATTAACCCGGAAAGAGATAGAAGATTAGAAGATAGCAAAATCCGACTGAAATAGCGATGGATCCTGATAAATGGTATTAATATGTATATATTATAAATGTATCTAAATTCGACAAGAATATGGAAAATATTGACAAATATACCATGCATTGCATCTCCGGTGACCAAAGGCATCACCGGCAGGCGCCGTAGATTGGAAGCGAAAACTTTGGGGCCGTCGGCAAGCTGAATATTCTGGCTAATATTTTAATACCCTCAATGTACATATAATAAATATGATATATACATATTTAATCATACTTATGTATGCATACGATTTGCTAAAGTGATGAAGAGCCACTCCAGATAGAATTGGCTTTCTAGCCCCACTTCAGTGGGATTCACGCGGCCTGCGGCCGCGGCCATACCATTTCGATGAGGCGAAGGTAGGACCTGCGAAAGCTGGGTAGCGGATTTAGCCAACAAAAATTGGATTTCAACAAGCAAAAACTTAGGCTGTGACCAGCACAATTGTAACCATTTCAGCAACAAACATGGGTATTTCATGGTATTTAAGCAACAAAATATTGGATACATACGGTATGAATCCAATCAACCACCAAAATATGCTCGTCTTTGAGGGGATCATCCAAAAAACGCCCACCTCTTGCGATTGCCTCTCGTGAAGGTGATCTGGCGAGCGATGGCTTTGAAATGGATAGAACTGGAGACTTTTCACTGCCAGGGTAGACTGGCCGGTACGTACCTGATCCTTCTGGTAAACTAACATGACAACAGAGAATCCATCAAATTGAGACTGCGTATTTATTGATTCAGCTATATAGCCCCCCAAAAAACCAGCCATGTTGCCAGATCAGTGAAGCATATTATAATTATTATCCATCCTCCCCTTCCGCCTTTCCGTGTGGTTTTTTTTTGTGATCTTGATCAGAAACCCGGAAAAAATACTCAGCAAACTTCGGAAGAATCCCCGGTTTCCTTGGGTCGGATCTCAGGTTTCCACCAAAAAAACTGTCCGGAACGTGGGGGGGCCAAGTTTCAATGTGTTCAAGAAAACCGTACAAGAAACAATGATGTTTACCATTCAGAAACAGGTTTCCCTGTAGATTCGCCCACCAATTCTTGGAAACTCAGGTTCACAGGTAAGGTGGGAGAATTCCAAATTTTGTGGAACCATGTCTTGCAGGAGTAATCAGGAGTAAGGCACCGAACTAGAAGCTGCGAATCCCTCGGCGCTGGTTTTTTCCAATCGATGGCAAGCACATTCAAAGGACTTGCATAGGGCCATCGTTTCAGCCCGCTTCCTCTCACTGCATGTTTTGCTGTCCAAACTACAATAGTCCGCCAACTGGTGTGGAAAATGTGCACTGGTTCCACATGCTTGCTAACTTCTCATAAGCCATCGTGCCGATTTTCGGCGGAGAATCCGGTGTTCATTCGTAAGATCCCCACTTTTCTTCTTGAGTCTTCTTAAATGATCCCTTTTGTTCTTGGTACAATCAGGTCAAATACATTTTGCCATGTCAAAAATATTATGTAAATTCCACTTAATTCCACACATGTTCTTCCAGGATCACATAAACAATGTATCTGTTTTGATATAGATTCCAGACCTGTTCCGCATGTTCTTCTAGAATCCATGTCAATGTATAATAATGTATATATATATATACATATGTTTTAGAGATTCCCCACATTTTCCACACATTTTCCGGATCTCGTCACCACCACTGTGGCTCTGCGGTCTCATTCCGTGTCGCTCACCTCCACCCGCGACGACGCTTTCGTCGAATCGCCCTCGAGGAAGTGCACCAAACGCTGCAGCGGCGGACAGCGAACGTAGAGACAGGTGCAAGCGAAGGAGAGAAACAGCAGCAGCCTGAGATCTCGGAAGTGAAAGAACATCATTGGTCGCTAATCATAATTATACCTGAACATTCCTTCGATCAATTATTTTTGGATATGTTTGGTAGTTTGGGAGTATGACCTAACTAAAATGACCCAGTTTTCAGAATCTCGTCTAATTCTACTAGTTTGCCTGGTTTTGCTTCCTAGTGGCCACACTATCACCACAATTGACATTTTGAATATCACTGAACACAGGGACATACCAGGCCATTCTCATATCCCGAGCACCAACGCATATAAATGCACATAACTGCGCCCAAAATTACCCGCAAAACGCCCGCAAATCTAAGAATCTGGTAAATTTGTATAATTTTGGGAGCGCGCAATTTAACAGAAACCAACTTGGATGTGCGGTTCCATATTTTGAAAGCAAAATATTGGTGAGAAGACTGGGAGGAGGGTCATGCCGATGGGACACACAGCCATGACATACCACGCCTAACGATACGACCATAAATCTGATGAAACGCCTGATTGTGCAAAACGACTGATATTTTTTAGGAGTTGGAAGGCCCAGGTATATATACACACACACACATAAGATTCACATGTGTGTGTATATATATATATAGTAATATAATTGGGAAGTTGTTTGAGTTGCCAATGGGATCATATATGTATACATAATCATATATACATATATATATATATGTAATTATATGTACATATTATATATTTATATACATATTCTATATACGTATATATACACATTCGGAAGTTAGACACAATCACATACATATGTAAGTATATATATAGTGAGGCTACTACTAACTAGGACTATAGACTATAGAGATATGAAAGAGGGCAAGTTCACAATTGTTCCCTCAGATGATCTGCCAGGAAGTTTTGACATATACTGGGGATATTAATAAAACTGAATAAATATCTGAAGATTAACATATGTATATATATGTATTATTATCAATACGCATTTATAGGGGATAATGGGGGAGTAACACCTGGTTTTTTTCTGGGTGATTTGCAAAGTTTTTTACGGGGGAAGTACGATCAATTCATTGGAGAATACCGTGTCTGCATATCGTGGGGTTACTAATACCGGTAAGCTGGTTGGTGGTTTCAACCCCTCTGAAAAATATGAAAGTCAATGGGAAGGATGACATCCCATATATTATGGAAAATAAAACATGCTTGAAACCACCAACCAGAATAAGTGTTGAAGTTACCAATGGGATTAATAGCCATTGACTATTGCTGGATGATATGATATGTGTATATAATATTATATAATTATATGCGAATATGTAGACAATACTACGTATAATAGTGGGGTTATTTAGAAACGATTTAGGTTACCAATGATTTTTTGAGCTAAGAATGGACAGCTGGGGAGATCAATGACTAAGACACGGGGGGTTATTATGGCCGCGGGTTCTTAATGATCAAAACGGGTTCAACATGTGTGTTCAGCTGTGATGTTATAACTTCAACGTTTCAGCAGGTTATGAATGATTCTTAAAATGGTCAATGGGATGATCTGGGGATTGTTGTTTTGGGATGTTTTGGGGTCGAAAGCCTCCTGCATGGTGTACCTTGCCATGCCGTTGCATAGGTGGCCAATTCTCAATGACTAAATTCTGGTTGTAAACCCTGATTCGCTCTTGTTACTATGCCCTTTGCTTGGGTGTAACATTTTTGTCCGTCCCCACATCCCTTCCGAGATACCCCAGACCCATGAAGGCAAACGCCCGCCAGCTCAACTGCGACTTCCTGGGAAGGCAGAGGGTCGCGCGGGTTCTTGTTCAATGTTTCTTGTGGCTTTAGTCGCCAGGGACTTCTGATAAAGAAAGGGTCAGTTGTAAATCCCTGTGTTTGTTAAGTGTGCGAATCGATCCTGTGCCCCTAATAACCGGTGGATTTCATCCCTGTATGAAACCCAAAGTGATTGAATAGATCCTATACATTCCGCCAGGCTTTCTGATGTTATTCATGATTGGGGATACAGTAAGGGATTTAGCATTTAGCATTCATTTAGCCAATATATCCCAAATATATCCCATATATATATATATCCCAATATATCCCAATAAATGGACAGTCGGGTCGTATCCCAACAATCCCTTCCCCCATTCCTGCCCAATAACGCGCCAAACAAAACCCTGGTTGTGTACTGGATCTATTCATTTGAGGGGCTGCTTCTTGGGGGTATTCATCATATTGTGCTGGCTCTCTATATATATATATATGTGTATGTATGTATGTATGTATGTACATAGGATCTATCTATCTATCTATCTATCTATCTATATATATATATATTCCTATATATATATACACATAGACATATGTACATCTATATATGTTTATCCATCATACATATAGCCATATTTCGGGATTGTTTAACATTGGTAAACCGTAAACCCCATTTATGGATGACATCTCCGGGGATTGTCAAACCACACCAGGTATCTGGAGTTCACACTGCTCAGCATGGAAGTCCTGTCGAGTGAACTGCAATGGGCTATGGGGATGGGGATCTGCAGCTGGACCCTCTGAGTCTGGTGAACCGGCGGAAACATATGTAACCCCAGTGGAAACCCAGTTAGGTTCATGATCTGATAGTGAGTTGAATAAGATATATATAAATATAAATATCTGGTTGGTGGTATACCTACCAACCCCTCTGAAAAATGATGGAGTGAAAGTCAGTTGGGATGATAAAATTCCCAATGTGATGGGAAAAATAAAATTCATGTTCCAAACCACCAACCAGATAGTCAACGGCCCACAATTTTGGTTCTGAACATTTAGCCTCTGGTAATCAAACGTGGCTAGCTGGAAAGTCCGCCATTTATAGATGATTGTCCTAACTATAAACATCTTAGAGGGGATCTTTGAGGCCACGTTTGATTACCAGAGGGTATATTTTAAATTGTGGTGCAGGTTCACCAGAGGCGAATTCATTGGATGCCCAGTGGATGGTAAAGCGCAAGCTTTATGCAGTAGCAAGACTGCCAGCTTACACTGCCTGTCCGACGGGTCCACTTACCTACCACAAGTATTCCCTATAACCTTCATGGGTACCCTTTTGTAATCTCACGTAGCTATTGAAAATTTCCATTTAGAGTTGATTTACCTATTAAACATGGGGATTTTCCAGTTTGCGAACTGTTTGTTTACCAGAGGGTACTACAGCAGTACTGCAATCAAAAGAGTACTTGGCCACACTTGCTGGTAAAACTCTCCTGGTCTGCCTCGTGTGAGCCATGAAAAGAATACCTCATCCTATCCCATTGTACGGCTTGGTAGATGGGTCTCCCCCATATAGTGGGTTCTAATGATCCCCAATAAACCAGTTTCATTCTCACTAACGATTACTATATGTTACTATATAGCCCACCATAAATTTATCAAGGTTCACCCAACCATCACAGATCAATGATCTCACCATAATTCACCCAACTCCTGAGAGGCGATTTTGCAGCCCAAGGATTCACAGGAGACCCTTGGTGTGGACTGGGTGGGGAAATCTGATCCAAATGCCACGGCATTTTATCATAAAGCACACTGTGTGTTATTATACACAGTAATGGGTATAACTATAACTCTAACAAGTTAGGAGAATTTGTCGTAATTTGATGATTTACCCTCTGCTAATCAAACGTGGCTAGCTGGAAGGGGATGTTCAATTGCTATGTTTGATTACCGGAGGAGATCATAAAGCTAACAACATGTTCACAATATATAATTGACAATAAAGGAATAATATGGAATAATACTAATTCACAAATCGGCCCTGCCGTTTT